TTTTTTTACTAAATTAAAATATTAAAGATACTTCAATGACATACATAATTATTAGGTTGCATTAGATTGAATTAACTGTGGAATAGTCCAAACCGTGAACAATAGTATGTTGCCTGTAATTGCAGTCGTAAATCACAATTTAAAATCATAATTAAGAATGTTATAAAGAATAAATTCAAGGATGGGTTCTCCCCATGTTACAAATTATCTTCTTTGAAACGCCAAACCAATATAGTTTTCATCCCCTTTTTTTTCTGCATCGTGACGATGATTAGATTAACAAAAATCATGATTTGATAATTGAGAGGTGGGTTAATCTTTCATTCTTTATTTTTTGTAAGTGTAGTTAATGTAACTTATGCAGAGATAGTTTTCCAAATAACTTTGGATTGCCGTAGAATCTTCTCTAAGTTGCCAAACTTATGGTTACCTGAGAAGGATAGATAACGCAGCAAAGTCAACTGAATAATCAGAGGCCTCAGTTACACATGAAGGGGTCATGCTCAACGCTCCTGAGTGGAGGAGGAAATTAGGCTTACTTTTGGTGGCATTATCCAAGAAGGTTTGACATAAAGTTTTTGGACTAGATCACAGATATTTTTCTTTTGCTGAAAGCAATTTTGTTAGAAACAAATCATAAATTATGAACAATGAAAGTTCTTTCTTTGAATGTTTAACATAATTAAATTCACTTGAACTTGAATTCAAGAACATATGTTAAATTGAAACTCTTCTATTAGTTGATCCTCATGCTCTGTGGTGGTTAATTATGAGTTGATTCTAGATTAAAAAAGAAAGTAATATATTTTGTAATGCACCCTTTTAAATTATTTTTATTATTAATTAAAGTTAATTATAAAAATATAGAAATCATGTAAAGTTTTTTTAAGTTAGTGATTTTTATTTATAATTTTTACTAAATTTAATTTAATAATTAAGAGTATATAATTAAGCAACGTGCTCTTAGCCCTCCCAAACAAAAACAAACTGTGGAAAAAGGTAACAGAATGAGAAAAGGAAAAGGTTTTATGAGAAAAAGTCTGTGTATGGGTAATTCAAAATAGGAAGGTAACGTGTTGAAGACTCGAGCACTTTAGTAATTAAAAAGGGCCATCTATGAAGATTATCAGTGGAATTAGTGAGAGGGAAAGGTCAGGAAAAGCATACAAGGTGGTGCAAATCCCATTAAGCTTTTACTCCATTCACATACCTTCTGGCAGCTTTTCTATAGGTGCACTTTGTTATTATTTTTTATTGAGAAATTCTATTTATGTAATATATTTTTATAACTAAGAGAAATTTTAAAAAGAAAGATGAAATGATAGAGAGGGATTAAAAAATATATATAATATGTGTAAAAATAGAGAGGAAAGAGAGGATCTAGACTCAAGAAAAATCAAGCCAAACATAAAGTCTAGACCTAATTTCAAAAGCAAACACTGCATAGTCTGCATAAAAAGGGAAGGAGAAAAAATCATTTGCAACATATACTTATGTAGCATGGGTGAATTTTTTATTATTTATTTATTTTATCTTTAAATTATTGGCGAAGATTAATGTCTTTTCCAGAAGACAAGGTGTTAAAGTAAACATGGTTTCCTTATGGATACTGCATAAAGACCATAATAATTTCGTGGCCGAAGAAAATATTCCCTAGGGTGAACCAAAAAAGACAAGTAAAATCCAACACGTGCTGGAGAATCTTGGATGAAGATATCTGTGAGGTATGAACAGATATCCAACGTAAAAATGGGATAAATCAATTCATCACCATTTCTTGTTTCGGAATTAAAGAGAAAAAACAAAATCTTTTACTTTCTCAAGAATCTATTTTTATTCGTCCCTTTACATTGAATATTAGCTGATGGAAAATCAAGATATTACTCTTGCTCTTGTTAAGATACACTTTATAAATAATCACTTTTTACTTTAACCATTGTCTCATGCAAATTAAATTTTGTTAGCCCCCTCTTTTTGCATGTAACATGTGATGAATAAGGTCTTAATTAATGTGTATTGATAAAAGATAATAAATAAATAAAATATTAATTAATATAATAGATAAATGATATATTATGAAATTAAATAATATGTTATAAATTTTGAAATATCAATATTTTTATAATTTTGTGCAAAATTTTAAATGTCCAAACATATTTATTTTTCAAATTTTTTTTATATGTTGAGGATATTTTTAAGCCAGTACTAAAGGTTAATAGTCTCTTCGATATCTATTATTAAAATGGATTTACCTTTGATAATTTTGAAGCATAATAATAGGTGACACCCACCATTGGTCATATCTACAAGAAAGTAGCACATGTAAGTTGTAACCTTAGTACATCTTCGTTTTAGTTTCATTTTACACATGCAACTAGCGTATCCGTTGTTAATGCTTCATTCTAGCTTACATTCAAGATATGTTAATGTTATAAAATATATTTTCATTTAACAAATTTTCTTGAATAGATCAAGTATACAAAAACTCATCATACAAGTCAAATATTAATTGACATATGTTTGTATTTTGAAAAGTATGTTTTACATTAAAACAAAATTATTTAATGAAGCATAAATTTCTTTTAAGAATTATAAAATTATGTAAACTTTATTTATTTATTGAGAACCATGTCCAAAGCAAAAATGTGAAATTAAAAGAAGATCTTTGTTGTCATGTAGATTTTTTTAAAATAATTTATGTATTAATAATTAATGAACCAATTAATATATTTGTAAATGAAAGATAAATGTCAATCACGCATAATTATTACCGTTCATTTTTATTTGTTCTTTTAGAATCGTAATAAATGAATTAAAAATAAATTTGATGTCCTTGTTTTTTAAAATAGTTGGAAATATCGATGCTATAAGCGTATAATTGAAATGTTTCTAATTAATGTTATTTTAATTTTAAAAAGTAAAAAAATAAATAGAAATGACTTTTGTAAATGAGTAAAAAAAAAAAAAAAACGAAAGATGATAAAGCATTTTCTACATCCTTTCCCATTGTTTCTAACAACATGAGATCGATGAAATGCAACATTATCATTTTGAGGGCCCATATTGAAGTTTAAGTTACACTTAAATGCAACATTTCCAGAAGCTCACTGAAGAAACATGTGTCAATTAACATTTTCAATTGCATGTATGATGAAATGGTGGGTTCTATTAACGAATGCTTCGAAAACATTGTTCAGTAAAATATTAATTAAAAATTATAATCTCTGAAAGAAATTAAGAAAACTGCATTATTCGTACAAAAGCCCAAAAAAAGAGAAGCATAGACTTGATTCTCCAACAATGGCTGGAACAGCATATTAAATGAACATTATTTAATTGGGTGAGATGAGCAGTGTATATCATAACATAACATGCACAAACATCATATTTAGTTGTGTTTGACCGGAGCCACGTGGTTCTGAAAGACATTCGATGTTATACAAGGTTCGGACTAGTCAAGTCACTGGATGTTCATTTAACCAGTTTAACAGAGACGATTTTGAAATATCAAGTATGTATTTTCATTTTTAAAAATTTAGAAAACACTTAAATGAATATAAAATAAAAAAGATGATTATGGTGTGTAGGGTTTTGTAGGTATACCTGGTGTGAAGTGATGGGGTACAGTGAGTGATTCCTGATGGGACCCTCTTGTCGATCACCAATAAGCATTTGGACCCATTTATGAAAGATTTTTGTAGCCTCCATTGGGTTTCATTTCACACCATCTATCGGTCAAATGCATGCATGGGAGCAATCCCAGCATTGTATTTCATGGATTAGATAATGTCTCTATATCAACAATACCATATACCATTCATTCCACATAGTTCAAAGTGAGCATAAAATAAAAGAAAATGAAAGTGGGGCTCACTCTATGGTTTAGCATCTGTGATGGTAATTTTTCTTGATACAATGGTTGATGTTGGCGTTGGTGGTGCTATTTGCGCAACAAAAGCAGAAAGTGTGGAAAAGCTTTGTCCCCACACTTATCTTTCCGTCGTTCTACACTTGTTTTGTTTCATCACATAAAACAAATTAAATTAATATCAATCACATCTTAATCACTTATACTCATAACAAAATAAAAAGGGCAAAATGGCACTGTCACTGTGGTCCCACGCACGTGTCAACCCTTCGTGCTCTCGAATCTTACGTGTCGCCTTCTCAACGGCTAAAGTTCCAGTTCGCGTAATCATCAGTTACCACCCAACTCTTTCTTTTCCACCCCCCAGTCCTTTTCCTAAACCACCTCAAAGGATTTTTAGGTGCATTAATTTAAAGCAAGATCTATCCAATTATATTTATTAATTCTAACTCACTTTTATTTTTTATCATATTCTTATTAATGTTTCAAGATTCATCACACCCATTGTTAAATCAATAAAAACGTCATTTTGTTATTTTGTAATGCATAAACCTTGTGTTGAATTAAACGTTGTGTTAAATTTTATAATGAGTAATTCAATATACTAATATTCTGTTTGAGTTTTTGGTTAATTTAAGATATATAAATTTCTTTTAAAAGAATCGATTCAAAACTGTTTCTTAGCACTGCCTTTATCTAATTTTAGCTAATTTTTTATTCCATTAATTTTTTAGGTTGTTCTTCTATCTGGTAAGTTGAGCAATTCTCGACAAATGGCCTGTCCGATTTATACATGTATTAATATTAACATTTAATTTTTAATAAACGGTTAAAGTCTTCCATGAATTATTATCTTGACAAGAATTATTGATTTTTATAATATATAAAATGGTTAATTGATAGATGCACTAAAATTAATTTTATTTATTTCATTATTTTGAATTTATTAATTAACTTAAACCTCAGACACCCTAATTAGTGAAAAGATTAATCTGCCCCAGTTCATCTGATGAGACATGAAATCAACCAATGAGTGGCAATTTCACGTGCATGATGTACAATGGAGGCGTGTGTAGGGGATAATTTCCATCTCGGAGGCATATAAGACCATGGGACCTTGACTTTGGACGGTAAATAAAAGTATACAACGTTGGAAGTGAAGGATGTGTGTTCTCTTCTTGTGTGAAGCCAAAACCACAACCATTGGAACCCAACTCAGTGAAGAACCTTGGAAACTATGGTGAGCACCGACTCATCCACGGGTTCACAACAACCCAACCTGCCACCAGGGTTTCGGTTCCATCCCACAGATGAGGAACTTGTCGTTCATTACCTCAAGAAAAAGGTTGCCTCTGCTCCTCTTCCTGTTTCCATCATCGCTGAGGTTGATCTCTACAAGTTTGATCCCTGGGAGTTACCAGGTTTGTCCAACTTCACCCACTAAGATTATAGCAATTTAGATTCATTATAATAAATAAAAAAACGATGCAATTGGTGTAGTCGAAGAATGTGTAACGTTTAATCTTCATCCGATAATTCATATTAAATTATATTTAACTTTTATAAACATAAAGTTTCAGTATTTACATTCCACGGTACTAATTAATTTTTTAAAACTGCACTGAATTCAATTTTTTTTTACAAAAATTGAATTCCAATTTACAACTAATAATATTATGATTTTAAAGATCTGTACCATGATTACATTAACCACATTTTTTTGTTAATTTTTGTAATATTACGATTTTGAAAATTTTTATAATTTGTTTTGTGACTGTAATTCGAAACCTTACGATGAAAAATGAAATGGGTTTGAAGCTGTTTTTATTGTTTGCTTGGGTTATGCAGCTAAGGCATCGTTTGGGGAGGAAGAGTGGTACTTTTTTAGCCCAAGGGACAGGAAGTACCCGAATGGTGCGAGGCCAAACAGGGCTGCAACTTCAGGGTATTGGAAGGCCACAGGGACTGATAAGCCTGTGTGTAGTGGAACTCAGAAGGTTGGGGTGAAAAAATCTTTGGTTTTCTATGGAGGGAAGCCACCAAGAGGGGTTAAGACCGATTGGATCATGCATGAGTATCGTCTTGCTGATAACAAACCTAACAATAAGCCTCCTGGGTGTGACTTGAGCCACAAGAAAAACTCCCTAAGGGTAAACCATTTTTCATGTAGAAGCTTGCTTTGTTCTGCTTCACTTTTAAGCATATCATGCATATATCACTTTTTCAGCCCACTTGGTGTTCTCCTCATTCATCGGTTCTTGCATAAAATACACAACCAATTAAAAGTAAGGATATATTAAAATAATAATAATAATAAAACCCATTTTGAAACTAATATTGAAGTTAATTTAATATTATTTTCAAATTTTAATCAATTGTGTCTATAACTAGGCACCTTGTTGAAGCAATTAAGAATTGTTTTATTGTAAATTTGCTTTTGCACTGTGTGTTTTGTTTATGGAATCAAGATGTGTTTATGTGTAGCTGGATGATTGGGTTCTGTGCCGGATCTACAAGAAAGGCAATACACAAAAGTCACCTATGGATCATGACAAGGATGATTCCATGGATGACATGATTGGAGAAGTACCTCCTTCTATCAATGTGGGCCACATGAATGCAAGATTTCACCTTTCAAAAATGTCCACAAACTACAGTAGTGCATTATTGGAAAATGACAGAAACATGTTGGAAGGGGTGGTTATTGGCAATGGTGGGATTAGCACAACGTGTGCCATATCATCTCAGTTGGGCACCTCAAACTCCAAGGCCGAAGAGCTTCTTAATTTTGTCTCTCCGAACACTTCAGCCTCCAAAAGAACACTCTCATCACTGTATTGGAATGATAATAATATGAATAATAATGAGGATTTCGCTGGCACATCATCATGTAACAAACAATTCAATTTGGATAGTATTGAGAATGGAAGTGTTGTGAGGAATGAAGGGAATAATGCCACTGCTGGCTCCTTTGCAACTCTTCTTAACCAGCTTCCACAAACACCTTCATTGCACCAACAGACAATGATGGGGTCTATAGGAGATGGACTACTTAGAACACCATTTCAAATACAAGGGATGAATTGGTATGGCTAACTCCATTTTCAGTTTCTTTGGGCTATGATATGGTGATTATAGTGCACAAGGAGAAACTGAAAGTAAGAAGGTATGGCAAAGATTTTAATGGCTTACTTTGAGATTTTGGTTTGTTAGGGAAAGCACTATACAGTACTCTAATCAATATTACCTTCAACCATTTGCAGGTAGCTCCAGGCAATACCACGTGATTAGGTGAGAGCGTGAGGCCATGGTATTTTTAGTTTTATATAGATAGAGAGATAGATATAGAAAGATTGAAAGAGATAGAGATATAGAGATATTTGCTTGTTTTTGTTGGTGTGTAAAGAAACAAAATGAGGGTGCTTTTTGTGTAAAAAAAAATTAAGAGAAAGAAAAAAACAAGAGTCAGCCATTCTATACTTTGCTTTAGGATACAAAGTGAAGAATATTGAAAACTTCAGAACTACATATATTGATGCAAGAATTTAAAATATGTATATTAATTGATTGTATTTGTGGTTTGTCTATATATCTATATCTTGTTCTTAAAGATCTTGAAACTAATCTGATTTTTATTTGATTTATCTCGATATTGCTAAGCCAGTCTTGACGTTAAGCGTGCACATAAGGGATTTTGTGTCACGTCTTATGCATGTAAGAACCTTGAAGGCTATTGATTAGCATTGTTAATATCCCTACCCTTTTAGCCTGAATCGATTCCAAGGGATCTAAAACAGCTAGAATTTATGTATCCATACACAAGCATACATGCAGAAAGCATACAATATAATTTTGTTTGTTAAGAAAAAATGAATTTATTTATAACCTATACAGTAATGATTTTATTTCACTCATTTTATTTTTTAAAATATTTTTTTCTTATTATACATATTATTTATCATATTTATTTTACTTTATTTATTGTTTTCTTAAATCATATATCCTAGAATTTGAATTTAACTTTTTAAAAGTGAAAAGATATGTAAAAATGTAAATTTCTATTTATCATTAATGTAAAGTTAATTATGTCTACGAAAATTTTACTTTACATCAGCTCATTCTAAAGAAGCTCAATCCCTAAAAATGGATCAACAGCAAATGTTATTTATTTTATTTTGTGAAAGATAAATGTTATTCATTAAAAATAATGTTCACCTGTACAATGGCCCGTCGTGTAGCAAAAAAACAATCTATGCGTGTAATCTTCTATGTTAGAGACTTTTTCGAGTGATACACAAATTAATAAATGGTTTTAAAGTTTGTCCCAACTGACCATATTCTTTGAAAATGAAATGTTTGTCATAACTTGTATTCTACATCTGATGATATTATCCTTTTCTATATCCGATTTTCTGTTTGGTAAAAATAGGATATCATATCAATGAAAAATCATCTCCAAGATTTGTAAGTTAAAATTCAATTTTTCTTTTTAAGGTTTGATATTAATAATGACAATAACTGTGCTATTTCACGAATTGTAAAATTGAGATGATGGTATTATATATTGCTGGACCATATACCATCCATGCTTTGGAGCTATGCTATATATAAGTATATGTTGATGCAACTTGTCAAATTCAAATTTTTGTATTTTTATTTCATATTTATTAACCAGTGCGCTTTGAAAATTTTAAATACAGTAATTATTAAAAGTACAATGATATATATATGTTTCTTTTTCCTTTTTTTGGTAATTTTTCGAATACACTTTAACACAACTTTTAATATATTTTTATATATTATTTCTTTATTAGTATCTTAAGAATATCAGTCAGAAAAACCTCCTTAATTTTATGAAAGATTTGTGACATTGTGATGCAACGATTCCATGATCCTTAGGAACTAGTTTTCATGCTTTCTGTTACTGTTTGCCTATTTTTTTCCTTTCTAAAACTAATATCGGCTTCAATAGCTACACGATGGAAACTAACATAATTTAATATAATAGCTTTTTATAAATTAAAAAATTGATAATCTAACTGTTAAATTATTTATATGTTGATTTATTTAATTAATTTCTAGTTCATAAAATAGCAAAATAATAAGCAACAGATAAGTTCAAATAGTAGAATGAAAATCATGAAGTGTTTAGGGCTTTGTTGAGTATAGATCCTAGAAACGAAAAGAGACATTATATAACATACATTAATAACTTAATAATTTGACGGTAAAATTAGATGTCAAAATGTTAGAGGTTAATGTTATACTTACATAAGCCAAAAGGCATTAGTATATATGTGCTATGCTTACCAATGAATTAATGATTGTTAGTATATCCATCCATTAATTAGCATATAACATTAATTTGAGCTTAAAAAAATGTATTGAAGAACATGAATAATAAGAGATTGATTATTGTTCTTTTACAGTAGGTTTGGTTTAATCTAGAATTAGAAAAAGGTATGAATGGAAGATATTTGAGGATGGGTGTCATTTTCTTTTGTGGGAGAGATAAGAGATGGTTAAGTGTATTCCACCGGCCAATGGTCACAGAAATAGACATGAAAGTCGATCTCATGATCACTAGTTGCTAGCTAGCTTTCTTTGTGGCTCAACTCTAAGGGACCATTAATTCTTGTTATCATCCAAAGGAATCATTATCCATAAACCACACAAATCAAATACCACTTTAATTGCATTCCTTTCTAAGGAAAGAGTACAAATCAACTTTATCATATTTAGCATCCCTTCTTCTCATTTTGGAAATCAAATCATAACCATTAATTGAACTGTTATTTCTTTTGGTATTTTTGAGTTACGCATGATGCTTTCAACGCCCTAAAAGTCTATCAAATCTTATCTCTGAATTATACAAATGTATGAAAAGTGAAACACCCACGTAATTACCTGCGTTCATGCCACAATATATATAAGTGCGCAACTGCTAGTCAAATTAAGAATTTTTTTTTACTAATATCTTAACAACGTTGATTAATTAATAATCAAGCTTTTATTACAAATTACCAGAAGAGTATCTTTTTAATTTTTTAATTTATACTCTTAAATAATAAAATATGATAAGTGTTTTATAAAACAAACAAATGTTTTGATTTATTGTTTTTGAATTGACGGTGGAAGAAGCAAACAGCAAGTTCCTTTCATGGCGAAAAAGATTAGAATAAGAGTCCAGAATCTATGATTGATGAGTTTTTATTCAGCCAATTGCAAACACTGAATATGATAAATTAAAAAGAAAGTCCTCTTCCATTAACTTCATACTGGGCAATAGCCCACCATAGTCCATCGCCCCAATAGCGTATAAATAGGATCCATATCCTAATATCCTATGTTGTAACCCATATATAAATCAAGCCCTCATTGAATGAAAAAAACACAACTCAAGTCCTACCATATCATAATATCCTGGTCTCATATGTTCTTGTTTAGATTAAACTAAATACTTTATATGCTTGGTTTCAGGTCTTGAGTTTCATGATTTGGAACTTGAAGATTTGTCTTTAAAATTAATTAATTCACTTTTTTCATTTTTTTTAATGATATGCACAATATGACATTATTTTATCTAAAGGGATTAATTATATAAACCAATTAACTAGAATTCCTGTTTATTTTTTAAATGCTCTTAATGAACCAAACTAATTATTTTTTTAAAAAAAGGAAAATTGTAAAATCAAAATAAAATAATAAATTGATTTCTTTTAGATGGTTTACAATTTTTATTTTTTAAATCGATTCAAACTGGCCCATGTATATACATCCTTATCTTCTATTAATGGAGACTAAAAAAAGAAAAGGATAAGATAACCAAAACCCATGTTGGTATGCAGAAAATAAAGTGTGACAAGTATAAATCATGTATGATAAAGGATAGAAGTCCATTTTTTAGCAGTTCAAAGGTAGGGCTGACAATGAGATCAGTTTTATCTTTTGAAAGTTAATTAACATTAATTCAATCCTTTAATTTTGTAAGGTAATACAATCTGTGTGTGCACAAAATATAAGACTAAAAATTGATTAAATTATGACATTTTTTATTATTGAAGAATTAAATTAATGTCTTTAATTAGCAAAAAAAAATTAATGTCTTTAAAATTAAAAAAGTGAACTAACCACATTTGTCAATTTTTTTAATCCATTGAAAGAGTTAATGTAAACTTCTTTAAATGTCAAAGTTTATGTTATGCCATCTTTGAAAAATTAAATTAATGCTATTCATTTCTTGAGAAGAAATTGATGCATACCTAATATTTTAGGGGCAAAAATATCAATCAATGTGCTCTGAGAGATGTATAATCCACAAGATGCATGTAAAGGTGGCAACGCCTTCGAACCAAAGGGAAATATTGAGCAATGCAGGTTACCCGGACCCAAAATCCCCAACAATGAGCCAACCACACTTTTAGGTGAGATCTTAGGTGTTGACTAAAACGAAATGGTATCTGTAGTGTAGATCAAGGAAATAACTCTTTCAGATGCAATGTTATTAGCAGTTCTTGTTATAAGATTATGAGAACATTCAATTTTTCTTTAACTCTGGCAATGGATTTCTTTTATACATGACTTCACAATTGTTTAATTTCATTTTAATCTCAAATGCATCTCATTGAACTAGGGATTCTCCCCATGTCAAATCTACTCCTTTTTAGTGTGCTTTCTTCAATTGTAATATAAGAACTCATTTAACATGCTATCGTTTCGAATAACACCTTCTCTCAGGCATATAATGGGTCTCCAAAACATTTCAACCACACGATTATTTACTAGCCACTTTTAGGGTTGATTATTTGGTCATGCTTTCAAACAACATTGAGAACCAATTAATCATTTGCACTTTGAATCACAGCAACATTAATCTTCCTTCCGTTGGGTTGTTGTAATTGCATGTATAGAATCCCTCCATACAAAGATTTTATTGTATTAAGATTCGATTTCCTATTTCTGAAGTTCTCCCACATATGCATTAGCCATGTATCCTTTGTCTTGTATTCACAAGTTGTACTTAAATTATCTATTCTATTTTTTTATTACTTGGTGCCTCTTTCCTTCTCCATGCATCTCCTTTTTATTATCTCCATCTTTATCACTTTTGCATACATCATTTCCACCTTTCTCCCCATCTTCTAAGTAGACTTTTTTTGTGTGTCTCTACTTTACATCTTGCATATTGTAGTATGTTCACTCTAACAATGTGTTTGATTTGATATATTTACAGTGGAGAAATGAGGAGGGAGTGAATGGAAGGGAGCTTAGACTTTCCTTGTTCTACAAAAATGGTGAAAGAAATATATTAAATAAATGAATATATTTATTTATGTGAATAATGAGTGAATATCTCATTAACACAAATTTTATAATAAATAAAAATATAAAAAGATTTTAACAATTAATATATCTAAAAATAACCTTTTATTCTTATATGACATTTTTAACCTATACAAATTTACACATAATAATAACATATATATAGTAATTTTTTATTAAAAGTTATAGAATTCAATATAATTCAATATATTAATTCTATATACTACAGTTTTTAATAAAAAAATATTATTTATTAATTTTTTATTATATACAAATATATATATAAAAAGTAAAAGTAATATTAAAAAAATTACTTGAAGGTGTTCCCTCTAGCGAGATGAAGAAGTTACTCTATAATCCAAGGTGAATTATCATCAATAACATGCTTCAATCTCGGCTGAAGTTGGTGGCTCTGTTCCAGTTACGACCCTTTTGTGAACCGTCTAAGGTGAGAAATATCAAATATGGGAGCCACTTTAATATCATTCAAAACCAAAGTCATCAACGCTGGAAATTCAGATTTGAACTGGTAAATGCCCATTACCACTACCCAAATAAAAACACCACTAGTCAAACATTTTGGCTCACTCCCACAACACACACACCCTTCCAATTCTCCAATCAAATCATGTTGCCAACCCTTCTAATTGGTCAACCATTCATAATCCCCACCCAGACCAAGTTCATGAACCTTCCTTTTTAATTCACCTTTCCCTACACATAAGTCTCCACAAACCACTAGGCCAAGTTATTCCATTTTTTTCATGTTCAATCATTCATAGCTTAGTAATAAAGAGAAATGCAAATTACCCTTCAGAATCAAACCAAAGGAAGGCCAAAGCTTCCACCAAAGATGTCGAGTTCAGGGTCCAAGAGGGGAGAGCTATGTGCTGGTCATCATACACATGGTTATTTGGCCATGTCACCCCGGTCCAGACCGGCTTGCACCTGCTCGAACCGGCCCGGTTCTGTCCAGTGTTGTTATGTGGTGGCAGAGGAGAGGCTAAAGAAGCCTCAGGGTAACAAAGAGGTCTTGAAAAGAGCACTGATTCCACCACCGACACGACGAATTGGCCTTAGATGGTTGAATTTCAAACCTACCCCAAGCAGGCTCTCTAACATGTCCATGGCTTGATTTCTTTTTCTTCTTTTTTTTTTTTTGGGAAATCTTGTTTCATTAATGTTGGATAATTGTACATGTGATATTTACGATGATTCTCTACTAATATTTGCTATGCTTCTCCAAAACTTTTATTCTTGCAATTGGGCAATCTCTGTTCGTGAAAACATTTCATACACGCACACATCGTAGGCTGCAACATGGTAATTTATGTTTGCTTTTATCTTTTCTTTCCTAAGATTTCGATTTTGATGTTTTAAGTTGATAAACGAAGCTAAGATTTATATGTTATGTATTACTTAGTCAATGAAAGTCCTAAATCATAACTAATTGCAACTGTGTGTTTTGTTGTTCAGTGCTAAAACATCATGACAATGGATACAGAAATTGGTATCTGTGACCGATAATGACAACATTACTTAATTTATTATTATTAAGAACATGAATAGTAACAGTTTCAGGCAAAAAAGTGACAAGCTCCTCCTATTGCATTCTCCCTCGCCCTGCACTGGTCAGCACATTTGAATGAGTTGAAACAAGGCCTTGACCATGTTTCACTTCCCCTTCCATAAAGCGCTTCAGCAATATCAACCTCTGAATATGCAAAGAAAGATAACATAATTTAAAATTTAGTAAGGTTAATTTCAAATTATTGAATGCAGTTGAAGTATATATATATATATATGTATAAATTAATTTAAACAATAAATTTTTATTGAAATACGTGTTTTACATTAAAAAGAATGCAAAAAAATGTTTCTATAACTATGAAATAATTAAGTCTGATATATTAGTTAGTTCTCAATAGATAGAAAACATGTATAGAAGTTAATTTATTAGCATTAATAAAAGATAATAATATATTGTAAATTTATATTATATTATAAAAAACTAAATAGAGTATTATAATTATTTTTATATTTTTTTTAATTAATATCAAAATTTTATCTTAACAATGTGTTAATTTTTAATATTAACTTCTATTATTTGGATCTTGATTTATTATAAGAAAATGTTAAAAGACAATGGTTAATGAATTATAAGAAAATATTCATTTATAATTTTTAATGAATGGTTATTAATTTCTTAAAATAGTTTCTTTAAATCACGGAAAGTTTTGAAACTCTGTTTTTGCGAATTGAAAGTAAATTGTTGTCATATAGGGATTCGTGCATGGGTAGCCAAGTGATTTGGGTGGGTGATGACTCGAGTAATTAAACAGAGGAAAGGAAATGGCCATTCATTCAATTACACGTTTCATTTTCTTAAAAGTATTTTGATCTGTTTAAAAAAAAAACAGGTAATTTATAAAAGCGTTATAATTAACATTTTTCTCAAATGTAAATATATTTAAGTTTTAAATAATAGCTTTCAAAAATAAATAATTTTATTATTTTTGAAGATTGTTCAATATTTATTTAAAATTGAATTTATTTTTCATTCCATGTAATTCAAGTAAAAATAAAAAGTCTTTTTATGTTTACTCTTTCTCTTCTTTCAGACTTTTAGGTGAGATCGTGATACATAAAAAAATACATTAAAATCACATGTTTAGATGTGTATATAAAATTATTTATGTATAATAGTATTTTATATTATTCTTTCAAATGACTATTAAATAATGCTCTCCTAATTTTGACTCCATAACTTGCTGTATGACTTGAGTCCAATATTCATTAATATCTTTAGTACATAAAAGATTATTCATTATTTATTTATTGTTCATTGTCCATTGATGGCCTTGGTGCATATGATAAAAAGAAAAATGCTACAAATATTTTTTTAATCTTAATTATCAGTCAAAATTTATTAAAGATTATAAAAAATTAAGTGAATCTTTTTTTTTTTTCAAATCTTAATTACCATTGGTGGAGGAAAGAAGAAAAGCGAGGCAGAGGCAGAGCAAGACTCTGAATGTCCACAATTTAAGAATACAAGCAGCCATGTTTTACAAAAGAGACCACTGGCTTAGAGCTATATATATATATACAGCATGAGGAACAACCGGCATAAGGTATATCATGCTACATAATTTGAAGCTAAATTTAAAATGGTTTTGTTTTAAGTTGCCTTGTGGAGTATATAATTTTATTTCAAGTAACTTAATGAAGTTAAAATATTGTATTAGCTTTTTATTTAACTTTGTATTTTTTTAAAATGTGTGTTCAATGGCATATGATAAGAAGTCAAAAATAGAAAGTTTTTATAAAAACAAAAGTTTATTATCTTTAAATTATAAAAGTATTTAATGTATATTTTTTTTATGGTAATATAAAGTGATTAATTTTTGGCACATATTGTAAAAGTCGATTAAGAAATTTGTCATTCTTTTGAGGAATATTTGAAGAATATTTTTTAACACACTTTCAATTATTAGATTGAATTTATTTAAAATTACAAAAAAATGCATGGAAATTTATGATTTTTAATAAATTTTTGTAACTAATATTTTATTAATTTTGCATTTAATTGTTGACATTATTTCATTAACATTATATTTGTTATTGGTAACTAACATATTTGACAATTCATACGGTAGTGACTTTGTTTTATTTTATTCTAATATTTACAATAAAATATAATATAAAATATGTTTTAATTAAGACTAATGAAAAAAAATGATAACTTTATTGTTTAATTAAAAATAGTTACTCTTAATACTATTTAGATACTAATTAATAGTATTAATTTAAATAATAAATAAATTATTGAATGATTAATATTTTTTTAGACTTTTATTTACAATTTTTAGAAAGCCTCAAATAAAGGCTTTAGTGCCTTATGCTTAGATAAGCCTAAAGAGAATATCCGAAAAGGTATATTAGACATGTATTATTAGTATTTTACCTCCTTTATATCCTTCCCTTGTTTATACGGTAAAATATAGGTCAGATTTAAAATTCTAAGGTTTGAAGAACTGGGTTGTGTTTGGTATTATATATCCAATGCAGTCCTAGACTCTGATGTGCTGGCTTTAAGCAGCTCCAAGACCATTTCAATATCCAAAGTGACACGTAATAAATCTTCGTGGAAGAGGATTATATATAAAACATAACTCTGTTAAGTCACTCCAAAAATAAATGAACAAAATAGATCAATAAAATATAAATTTCGTATTATGTTTGAAATTACACAATGTTGTTGTCACAAAGTCATCCAAATAAAAAACTATCAATTGAAACTAACGAACTCGATTGTCACTGACATAACTAATGTCCACTATGTTGCTACCTTCCGCTTTCCCCCTATCCATTTAGTTTGCACTCACCTTGAATGTAACAGTAATTAATGATGGGTCTCTAATAAGAACATACATAACGATGAAAACATAATATAATCTTGCCTTCTAATGGTGAAGAGTAAGGAATGAAATGCTCCATTGTCTATAATCGCCGTTGGTTTAAGCAAGAAGAAAATGACCATAAAGTCTCCCCAACATTTACTCTGAGACTTTGGTACATGCAATCTATGATATACTATTCTACAAGACATTAGAGAAAAATATTGAAGGCTTTATCAGAATTTAGTCTTTAAAAATATGACATCTTTTATTTGTCTTTTTGTAAAAATTTTACTTATTTTTAATTTCTAAAAATTATAAAATTATCTACTTTTAGTCTTTGGTGAAGGATTAAACCCAGACAATTTTGTTAAATATAAAGATTAAAAACGAATACAATTATTATAAAACTAAAATAAAAAACTACGATATTTTCAACGACCATGAACATCTAAACCTAATGAAGAATTAAGTTACTGAAAGTTATTCCTTTCTAGAGGATTTCTCTCCCTGTTCAATTGGGTTTTTTAATGAATAGAAATTTCAACCTATTCCTATATAATTTCGTAATTTACAACACAACCTGCACCTAGAAAATCAGGCTGATGCCATTCACACAGCATATATATTAAAAAGAATGAATTATTCTTTTCTGCTTGGTTTACACCGCAAACAAATATACTCTAACTTTCCTTCGGCAATACAAGACGATCTTGGCCTTCAATAAGCCTTGCTGAACGAATAACATCACCAGTTTTTATCTGTGGGAGAATATCTCTCCCAGTGGTTGTGTATCTGCATATTTTAATAGCATGAAAAAATGGAGGAAAAATTGAACTCAAAAATACTAACAAGGCTTACCCAAAAACTGAAAATTGCCCTTCATCAAATGATATCCCTCCCAGACCAGCCTACAATAGAGGGGGGAAAAACAATACTAATAAGGCTTACATGAATGGAAAGAAAGAGAAATGAATGAATTCAATTTGCAAAAGAGCATAAAAACTTCTGCTTCCATGTTTCACTCATTTTATGCAACGAAACCCAGCAAATCCTGTGAGCAAATGAACATAAGGGATGTAGAGGGAACAAAGGTAGATGCACTTACACTTCGTTTATCATAGAGATAGAAGAAAAATTGATAAGGTGATGAATACTCCTCAGAGGCTTCATTATGAGCCATAGCAACTGCCCCATAAACAGAAAGAGGAAGAACTGGCAGTTCTCCGTCCTTCCAGAAGACAGAAAACACATGAGAACAGTATCATATATGTCTGTAATGTCTGATGCCATATTTTTATAATAGAATAAAACCAAAAATATACCTGCACACTTAATGTTGTTTTGTAAAGGGGCTCAAATTGTCCAGAGGGCATTATTTCCAAGGGAACATTGTAACCACTGTTCTTGTCAACTCCATTATCTGAGAGAATAGCTTGGTTGGTGGAGCTGAGCTTTGCACCATTATATGCTCCATCCATCACCTAAAGGATATGCGACTGTGTAAGTGCTTTTTCTACTAGATTACACAACCTAATAATCTACAAGTTTAAAACACCAACACATTAAACCAGGATATGCAGCTACAAATGCACAATTAAAAGTAGGTACTCTAAGAACAGCAATATTCCAAATTCCAATGAATTTTCAGTTCATGAGAATTGCAGTAACATTTGCACTCTTCCACTGCTAAAACCCTCTGCTTCCTAGGCTTTCTCTTCCTTTATGTTAGTTTCAGCTTTACATTAAACCCTTATGCAAGGCTGTTTATTACTGGAATCTCCTCTTTCCCAGGATTGTTTTGAAAGCTGACTCTTCCTTGTTGCAACGACTTTGTCTGTGTAATAATTTTATCTTTTCAACTTGATAATCTAGGTTTTCCACTTTAATGTGTTCTCTTTACACAGAATAATGGATCAATTGCTGCAAGCACTAGAGACATAACAAGTTAACAGAAGTGGAAGTATTTTGAAGCCACTCTTTCTTCTCTATTAAATGCTATCAAACTAAATATAAGATCGTAGACTTTGAGAAAATATTTTTCCTCTAGAAAAAAAACTAATTAACTGCATCATTTACAGTACGAAAAGTTCAAGAGAAATAGGACTTAATGATTGAAACATTAACCATAGATCATCAACCATTCAAATAAAAATAGAACAGTACTGATTCAGTGTACTCAGAACTTAGGAAATCTGACAGATTGTGGATGAACCATCAGAAGTGTTGAAAATCAAGAAAGATATGAACATGAAGGATATTGACAAAGAATAGCCATATGGAAAATTGGCGAGGCTGAAGTACTGTTCCACTACCTTACCAGTTTTGCAAAATTCCCTGCAGTTAATGGAGCCGAGTATCCATCTATAACAACCTGAAAACAAAGGTCTATCAGTTAATCTTTCATATACCACCTATGAAAAGTTATTTATCCATGCACCGTTTACCAAACAGTGATTTTGATGTATTTTTAAGGTGGATTGTTCATGGTGCTTATCAATCCTTTAAGAGACCTGAAGCCCACCAAATCAACAACCAATGGCTAATCATAAAGGAAAATTCATGGAGGAAATTATACCTGAATGGTGGCAGTATTTTTCCGTTCTCCCCCAACTGGAGAAAATGTAGAACCATCTCCTTTCTCAATGGTGAACTCAACAGTTCCTCTCCCTGAAAGCCTAAACAAATGGGAAGATATTGATTTTCCCCAATGTTCTAAGTGTTTAATTTTCCCAAGGAATTGAGCTACGAATGACTAACCATAAATCTTTTTTATGTTAGTTTCATGTCAAATGGTCAGTGTATGTTCAAGATTTAAGGTGGGAAACTGAAGTATCCATTACAAGGATCTATGTAAAACATCAAGGCAGTAACTGACATGACTTTCAATAGAATCACTGACCGTGGATATTGCGCATACTGCTCCGGCAATAGAAATGATAATCCAGGTGCCTGTTGCAATAATATCAAGTTCAGATTCTGGACATGATTATAATATTGTTCATAAATTCAGTCAAGTTATTCGAGAAATGAAAGTAATTACTGTCGATTTCAAGATACTGTCATATTATCTGGTTTGCAGTTACCTGTAATAACTCTAGCTCTGCTACAGTATCCAGTGTAGATGCAAGGTTCACAGATACTTTATCTGCATCTTGTTCCTTTATAGATTGAAGAAGAGTTTGCAAGCCTCCCTACAAAAAATTTACATAATTGTGGTAGTTTCTCAATGAACCATAACTACCAATTTCACATAATTAGTCGCTTATATGACATTGTATTAGATTTCATCTAGAAAAGACGGTACATAATGAACAGAAAAAATGTAAAATCAATCAAAATCCACATTCTAGTTTCTTTATCTGAATCTTTTTTCTTTGCATCTGGCATCCTTTTGGTCACAAGCACGTTGTATGATAGTTTCATGTGAGAAACATAAACAATAGAAAACTGTATTCATTTGCAATGCAAGAACTATAATCTTAAGTATAATCTCCGAATTTAATTCAATTAATGTCATAAAAAAAAACATGGCTTTGGAAATGCAAAAATGCCTACTTTTTTTTTAATAGAGGGAGTTAACACATAAATGCCGATATGAAAAATGTCAATAATTATATCAAGATACACAAAACATGATATTCATATATTCCAGAAGATGCATTTTTCAAGAATACCTTTCCTTCTATTAGAGACGCATGTACCAAAGAGCCCCTGTCCTTCAGTTCCGCTGGTATACTTGCCAATATAGAATCTTTTTCATCTACCGCTATCTGAAGTAAGGAAGTAAATTATCAAAATTTGAAGTCCTTATGTGAATATTATACTATATATCATTGACAGAACAAATATAATGTTAAAGATGCAGGAAGAAATTCCACTGAGGTGCAACAAATACTACAAAATTGTTGAAAAGTCAAAGAAAAAAGGCGCATGACAAAGAAAAACGCGTACAATTTCGGTGCCTAACGCGTTTTGAAATTCGGTGCCTAACGCGTTTTGAAATTAAGCGTTTCATTTGCCTATATAAAGGAAGCAATGAAAGGCAAAAAAATGCAGAACAACTGAAATTTGTGTGTGCAAATATTCCGCATTTATTTTTCACTTCCACAAATCTGACATTACAAGAAAATTCGGCGTAATTTTCTCAACAACTGGTATCAGAGCTGGTTCAAAATTCTGCATTTTTTGTGAGGTACTGTTCATGTGAATAGTAAAATTTGCAATAGTAAACTCGCAAGTACTGTTCACGTGAATAGTGAATAGTGAAAAATTTGTCAGCATTACAAATTTGTTCTAAACACAGTGGTATACAGAAATTGTCAGAAACGATTCTAAGAAGAAGTCAGATTTGAGTGGGAGTGATGGCCGCAGATGAAGGAAAGGTGAAAATTGAAGAGTTTGATGGTACAGACTTTGGCTTTTGGAAGATGCAAATAGAGGACTATTTGTATCAGAAAGGCATGCATGAACCTCTCACAGGCAAGAAACCAGAGTCTATGAAGGAAGAAGACTGGAAACTTCTGGACAGAAAAGCTCTTGGAGTCATCCAATTAACATTATCCCGTAATGTTGCTTTCAATATAGCAAAAGAAAAGACTACGGCGGATCTTATGAAGGCTCTTGAAATCATGTACGAAAAGCCGTCAGCCTCAAACAAAGTTTATTTGATGAGGCGGTTATTCAACTTACGGATGGCAGAAGGCGCCTCAACGGCGCAACATCTAAACGAACTCAACACTGTCACAACCCAATTGAGTTCAGTTATAATCGATTTCGATGATGAAGTACGGGCTTTAATTCTCTTATCTTCTTTGCCTGAGAGTTGGAATGCTACTGTCACAGCTGTAAGTAGCTCATCGGGAAGCAATAAGTTGAAATTTGATGATGTTCGTGATTTGGTTCTCAGTGAAGAGATCCGGCGTAGATAGTCAGGTGAATCATCAACCTCTTCAGTATTGCATACAGAGTCAAGAGGAAGAAGTTCAACCAGAGGAAGAGGACGCAGTAAATCAAAGGTGAGGCGTTCTAAGTCCAGAAATCATCATAGCTCCAACAACTCGAAGACTATTGAGTGTTGGAATTGCGGGAAGACGGGACACTACAAAAATCAGTGCAGGAGTGCACCGAAGAATCAGGAGGCGAAAGACGAGACAAATGTTGCTTCCACCTCTAGAAGAGATGATGCGTTGATATGTTCTTTAGAGAGCAAGGAAGAGTCTTGGGTGTTAGACTCTGAAGCATCTTTTCATGCCACTTCGCAGAGAGAATTTTTCAAGAACTATGTTCTCAGAAACCTTGGTAAAGTTTACCTTGGCAACAACCAATCATGTGAGATTGTGGGTAAAGGTGTAGTGAAGGTTAAGTTGAACGGGTCTGTATGGGAATTGAAAAATGTCAAACATATTCCCGACCTGACAAAGAACTTAATCTCAGTAAGCCAGTTGGCCAGTGAAGGCTACACAACAGTCTTCCACGGTGATAACTGGAAGATTTCAAAGGGTGCAATGGTAATTGCTCGTGGCAAAAAGAGTGCTACTCTTTATAAGACAGCAGGAGCATGTCATCTGATTGCAGTTGCAGCAAATGAAAATCCCAATCTATGACACCAGAGACTAGGCCATATGAGTGAGAAAGGGATGAAAATCATGCACTCAAACGGTAAGCTACCAGGTCTTCAGTCAGTAGAAATTGACATGTGTGAAGACTGTATACTTGAAAAACAAAAACGAGTCAGCTTTCAGACAAGTGGAAGAACCCCAAAGAAGGAAAGACTCGAGCTTGTTCACTCTGATGTTTGGGGTCCAACATCTGTCCCATCCATTAGTGGGAAGCAATACTTTGTGACTTTTATCGATGACCACTCCAGAAAGGTATGGGTATACTTTCTGAAATATAAGTCTGAAGTATTTGAGGCTTTCAAGATGTGGAAAGCCATGGTTGAAAATGAAACAAGATTGAAGATTAAAAAGATCAGAACCGACAATGGTGGTGAATATGAAGACACCAGATTCAAGAAGTTTTGCTATGAGCACGGGATCAGAATGGAGAGGACCGTGCCAGGTACGCCTCAACACAATGGTGTAGCTGAGCGTATGAATCGAACGTTGACTGAAAGAGCCAGAAGCTTGCGTGTGCAGTCAGGCTTACCAAAGCAGTTCTAGGCAGAAGCAGTCAACACAGCAGCTTACTTGATCAACCGAGGTCCATCGGTACCATTGGAGCACAAAATACCAGAAGAGGTATGGAGTGAAAAAGAGGTAAAACTCTCACATCTTAGAGTTTTTGGCTGTGTAGCATATGTGCACATTAATGATCAAGGCAGGAGTAAGCTTGATCCCAAATCAAAGAAGTGCACTTTTATCGGTTATGGTGAAGATGAGTTTGGCTACCGCCTATGGGATGATGAAAACAGAAAGATGATCCGCAGCAGAGATGTAATCTTCAATGAAAGAGTGATGTACAAGGACAAGCATAGCATAAGCGCCAACAATGCAGAACAGATTGAGCCAGTGTATGCAGAAGTGGATGATGTCTCAGAAAATCCTATAGTTGAGAATCCTCAGTCAGAGGAATCAACTGAAGAGAACAGTGAGCAGCAGTCTGACACATCAGAGGCTCCTATTTCAACTCCTGTATTGAGAAGGTCTTCTCGACCTCATGTGCCTAACAGGAGATATATGGATTACATGTTGTTGACTAATGGAGGAGAGCCTGAAGATTATGTAGAAGCATGTCAGACTATAGATGCCAATAAGTGAGAGCTTGCTATGAAAGACGAGATGAAATCTTTGATCTCTAACCAGACATGGGAACTAGCTGAGTTGCCTATGGGAAAGAAGGCACTTCACAACAAATGGGTGTATCGGGTGAAGGAGGACCATGATGGCTCCAAAAGATACAAAGTCCGACTAGTTGGCAAAGGATTTCAGCAAAAAGAAGGAGTTGACTACACTGAAATCTTTACTCCAGTTGTAAAGCTCAATACTATCAGGTCTGTCTTAAGTATTGTGGCTAGTGAAGAGCTCTATCTTGAGCAATTGGATGTGAAGACTGCATTTCTTCATGGAGACTTAGATGAGGAAATCTACATGCATCAACCTGAAGGTTTCTCAGAAGAAGGGAAAAAGAATATGGTATGCAGATTAAAGAAGAGCTTGTATGGCCTGAAACAAGCCCCAAGACAGTGGTATAGGAAGTTTGAAAGCTTCATGCACAAGGAAGACTTCCAGAAGTGCAATGCCGACCACTGTTGTTTCTTCAAAAGATATAAGTCCAGTTATATCATCTTGCTACTTTATGTTGATGATATGTTAGTAGCAGGTTTAGATATGAACGAGATTAGAGATTTAAAGATGCAGCTGTCAAAAGAATTCGACATGAAAAACTTAGGTCCAGCAAAGAAGATTCTTAGAATGCAAATCACGAGAGATAAGCAAAGAGGAATTTTGCAGTTATCTCAGAAGGAGTACATCAATCGTGTTTTACAAAGATTCAACATGGGCAAGGCCAAGCCAGTTAGCACACCTTTGGCCAATCACTTTCGCCTATCCAAGGATCAGTCCCCTCAGACGGAGGAAGAAAGAAACTTCATGGCTAAGATTCCATATGCTTCAGCTATTGGAAGTTTGATGTATGCAATGGTATGTACTAGGCCAGACATTGGCCATACAATAGGAGTTGTAAGCAGGTTTATGGCGAATCCAGGAAAAGCTCATTGGGAAGCAGTCAAGTGGATTTTGAGGTATCTACGAGGCACAACAAAGAAATGTTTATACTTTGGAAAAGGAGAATTAAAAGTACAAGGCTATGTAGATGCAGACTTTGGAGGTAAAGTCGATCACCGAAGAAGTACCACCGGTTACATTTTTACTGTTGGTACTACAGCTGTCAGTTGGATGTCGCGGATACAAAAGATTGTTGCTTTATCCACTACAAAAGCTGAGTATGTAGCAGTAACAGAAGCCAGTAAAGAGTTGATATGGCTTCAAGGTTTGTTAACAGAGCTGGGATTCATGCAAGAGAGGAGTGTTTTGCACAGTGACAGTCAGAGTGCAATACATCTGGCAAAAAATTCAGCATTTCACTCTAGAACCAAGCACATTGATATACGTTATCACTTCATCAGATCTCTGCTTGAGGATGAGGTGCTGACATTGAAAAAGATTGTAGGAAGCAAGAACCCAGCAGACATGCTAACAAAGGTGGTGACCATTGACAAACTGAAGTTGTGTTCAACTTCAATTGGCCTGCTAGAATAACAGACCAGAAAAGACTGCTGCATTGGTTGAGGTGTGAAGACAGATTGAAATCAGTCTTCAAGTGGGAGATTGTTGAAAAGTCAAAGAAAAAAGGCGCATGACAAAGAAAAACGCGTACAATTTCGGTGCCTAACGCGTTTTGAAATTAAGCGTTTCATTTGCCTATATAAAGGAAGCAATGAAAGGCAAAAAAATGCAGAACAACTGAAAATATTCAGAGAGCAAAAACAGAGAAAATAGTTTAACTTCTGGTACAATTGGGTTACGGGTTGTGAATGGTTGTGAGTCATTTTTGAGTGTTTTGTAAACACTGAGTGTATTCCCTTTTTCAGTAATATATATGTAGCAGTCCGGAGACGTAGGCATTATTGGCTGAACTTCGTTATCAATTTTGTGTGTGCAAATATTCCGCATTTATTTTTCACTTCCACAAATCTGACATTACAAGAAAATTCGGCGTAATTTTCTCAACAAAAATTCCCCATGAAAAATGCAAAGGACTAAAGTACTTAAGTTATATAACTTAATTTCTCTATTAAAAAAAAAAGATACAACAAAACTTTAATGATGTGATGAAGGCGGGAAAAGCCACCAAGCTCGAGCACATATGAAATTTGAAAACTTTGATCATTTTGTCATTCAATAAAATGAAAGACGAATCTTAGAACCTTCTAAAGATGCAACGTCCCCTAAATATCCGTAATTTTGGTTTTCAGAATAATACAACCAAGAACAACAGACCCAAAAAACAAAACTCTGAATACCTTCAAAGCTTTCTTCACATTCCCCTCCATTGTTCCATACGGTTTTCTCTGTGGAATCCTCAATAGGTACGAAATATCTTCAAGAGAGTCCTGGACGAAGCATAGTTCCCAAACAACATGCAATGCTGACCATTAAAATGTTCAAAAAGCGAAAGCTCTTGAAAATGACTTATATATAAGGAAGCATTTGAAAGAAGTTCAACAAAACTTACTTGAACTTGTAAACATGACTGGCAACCTTCTAATCAGCTTTCGAAACTTTTATAAAATAAGTTTATCTTATTTTATTCCACTAGGCTGTACAATATTTAATATGTACTCAATTAAATTATCTCCTCAAATTAACCGTGTTTAAATTAACTTATTTATATTAAGAATAATTTTTCATATTTTTAAAATAATAAATACATATATTTTTTATTTAATACTTATTTTATAAACGTAGATGGATATATCACACAACAAAGTTCTTAGATTAAATAACTAGATTTATCTTTTTTCGGATAATTTTGCTAACTACTACACTAAAAACACCTAGCAACCAGTTTTAAATATATTAAAAATTAAGTTGTGCAGAGGCACCGATCAGCATTTTTCATTAAAAAAGAAAAAGCAATTAATTTCTTTTGATTAACGATGAACCAAACACGGAGTTGAGGTGGATACATTGATGATGAAAGGAAAACCTGTATAGCCTTCATGTTGGTGTTTGCAGGAATTGCTTTTCTGAGAGCAACTTCTCCAGTTCTCGGAACCTTGGTATCTGGCGAATACAGAACCGCTTTCGCAGTAGGAACTGACACGTAATCGACCAACGGAACCACCATAACACTCATCTGAACCGACGCAATTACCATCGGAATCACACTCTTCAACCGCTTCATCATCCTCACGATAATAACACCTGCTGACGTGGCACTTCGATCCACCTCTTCCTGCAGCAAAATCCACAGGCATAGTGAGAATGATAAATGTGCTAACGTTCATACTCTTTGTAATGCGCGTGGATGTCACGACCTTCGTGAGGACTTGGTGGTGCTTCTTGGAGAAGCAAGTGATTCGTGAACGGCGAATGGAACGAACGGTGCTGCGAGCGATGGAAATGTTGTTGAGGGAGGAAGACAGAGGGAACGCCGCCATCGAATTGAATTGAAGGAATGGGGAATTTGGTGTTACTGTGTTTGCTTGCGCGCCTAATCCGTTACAGGAAGAGGAGTGTTCTTGTGTGGAAGTAGAAGAGGGGACACGTGTCCCCCATGTGTAATGACATCTATGCCCATGATGAATGATAGAAATCACGAGGTGAAGAAGAAAAGGAAAATAATAACATGGGAAAGGTCCCACCGAGATTTGAACTCGGGTTACTGGATTCAGAGTCCAATGTCCTGACCACTAGACCATGGGACCATCTTGTTAGTCACTGTGATTCATATTTAATATATCCTCATCTTTCTGCCATCGCTTCTCTAATAAATTAAAATGTTGTTAATATGATTATAAACATAGTAGAATTGATTAAAGAAGATATATAAACAATACAAAAGCGTGAATCAAATTGTTATGATTCACTTTTTTTTTTTAGTTCAAGTGTTTTAGCATTGTGAACCAATATTTTCAGACAACATTCATATATCATTTAAATACAACTACTACTTCAATTTGGCCCAAACTATTATTTTGGTCTCAGTTTAATTTTTGCAAAAGAAAATTTATAAAAATATCTCCTTATTTTTAATTTGATTTCTATTTTCAAAAAAAATTATAGAAAATAGTAAAAATAACACTTTGTTATTTCTACTATTTTAATATTTAAAATTAAAAAAATGTAAAAAAAAAGTAACATTTTTGTAATTATTTATAAAAACTAAAGAAGTTTATCAAACCAAATAAGCCCTTAATTTTAATATCATATTCACAGATGACAATGAATGATGGATTTTATTATAATGTGAAGGTACACGCACACATAAGTGAGAATAAAACACAATTATAACTATTAATTAAAAAAATTATGGTTGAGATTATAATAATGGATGTATATGTTTTATAACAAGCTCATAGTTAAAACATCAACAATTAAATTTTTAATCAATTATTATAATGGAATGTTGTCCTTTAGGAGTTAAATTCCAATATAAATCTCCAATATAAGATAATTTGCTATAATTATGCAGAAAAGTTAGCTACTCTCTATTGAAGTGCCAAACAACTTTGTAGAATAAAGGGCACGGGGGGGAAAAATTAAAGACCCGGAATGGCTCTAAAAAAAATTTGCCTCATTGATAAGAAAGAAAGCCTCATAAATTTGAGGAGTCCCAACTAGCATAAACAGCACCAATTAGTTTTTCATGCAATGTGACACCAGAGCATGCAATTATGCCTCTATCAAGACCTTCCAAGTACATTCCCTTTGAAAAGTCCAAGGGGCGCCCCCCAGCATCAGTCACCACACCACCAGCCTCTTCAACAATCACAACACCAGCAGCATGATCCCATATCTTCTCCTTGTACCCACACTTTGCAAATTTCATGAATATCTCTGCGTCTCCCCGGGCTATTGCTGCATATTTTACCATGCTGTGCACGCGTAAGGGCTGTTTCCTGTATCAAATTTTGAAAGGGAAGAGCAGTTCAACCTCAATGATGGGAAAAAAAATGCTGTCATAAACACGAATAGGTCTGCAAGAAATTAAACAAGGAAATTCAGAGAAGAGCTTAAAAGTATTGAACCTTTTACCATAACACTTGTTAACAATGAATCCATGAGAAGATAGGACTAAAACAGGCTATACTTTCCAATCCAAATAAACTGCATGGTTCTTAATTCCTTTCTAGGAAATGCATGAATTGAACCAAAATCTCTATTCTCTGTATGTTAATTTATTAACATCATCAATTTACAAATTCAGTTATGGCTTTCCAATCTTTGCAGTAAAAAGATTTTATGTAAAAGGTAAATCAATTTCTCTGATCAGTAGATATGCAAGATGTCCAAGAAATTTTCTGCTCCTCATGATTCCCATTGAAGTACCAAGAAAAAGAATTGAAATGTCTAACTCTTTTTTATATTGTACTAAGTAATTCTAACATTATATATAAAACTGACTAATTTCCACTTGTAGTGACACTATTGTTGGTCTAGAAATGGTTTCTGTCATGGAACTTGGTAGTTAAATCCTAAAGACCTAAACCTTTTAAGAACATCCTTATGTTTTAATGCACTTATATGCAAGTACTTTCAGTCAATTCAAAAAGTGAAATAGGTCCAAATATCGGACATTTTGATATAAAAAGGGAAAATATGATACCTCAGTCCCACACTGTGAGCAAGTCCTGCTGTGAAAGAATGATTTGAGTTTGCCCTTTCCACTGGTTCACAGAGAGTTGCCAATGCTGGATCATCGGTGGAAGAAACCCGAATAAGTCTAGCACAATTTGGCCATTCTAGCATTTTATCTCCATCAATTAACGATTGCAACCATGCCTCACCACTGCCTCTTCTTGCATACAATACACATCCTTTTCCCCATGCATCAGGAATTGTTTGAGATGATTGCGTCCTTGTGTGATGAAGTTGATAATGATAATTAAGCCATTCTGTCTTAATTGGGTAATTAGGACACCCAAGAACTCCAAGAACAACTTTTCCATCCTCAATCAGAGCTAGAGCAACAGCATACTGATCACCGCGTACAAATCCTAAGGTGCCATCAACAGGGTCAAGTACCCAATGTCTTCCCCTGGGGCCTCCAGAGGAGTTGCACCGGGCAATGGCTTCAAGAACTTCTGATGTCCCAAGAGTTGTCGCCGGACTTTGAAGACCATAATTGGATGCAAAAGCTAAAGACTCATTAACAGTATCCACAACAGCTGCTAGCAAGCCTGCTGATTCATCTTTGGATATGGTTTCTATGTCTTCTTCGGCAACAATTGATACATTTTGAACCCCAAAAATTTCTGATAGTAACCAACTAATAGTTGCTTGAACACTCAAGTCTTCTCAAGCAGAGACATGAAATGAAATAACCAGTTAATTAACTTTGAGTAACATTTACACCAAAAACAAAAATTTTGAGCACCTCATGTAAATGTGCAAGGAGAAAATGGAGGATATTATTAATAGTAGAGTAAAATATTCTCATTGCCATATCAGACTGATTACTTTCAGTGCTATAGGAATATAAACAAGCTAGTTTGATCTGAGTGCAAAATTGCAAAAACTAATATTCTATTTATGTATACAAGAGAAAGAAAAAGAGAAAAGTGGTGATAGCTCTACTTTGTAGAAGCAAAAATGGGTAGTAATATTGGAGCTTGGATCTTTGGACTGTCACTATAACCAAAAAGAAAAAGAAAAGTTTCCACCTTATGAAGTCCCACAAAAGAGGTTTAACAACTTCTTGGTGGTCACAACTTGAAACAACAAGTTGACAGACAAACATTGCTAAGCTATAAGCTCAATCAAAGTGAAGTACCAAAAGCTCTAAATGTTGATCAAGCTAACTCTATATTTCCCTAAAAGAAAAAAAATAGACCATTCAAAGTTTCCAGCTACATAGTTAAACATGATTTACATCAACTAGAAACCAAACATCAAAAAGAGAAATATACTACCATAAAAAGAATGTGACACTATGAATTGTAGGGAAAGCTACAAGAAGTTTGCAACATTTCCAAAGACTAAATTGAGAAGCATAGTCATCTTAATGGTTTTTCCTCTGCAAAAGATTCATACCTTATTACAGTAAAATAAATTGAAATAAATCTCCTGACATTTTATAATTGGGTAGCCTACTATGCAATCAGTTCATTTTATTGAACCAGTACAACTATCTGCCACAGCTTTTGGACTGATGGAATGAGTTTCTTTTGGACAGAAAAGTTTCTCTGAAAGTTCAATTTATCCCAAGTTCCCAACCATCTAGATATGCCCACTACTGGCTGCACTACGCAAACAATTAGTCACAATATAGATTCAATGGCTTGTTTCAACATGGAAAGCATTCAAGACAAGAATTTTTTTGGGGGGGTGATACAAGATTTAATTTTTATGGTAATAATTCTGTCTCCCAATGTGATGAAAGAAGTAGACATTGAATATCCAAGTCCAGCTGGATGATTACGAACCAACTAAGATATTTCTTTCTTTAGCATTAAAATATTAGAATGCACCATGTTAATCACTCCAGAGACTTTCAACTAGGCCTGAAAGCCTGTGTTAATATACAAATAGCATATGCATTTATTTCCATTTATGGTTATGAATCTGAGGTCAAGGAAATCAAATCCTACAAGAACTATCATACACTTAGGAGTACAATTAAATTAGATATTACATTCATAATTTCAACCAACATAGATGTATAACTAGTGTGTATTTGCACACACACACCAGATTTATATCTCATACAAACGATGCCACAGCTAAAATTTCTTCATATAAGATTAAATAACTTAATAATATAAAACCATTCATGAGTATTCACCCAATAACTTAAAGTTTTCTAGTTGACAAATTCTTGACATAGTATCATAAACTCTATGATGAAGTAGATAGGAGTTCGATGCTTCCTTCATTCCCCCAAATAAAAGTTGAATTTGAGTAAAAGGTAGGTAGGCCTATGGATTGTCCACCCTTCAAGTGGCTCTTCGAGAGGGGTCATGCTAGATATAAACCAAACATGAACTTTCACCAAATAACTTAAGCTTTTGAAATAGATTATTCTTGACACAACTGAAGTTTCTCAACAACTTCAATGGAAAAGTTTACCAGCACTTTGAGTCAAAGAAACGAATAGTCGACCTCCAGCGAACAATGTACTTCCCTCTAACAAGTTGTTTTATATACTTCATGGTTCCTTACCATGGCCATGACCATCTATGTTTTATAGAATATCACAGTAAATGGACAAGTGGGTACGGGATAGATGCTGAAATCACAAGCCTATTAGACACATACAGTGCAATTATGATATCACTATTGATAATGCAAAGATCAAATCATGGCCAAAAAATAAATGTGATATAACGTAACCTACATAAGAATTAACCTAGCACTTCACTGTCAAATCAGAGCTCAAACAAATCCAACAACTCCAGACTACAACAAAAATAAAAGGAAAATGAAAGAATAAATGAATGAAAATCTGCATGATAGATATTCAGAATCACGATTCAAGCCAAATTGCCCGCTAAAGATTTCAGTTTCACTAAAACAATACACAACACTTCACACGATTCATGTCAAAACCGGTCCATCATAACACACTCTAATACTTTACAAAGCCAAGAGCAAAGTTTGCCAATCCCACACGAATCTTCAAGCTGCATTACCTATTGAACATTTCAATTTCACTAAAAACAGTTCACTGGATTTGATCCTACACTTTACCAGAAACCAATAACCAAAACGCCAGTCTTTTTAGCAACTATAAGAAAAAATATATCAAACTATTCAAATCAAAACGACCCCATTTTGAAGAAAATAAAAAAACGCAAAAGGGGTATAATAAAATCAAAATTAAAATTGAATGCAAATACCTGCAACAGTAACAGGAGAATCATCATCCTTGGACAGAACGTTATCATTGTTGGTCGCAAGGAGCCTCTCCTGCACCCTCCCACAGAGAGCACATGCCACGTGGACCACCCTAACAGCCACTTCCAATTCCCTTGCATACTTGTCCTCCTCCATGCCCAAACTAACTCACACGCTCCCTAACAAGCCGTGTTCGGAATTAGAGGATTCCCACGTGTGACGTGCCCAAAAAAGAGTGAAAGGAAAAGAAGAGTCGAGTCTTCTACATGATGTGCTTTGGTTTTGCAAGGAACAATTGTAGCATTTCCCAAAGCAAAATGTGAAAGTGAAACGTGGGGTTCTTCTTTCTCCCACAAAAAGATGTAACTAAACGAAACGAAACACCACCAAAAGTGTTTTCTTTGATGGGTTTGTGTTGTGCTCTCTCAATTGCACCCTCCATACTAAAGGGAAAGGGATAATAAAATATACCACAAATTATATTATAATTATATGCATACTCAGCTTCAAAAAATATTCTTTTTTTAATTATACGTATTTTTACAAAATGATAATTTTACTTTTAAATAATAAATATACGTTTTTTTTTTCCTTTACCACACCATAAGGTATCTTTTAGTGTAGACCACCAATGCTCGAGTTGAGTAATATTAATGCAGAAAAATAAATATACATTAACACTTGCTTTTCTTTTATTTGATCTTTTATATATATATATATATATATATATATATATATAAGATCAAATAATATAATACTGCATTATTTGTTTTAATTAAATTTTTATAATTAATTGGTGTGTGTTAATAATATTCAAAAAAATAATTATAATGTGTAAATAAAATAAAAAATGAAATATACAAAAATGATGTTGATTATAATTCATAAAGTGAAAGGTTATCTAAACAAGTATATTAAAAGTTGAAATTTTAACGTATTTAAAAATTTTATATTCCACATATGATCAAAATAAAAATGAAAATTTTTAAGTATTCTTCATACATTAATTAAAAATCTTTATATTATGATTATAAAAATAGCTATAATTTAAAACTAAAAAGAAAAATATTAGAAGCAATATCACTAAAATCATAAAAAAAAAAAAACCATATAAATTGTCTTAAAATATATAAATATGTACTATGATTATAATAAGGTTGATAAAATGTGATTGACATCAAAGGCTGCGAACGTTTGGGGCCCAAGAGGATCACATTCATGAATTTGATGTTGAGCAACTTGATATTTGCTTCTTCTGTGCCACCAAGATTCTGCCACGTCATCATTTGACTTTTTTCAGATTATAAGTGGGCCCTTGTCATGATAGGGGATCTAACATTCTTAATCAATATTTTATATCTTCAATTTATAATAATTATTAATTTAACTAACTCCGATTGATGACCTCAGAAATTTTATTTTTTTATTTTTTTAAAAAAGAAATGAAATATCCTAAAGTGCTTCACCGAGTCAACATTATCCATCCATTTCAAGATTTTGTGTGTCAAATATGTCTATAGTGTCGCTTATAATCATTCAATTAATTGGTACACAATTATTTTTAAATTTTATTAAAAATTAGGTAGGTTATACTTTTTTCTTTTTAAATTATTATTTTTTTATATTTTAAATAAATTTTAATTAAAATATGTTAAAAAGAGTGTTATGCTACTTCTAATTAAGACTAATAAAAGAGTGTTAAATTTTATGTTATTTGGTATAATAAATTTGGAGAAGGAAAATAAATAGAAAAAAGAATAGGAGATGCATCTAGTCTACATCCGAGGCATGATTCCATTTTAACAACTGCCAACGGGACCACAAATTTTCACATGTGATGTGATTCGGATAAATAAAAAACACTTAAAATATGCTGTAACGGAGTTATAGGGACTTTTTTATTTAAATAATATATTTTTAAAAATAAATTCTTAAAATAAGGTTTTTGCTAAACTATTTTCGTGTCTGGGGCTTTTTTTTGTCAGGATGGCAGTAGTATCGCACATGCATAGATGATAGTAAATTTTTATTATTATTTTAATAGAGTATCGTTCCAAAATTACCGATACTATACTAGACTGCACGAGTATCGGACAAAGTGAAACGATAACATATTTTTATAATTATTTTAATATATTATCGTCGTCCAGCATTTGAAACTCATATTTTTTTAATTAATTTTAATAATATCGTTGCAGATTAACCGATACTCAATATTTCAATAAAAGGACTTATAAATCAAATTGAACCGCTCTCGTAAGTCACCTTTAGAGAGCGGTTCAATTTGAACCGCTCTCATAAGTCATCTTTAGAAATATATTTAATTATTTTTTATATATCTATATATTAAATTTTAACAAAAATTTTCTAAATAATTATTATGCATCAAAGTTTGAACAATAACTTTTCATGGTATACTTATTATATACATTGTAATTATAGTGTTATTAATTTTATTTTTATTAATATTTCATTTTATATTCTATTTTACTCTACAACAATTTAAAAAATTATGTAATACCTACATTATTACTTTATTTAAACTTTTATTTTTATTTTACTTCTCCTTTTTTATTTATATTAAATCAAAAACAATTTTTTAATTTCACTTTATTACAACCAAATATATTTAATTTAATTTATTCCCATTATTTAATCATTTTTAAAATATATCATTTTTTAATTATTTCTTTTTACTTATCAACACTAATAATCTAATTTCTCATACTTTTTACGTAATACATATTTATTTTTAAATATAATTATCTTATTATCTTCAAAATATTACTAATTATGTATTTCTATTTTAATATTTAATGATTTAACTAAAATTTTATATTTTAATGTATTTTATCTATCATAACATTTGTAATTTTTTTTTCCTAAACATAATATTACATATATCAACCAATAACAAAATAACACTACTTATATATCTATTTTTTTTATATCAATCAAATTTTATATATAATTTATTTATCACAAATTAATAAATATATCAATTACACTCAACAAATTAATATATATCTATAAATTACACTTTAAAAACAAATTTGGAAAATTAAATTACAATCTTAAAAATTATTTTTTTCCGGTTCTAAGTCAAATGCACAGTTTTTACATATACAAACTTTCACATTTTTCATTTCATACATATAATTACTAAAATCTGATACAAAATTTACAAAAAAAAGTTAAACTGCATTTGATATAGAATTCTAACCTTTAATGCCGGCAGCAACAACGACTATTCCAGTTCACCAATATCGGGTCCTAAACTACAGATTGAAATCGGTTATTATTTTTCAAATGAAACTCAATAAAATATCACAAATTCAACAAAATAATTTTTACCTTCCAATATTTCAGAGAATAATGCAAACGAAATGAAATTTTTACACAAGACTTTTGCAAACTCGCATAAAAAACCTTCAACGTCAGCGTTAATGGAGATTATGATGGAGGGGAAGAGAAGTAGAAGCTTGGGCGGCGTCGGTTCCAATATTCCACGTGTCGCGACCCCAACTAGTATCGCTCCAAAAGAAACGATAAGCCAGTCGACGTGTCAGAGACGATACACATACGATCTCGACACGTGGCACTATTTATCCCCGACCGTCCATCGCGAATGGTTATCGTCCCTATTTCGTCGATACTACTTATTTAAGAGAGCGGTTCAGTTTGAACCGCTCTCTAAAGATGACTTATGAGAGCGGTTTAATTTGAACCGCTTTCTAAAGGTGACTTATGAGAGCGGTTCGAGAGCGGTTCAAATTGAACCGCTCTCTAAAATTGATTATAGGTCATTTTTCGTTGATTTTGAAATATTGAGTATCAGTTAATCTGCAACGATAGTATTAAAATTGATTAAAAAAATACGAGTTTCGAATGCTGGACGACGATAATATATTAAAATAATTATAAAAATATGTTATCGTTTCACTTTGTCCGATACTCGCGCAGTCTAGTATAGTATCGATAATTTTGGAAAGATACTCTATTAAAATAATAATAAAAATTTACTATCGTCTATGCATGTGCGATACTACTGCCACCCTGGCAAAAAAAAGCCCCAGACACGGAAATAGTTTAGCAAAAACCTTATTTTAAGAATTTATTTTTAAAAATGTATTATTTAAATAAAAAAGCCAGTTATAGGTGAACATCTACTATTATTAATTTTTTTTATCATATATTAAAAAATTAAAAAAACATGACATAGGTTAGAATAAGAATTTAATTTAAATATATTAATAATGTAAACAAAATTATAATATTATCCAATTATTCAATGTAGTTGTTAAATTATTTTCTTATTCAAGAATCAAAAGCATCTCTAAAAAACTTTTTAGGAACCAGTTTGAGTATTCATTCTATTTTTCTCAACACCTTTAATCTTGACAATACTTGTAATACGTTTGAATTTTTGTTTATAATTAAGAATTAACCATCAATAATTGGTTCTCAATACAAGAGTAAGATGATAACAAGAGGCATTTCAATGAATTATATTTTAAATAACTTACACACGTTTCAAGTTACTTATATAAAAGGCATAATAACAAGTTTTTTTTTTCCTGTTTGTCTTGACTAAAAGAGTATTAATAATTTAACGACTAAATCATACAATAATTTAAATAATCAAATAGTGCAAACTTTCAACATCAAAAGATCAGTTTATTCCTTTTTATGATAAATTATTATATTATTATTATTTATTTATTCGAAAATCAATAACTCTTGAAACGCACATGCTGCATATTGCTAAAAGTTTTCTTAGTTTTCTTAAAACCTGTTTTTTTACATATTTTTTCTTGAATTTGATTTTGAAGGTCTTTTTTTAAAAAAAAAAAAGAAGTAAAAGTGACAAAATTGACTGATCCATCTAAAAATAGGTTACTTTAATTATGTTATATTTAAAAATAAGTTAAATTTTTTAGTCTAACTCGTTTAAGAGTAAGTTAACAGTGAATTAGTCTGCTAAAAACTAAACAATAAAAAAAAAGTTGTTAGACCATTAAATTAATAGATCAGCCCACTAAAAATAATAAAAATATTACACTAAATAATAAAAAATAGTTTAAAAATTATTTTTATATTAATAAAATATAATATTTAATTAATAAATAACTATTTTAAATTTTTAAACATAAAAAATGGATATAACATATAACAAGTTAACTTGATCTAGTCTACCATTAACTTATATTTTGAGAGGATAAAATAAGGTAAGCTAAGTGGGCCAATGAATTTAATATATTCAGTTCAACCTACTAATTTTGATAGATTAAGCAAATTGACTTGAATGGAGAAGTATTGCTTGAAAACTTATTAATATGGCTGATGAAAAGCAACAAGCACACAATTATCATATTTTTCAAGCTTTCTGTGCAAGGAAATTTTCTAACTAAAAATTGAAACTTATTCTACCTACATGATTGTTCTCTTTCTTTAATTTTCTACCCTATTAATTAAACATTGGACCATGACAACGGAATTTGCATAGGAGTCCTAGTCACAAATGAAAATGTCTCCTTCATGTTATGTGAAGCATTAATAATACTCTCCAATTTATCATCAAGTGGATCTTTCTGTACCACTCAATTATTATTCATATATAAATAAAACTAATAGTCTATATATTTTAAATTTGAGCAAAATCAATCTTTTTAGCACTAACTTTGCATTTTTAAATGTAATTAAAATATATTTTTTATTAAAAATATATTTTTTCTAACGTAAAATAATTAACAAAAACATGGAAACTATGAATGAACACTAAACATGGCAATTAGACGAGGTGGGGTAGGTCTTGTCTTCCCATCTCTAAGATTAGGACTTCTAAAACTTGTCCTTATTCTCATTAGATATAAGAAAAAAATATTACAGTTTTAGGATTTGGATTTGGGAACTCACTTTATCTTCTATTAGACGTTGTCTCCTTTTTATATTTCTAAGATAGATGGTAGGACTGAGGTTCATTGCCTCTACTTAAAAACAGTGAATTTTTATTAAAAACAATTATATTTTCAAAATTTTAATATAATAAAAAATATTTAAAAATTACTATTTTTTAAGTCTTTAAAACTTATTTTTAAAGTTAAAAAGAACAAAATTTTTAAATTAATTAAAAATTAAATATATTATAAATTAAGTAGTACATAAAAATAGATATTAATAATATTTTAAAAGTAAAATAAATTGAAACCAAATCATATTTTATATAAATATGTAATTTCAATTTAATGTCATGTAAATAGTAAATATTAATGAACTGATGTCATGCTTTATTTTTTTATAAAATATATTTAATAATTTAATTTTTAAATATTAATTTTTTAATGATTGAACTTTTTATTTGTTTTAGCGTGACACTAGTGGACAAATTGCTCATGCTACTTCATTATATATTTTTTATCTGCTTACTTTTAGAAATATAACTTTTTATTTATATTTTTTATAATTTTAAAGAATATTATTTATTATTTTACAATACTCTTATCTCCATTTAATTCTTAAATATTTTATATGTTATTATAAATGAAGAATAAAATAATGAAGTTCATGATATGGAGTTAAACATGATTTTAATATATATAAAAGATTAGTTATATAAATTTTATTTTCTTTCTTACTTATGTGTTTTTAATTTTATCAAAGTTAAAAGTAATAAATATATTATTTCAAAAATTTCAAAATAAGTCATTATTATTGACAACATAAACTTATTATCGACTCTTCAAAAAATAATATGAGATTCAATAAAATTTATAATTTTATCATTTAAATATGAATCACATATTTAACTGATTTATAATTTTTTTATTATACTCTTAAGTTTTGTTAGAAAGATTAAAGGAAAAAACATAAAGAGTTTAAAAAAGAAAGAAACGAAAAAATAAAAAAGGCAATACAAAATTCTTAAATTAGAATAATCTAAAAATATGAGATTATTAAAATTTTGAATGGTTTGTAAATTTTTATTTTTATTTTAAAAATTTCTAAATTAAACATTATATGAACTTTTTTCTTTTTTAATAATCAACTCTCATATAAAGTCTTAAAAAAATTAATTTAAACTTTTTATAATTTATCTTTTGTTTAAAATTTTCTTTTGCTCTAATTACACGTACCTCCATTTTTCATTCCAAGTATTATTTTCTCGCATACGTTTTTAAATTCTATTGAAAAGCTATCCGTGCCAAACTGTACTTGTCGCATCGCATAGTCCCCTTGTCACCTTTCAAATTGGTACTTCCCATTCCATCTTCACCGTCCACGTGGCAAACATCCAAGTAAACACCTTGCTTGAACCAAGTAGGTCTCCCGCGCCAAAAACATGATCACAATCATTGGTACACCCATTATGATCCCAACACGTGTCAACGCAATTAATTCGATGAGGACACGCGTCACGCATCCAACGACCCAATAAATTCACACCCCTTTTGACGAAACCTTCTCATCTGCCTCTATATAACCAGTCGCTCCGTGTAAACATGGAAGTGCCCAAAACATAAAAGCAACCTTCGATTCATAATCAACAACGTTGGAGAGTGTAGAGAACATGGTTTGCTTCTGTTTCTTAGTGGATCAAACGAGGAAGGTGAAGCGGAGCAAGCCCGTTGCGGGGTCGTGCTCGCGGTGTGGCGGTGGTGCCAGCGTCGCAGATATGATTACACAAACTCGATTTTGCTACGTTCCTTTCTACTGCAAATCTTGGAAAGCTATTATGTGCACTTTTTGTGGAGCCATGCTCAAGTCTTATAGATGAGAAAGTAATAGCAATTCAGATACACATATACACCAAATATCATTTGCTGGTTATATATTGTTACTCATAGTTGCTTCTTTTTTTTTTCGATGTTATAACATGTATCTTGATTTGGGGCTCTAGTTTGGTATACGCTATATTGAGTTGTAGATAGTAAAGCGAAAATATTGAAGTTTTTTTTTTTATACCTTTTCGCTTCTGAACTTTGATGTTTTGATTCCCTTTTTTATGTGCAAAGCCTTCATTCATTGAATTCTTCCAATCTATCTACAGGATACTACTGTTCTCTTGAGGTGGGTGATGATGGGTTAATCAAGAGTTGTGCTATTCTTCCTCTTGCTTCTTATATCTTTTTAAGCATCTTTTGAATAATTTTTTTATTATTGAATAAAAGTATATATTTTTATTATATTAATAATATTTAATATCTAAAAGAACTTTTAGTCAGAAAAGGGAGGATAATTTAAAATTGTTTTTCAATCGATAGCATTTAGAAAGCTTCATCATGGTTATGGTTTTGTGCCTCTGAGAAAAAAAACTTGTTTTTGGCTTCAAATGAACCATCTCTTAGATTATCATTTGTAGATAATTCATTTATTACAATTGATCTCTTCGTTATCATGTCACTTTCCTCCTTATTTATTGAGTCCTAAGGGCCTTTTCTGGTCCCATATTTTATAGTACGTAGTACTTGCTGTTAGCTAATCTTTTAGTATTTCTGGTGAAGGACTTGGCACTAAAGTATACAATTTTGATTTTTCCACATTTTTTTTCTTTTATATTTACTCCTGCTTTTTATTCTTTTTCTTTAAAACATTACATAACACATCTTTTAATTATTTATTTTTAGTTTAATTTCATTTATAGTCTCTATATTTTATTCTGTATGATTTTTAGTCTTTTTAATTTTAATTATTTGCATTTTATTATTACATTTTTTAATTATATATATTGATCATGGAGTCTTCTCCTGGTCCTTCTTAATTCCAATAAGTTTTGTAAAAGAATAGTGAATTGGTGAATTAGTCTCTACCATGAGTGTGATCCCACTGGCACTGTTAAAAAGAGAAAGTTGTAGTTGGCTTTTCTTTGTCTAATTAATTTGTTGAGTGAGAACTCTTTTGTCTGACTGTTATTTAACAAAATAGACAGTGATAAAAATTTTAAGCATTTTCTAATCCACACTTCATTTACTACAAAATTCCATATGACTTATCAAATATTGGTGAAAATTCCAGCCTATCAAATTGTAATTTTTTTGAATATCTATTTTGAGTATCCAAAACAATTTTTAATTTTCTATTCTTTTAACATCATCTAAAATTTCATTTACTACTACAACACCATTAAGTATATTTTTTTTTTCAACAAATTTAAACTTATCTTCATGAGTGCAGACATATTTCTACTCCTATTTATTATTATTTTTCAAGGCTTAGTTACAATTTTAATCCTCATAATTTAACTTATTTGTGATTTTAATTTTCATGTTTTTAAATTATTCATATTTAGTCCTGTAAATTTTTTATTATTCACATTAAGTTTCCACTCCACAAATTCATTCAATAATTAATAAAATACAATAAATATATATATAATATATCATTGATTTACACAAATTTATAAGAAATTATTTAAAAAATTTATATACTTTCCTACTTATTTGTATAAATAAATAAAATTTGCAAATGCGAACATCTCAATGAAATATAATAATTGTGACCAATGATATTTTTTTTATGTGAATTTAATTGGTGACGGTGGGAGTCATGTAAATGTAAATGTAGATGCATGCAAGTTTGGAAATGTGGAAATTAAGTAATGCCCAATAAAATTTTCTGCCTCATGAGACTTATATATGCTTTTTCAGTTTGCCGACCAAAGAAATATATATATAGACACACACACACACATATGTCAAAGTGTCAATTTTTCTACTGAAAACTGCCAACAAATCATGCAATTAAGTAAAGTAGGGTTACAGCATGGGAATATAGGGAAATTAAGGTCCGTGCAATAAATATGGAGAAAGTCCAAAGTAGGAAAAATGAAACCATGGCTGCCAAGAGACTTAGTGCCATATGGTCTATGGAATTGGATGGGATGCATTCACTCAAGACCAAAGTGGGAAATGCATTGTACTGAAAAAAAAAATGTAGAGTTCATATGTTTCTAAAAATAATTAATAATAAAAGCATGTTAAAGAATGTATAAATTATAAATTTATATAATTAAAAAACAATGACCAAAGTTATAATTAAATTTGTTATTCAAATAAAAATCTAGATTTTTTTCCTCGCTGAAGTACATCGATTACTTTGAAAGAAAATCAATTTATTTCAAAGGACTCGTTTTCAGGTTGAAAAAAAAGGCTTATAATGTTTTAGTTTAATTGTAATTCTTTGTTCTTACACTTTAATTTATGCACGATTTTAGTTTTTTTTACCTTTAATTGTTTATATTTAGTCTCTCTATTTTTAAAATTATCAACAGAATTATAATAGAAGTGTGACATATTGATTTATATAAATTAAAAAAAGTGTACAAATATCTAAATAAAAATACCAAGTGAAATATACAAAATATAATAAAAAGTGCAACAATTAATTTTAACTGAAAGAGCCTAATTGCATAATTTTAAAATTAAATCACAAGTATTATTGGCATATCATATTAAAACAACAAATAATAAAACAATCTCAAAACATCTAAAATCTATTTCGAAATGCTAGTTTGGTTTTAACTTATCCTATTTATTAGAGTGAGTGTGCGTATTTGATAATAGGAATTTTTTTATCAATAATTCTTAATTCTACTTTTTCTCATAAACCGACATGAGTCGATTTTTTAAAAGAAAACAAGGTTAAATTATTCTTTGGACAAATTATACCTTTTTAATCTATTTTTTTCTCACAAATTACTGAACTCAGAAAAGAAAAAAAATAGAGAAAAGACACTGACTGATTATGTAAATTGGACCTTCGTAATTTATAAATATGTTCTTGTTTTTTTGTTCTAAATTATAAACATGTTCAAAGCCCTTAAAAGTGTTTAAAGTGGGCTTTCACTGTAATTTGTTTCTTGAAGTTTGGACATGTTCGATCTTGGTCCACCGTGATCTCTCATTTGTTTTTCTGGGTTACGAAGTGACATGACATCCAACAGTTAAATACGTTTAAAGAAAGGACTTTGAAGTGTGTGAAGAATGTGTCAGTAAGCTGGTTATTCACCTATATTATTTTATTATAGACATTTTTTACTTGAGTTTGTATTTAAGTTATCTGCATGTGTTTAAAATTTTTATATTTGGCTTTTACTTTTCCAGAACGGTGAGTGCTTATGAAGCCAAAAACACAGAGACAATCCAAATCTAAGAAAATGCGACATAAGAAGGAAAGGGACATAGCAGACGACAAAAATGACGTCAATCAGATGGCGGTGAAAGTGCATGACATTACACAATATGCATGACAGTGATACACACGACGGTGATTTCTACCGTTAAATTAATATTTGATTTTAGATCATTCACTTAATGCTGCTTTTTACACACTCTCTTCTATATTGAAGGCCTATTTCGTGTTTTACAACTTAATACGCATTTGTGTTTATACTTTTTTAAAATTTTATAAACATTAATCACAATAATTATATCTATATTTATGAGGGTATTTAGATTTTTTGACTATGATGTTACGTTGAAATATTATATAGATCCATTTTCATATCCCAGATTTGCATTATCTGCACTACAATGTTATGAAACTAGCATGTTATTTAATGAGGTGTGGGGTATCTTTCCAGGTACTATGATGCTTTTTGCCTCCTTTAACCTCATGTACAAGCTTCGTAATAACATTATTATTGAAAATATAACAAATCAATATATTATTATTACCTTAAAAATACACTCTAATTACACCAAATACGTAAAAATATTTTTAATTAATGGTACACATAACCCTTTTCTTTATACATTTATTTGTGATGTGGTTACAACATAATATAAAAAAATAACCATGTTTTAAAATTGACATTACACAATATATATTCTCTTTTATCACCTGAGGTTGTAGCTCAGACCAATACTCAAGCTTATAGTCCATAGTCTTTCTAAATCTTGAATTGGATCCACATTCTATTTCAACAATAAAGAAGTGACCATAAAGAGATTACTTCAGTTAAAAGAAAGAAAAAGAAACAAGAAAAACAATCTCTTAAGAAAGAGAGTAAAAAGCCTACTTGATGTAAGTAAAAGATCGAGAAAAAAAATCACAAAGAAAAAAAAAATCTCTTAAAAAAGAAGCCCCCAAGAGGGCAATTTCACTCTGCTGCCAGAAAGATGGAAGCAGAGGCAAAGCAGGGCTCAAGAAAAAGTTGCTAAAACCATTGTATTTAATTTTTTTTTTTTTTGTTTATCAGACCCTTTGAATGATGGAATTTTAGTGATGAGATATAAGATGGGCTCATGGGCCTCATCGGTCATCATAGTTGACTATTTTGGGTCAACGTCCCTAGTTGACTTGTGAATAGGGAAGAAAGAAGAGTTGGGCTGTACTGTGTGTATAAAATAAGGTGGTTTATTGTGTGCTTATGAAAACGCAGTGTGAAAATATTAAATGTATTTTATTAAATATTTTAAATTATTAAAAATTAAGTTTTAAAAAAATTGTAATTTTGATAATTTTTTTAATGAACACATTAAACAAAGTCTCTTAAAAACTAAAGCTAAAAAAAATTAAAATAGAAGGATGTTTTTCTTCGGGCCCTCTAGTCTCTAACGTTAATGGTGGTGTGATTTGTGTTGTTTTGACGTTTGTGACCACTCACGTAGACTAAATGCTTTTATTTTTTCTTGAAAGATGATATTAAATAAATAATGATTAATCTATTAAATGCAAAGTAAGACACAACCCATCTTGATTTAGAGAAAGACATTCTAAAAAATGAATTCTTATACTTTTTAATCGAAAACAAATGTTCTAACAAAAATTAATGATTAAGAATAATTTTGAGTGATTTATTAAGAATAGTGAGAGATTGTATTTGGAATGAAAATATAAATAGATAAGAACAGGTTTGGTCCAATGTGCGAGGCCATGTGCTTCTATGCGGCGGTTATTTAAAAATGTCGTGTATTTCACTACACATTCACATCAAAACTTATTTATTCTCTTCATTCCACACACCGTTATCCCATTTCCAATAATATCAAATTATTTTTAAATATTATTTAAATGTTTTTTAAATTACATCTAAACACTATAGATAATAATTTTTTTAAATATTTAATATAATTATATTTATTAAAATTTATTATTTAAATATATGAAAGTTTATGATATGAAATAATTTTTAAAATTATCACAAAAAATAAAATTTTGAATAAAAAAGTGTGTTGTAGAGCATATTAATGATATTTTTTTAAAAAAATAAAAATAATAATAGTATATACAGGCTCGCGATGACAAGAAGTCAAACTCCGTTACCGTTAATGATAAGTATCTCGAAAGCGCGTTAATGCGGGTCCCACAAATCGTCGAACCCAGCACATCATAGCAACCGTTCCTTCCTAGCCATCAATTTCTTTTTTCTTTATTTGGTATTTGTATACAATATAAACGGTAGATAAGGGATGCACATGCAAGGACTTGTCAGCACTTTCTTCTTTTCCTCAAATTTTTATAGGATCATTTATTTTTATTTTTATTTATTTTAATCAAAATATACAAATAAATTTATCATTTTATGATATATATTTCATAAAATATGACTATAAATAATGATTATGTTACATAAAATATTATTTATTAAAAAAATATTATTGTTGTAAAAATTGTAACAAAGTACAAATTAGAAGAATAAACGATACTATACTGGATAAAATGATCCAAGTTATAATCTGAACTCATTTTTAAGATATACTGAGCTTATTGTTTTTAGTAATTTAAATATGTGATAGTTAACTTTAAACCTAATCAGATTAACAATACAGGTTAAATCATGAGCACCAATCACGGTTGATATAATATAAACTTTCTTAACATATAGTTTTTTTACAACCTATTCTATATTATAAATATTAGTTCAGTTGCATTGCCTAACTTCCATGATGTTTTTTAGTTTTTTATTGATTTTTGGGTTAAATCGTTCAATTCTTCTCAGATTTTGGACTTCTAAAATCACAATAACACAACAAAATCTTGCGGAAACAGCTGGTTTTATGGGGAGGAGTAGGAGTAGTAAGATTTTGAAGTTTCGTACCTTTTTCTTCTATGTGGGGCCCTCTTTTTTTCCTAAGTAAGTGACAGCCTAATCACCAGCCTGGAAAAGGGTGTTTGCTACCACACTAAAAAGCTCAACTTGATGAGTTCATGGTAATGGGGTTCATGTTTGTAATGTAATCTCAACTGGGTCTCCCTCTAATGTTCTAAACTTTCTTCACATTGGTACTACCAGATTATTCACATTAAAGGTAAGCTTTATTTTATTTTATTTTTAACCTATGCTCAATTTACTTACGTCAGAAGAACTACCTTATGCTAGATTTAAGACTCTCTGTGTTGTGTTTGTGACATTGGAAACTTCTGTACTTTGTCTCTTGCTTGTAATAGAAATGTCTGGTTCTGTGCATTGCTTCTCATAGATCGGTGGTTGTTGCAGGTTTTGTGTGGCTTGGAAATAAGCTATTGGGATTTTATTTTGCATTTCTGGGGTCTCTTTGAATTCGGATTTTGAGAAAATCCGTTTTGGTGATTTGGGTATCCATCAACCCGTTTATGGAATATTGAAGACCCAGGCGAAGCTACAATGGTGAAGATGGAACTCATTAAATGGGTTCCTCATGTTTTTGTTGTTGTTTTTCTGGTTTTGGTTAATGGCTCATTTGCCTTATACACTCCTCCTGATAGTTATCTAATTGCTTGTGGTTCTTCCCAAAACATCACCTTCCAAGGTCGAACTTTTGTCCCTGATTCACAGCATTCTTCACTTGTGCTGAGAAATGGGAATTCTGTTGTTGCTAGTTCCAATTCTAGTGTTCCCTTCCCACTTTACCAATCAGCTCGAATTTTCACTGAGAAAGCTTTTTATAGGTTTGAAATTCAGCAAGAAGGTAGGCATTGGGTGAGGCTATACTTTTCCCCTATTCCAAACGCTGGCCATAACTTGACTTCTGCTTCTATAACTGTGGTTACTGATGATTTTGTACTCTTAAGCAACTTCACCTTTAAGAAGTTCAATGGTTCGTACATGTTCAAGGAGTATGCAATCAATGTTACCTCTGATACATTGACTGTCACCTTCATTCCTTCAAATGGTTCAGTAACCTTCGTCAATGCAATTGAAGTTGTGTCAATGCCAAATGAGTTGTTTGTTGATCAGGCTTTGGCTGTTAGTCCACCAGCACCGTTCAGCGGGCTTTCTGAACTTGCCTTTGAAACTGTATATCGGTTAAACATGGGGGGTCCTTTGATTACCGCCCAGAATGACACCCTAGGTAGGACTTGGGTTAATGATAGGAAATACCTCCATGTGAACAGCTCTGTGCTTAATGTGTCAGTGAGTCCTTCGACCATTAAGTATCCGGTTGCTGTTACACCTGAGACAGCCCCAAATTGGGTCTATGCCACTGCTGAAACAATGGGAGATCCTAATGTAAATGATCCAAATTTCAACATTACTTGGGTCTTCACTGTGGATCCAAATTTCTCCTATTTTATCCGGGCGCATTTTTGTGATATTATGAGCAAGGCTCTCAACACTTTAGTGTTTGATTTATTCATAAATTCTGACATAGCTCTTGGAAGTCTTGATCTCTCATCCATAACTAATGACTTGGCTGTGCCTTACTACAAGGACTTCGTTGCCAACGCCTCAGCAGACTCTAACACACTGACTGTGAGCGTTGGTCCAGATTCTGTGGCAGTCATCCGAAATGCCACAATGAATGGATTGGAGATAATGAAGATCAGCAACCCATTAAAGAGCTTGGATGGACTTTCTTCAGTAGACAATCTTCTTCCGAGTTCACCATCAAAGAAAAACATGATAGGAGTAATAGTTGGTTCCGCTGTTGGTGCTTTTGCTTCAATAGCTGTGGTTGGATTTTGTTATTGCTTCTTGTTGAGACGCAAGTCCAAGTCTACTCAACAGGGCCATTCATGGCTTCCTCTACCCCTATATGGAAACTCTCTTACCATGACAAAAAATTCAACAACTTCACAGAAGAGTGGAACTGCAAGCTGCATTTCTTTAGCTTCGTCGAACCTTGGACGATTCTTCAGTTTCCAAGAAATCCTAGACGCAACCAACAAATTTGATGAGAAGCTACTTCTTGGAGTTGGTGGTTTTGGAAGGGTTTATCAGGGAACACTTGAAGATGGGACCAGTGTAGCTGTTAAAAGAGGTAACCCAAGATCTGAGCAAGGCCTTGCTGAATTCCGTACAGAAATTGAAATGTTATCCAAGCTTCGCCATCGTCATCTTGTGTCTCTCATTGGTTATTGTGATGAGAGGTCAGAAATGATCCTTGTCTATGAATACATGGCCAATGGACCCCTCCGGAGTCATTTGTATGGAACAGATCTTCCACCTCTATCATGGAAGCAGCGGCTTGAGATTTGCATTGGAGCAGCTAGAGGTCTTCATTATCTCCACACCGGAGCAGCTCAAAGCATAATTCACCGAGACGTGAAGACAACAAATATCCTCTTGGATGAGAACTTTGTCGCCAAAGTTGCTGATTTTGGCCTCTCCAAGACTGGTCCTGCTCTTGATCAGACCCATGTGAGCACTGCTGTTAAGGGTAGTTTCGGTTACCTTGATCCTGAATACTTCAGAAGGCAACAACTTACTGAGAAATCAGATGTGTATTCATTTGGAGTAGTGTTGATGGAAGTTTTATGCACACGGCCAGCCTTGAATCCAGTCCTTCCAAGGGAGCAGGTTAATATAGCAGAGTGGGCAATGACCTGGCAGAAGAAGGGGATGCTTGACCAAATCATGGATCAAAATCTTGTTGGCAAGGTGAATCCTGCTTCTCTTAAGAAGTTTGGGGAGACAGCTGAGAAGTGCTTGGCCGAGCACGGCGTGGATCGGCCATCTATGGGAGATGTCTTGTGGAATCTTGAATATGCTCTGCAGCTTCAAGAGACCTCATCAGCCCTCATGGAACCTGAAGATAACAGCACAAACCACATCACTGGCATTCAGTTGACACCCCTTGAGCATTTTGATAACAGTGTGAGTATGATTGATGGGGGCAACTTTTACACGGATGATGATGCAGAAGATGCTGCCACAAGTGCAGTATTTTCTCAATTGGTAAATCCTCGCGGAAGATGAGCTCTTGTGTACTCATAATTCTGGCCAAAGGCCTTTAAGTAAGTGCCTTAGGACTAGTTAAAAAGTCCTGATTGGTGAATGAAGGTTATTTCTTATTTAGTTACTGCTTTTCTTAATCCATTTTTTTCCCACAATCAATTTACTATGTAATATACTTGAGTGATAGTGATGGGTGTCAATGAGCTGGTTACTAATTGCAATTGCATGTAAGGTACCCTATAAAATTCTGTTGTACTAAATGTAAACCAAATAGGAGCTCAGCTCCTCAAGTTGTTCTTACACCTTAAAATATATGGAGGTTATAAGTTCTTTAGAATGTGACTACAGTGGCAAGTAGGGGACTGATCCTGATAAGTTGAATTGCTTTTCTTTTCACTTTTCGGGATTTCTTTATATGCTTTTATACTAATATTTACATATGGCTTCTAAAGAGATGTTGAAAAAGTTTAAGTGCTTTATGGAATTAGTGAGTAGTCAATATGGAACTTAAATAAGTTGGAAATGATGCGAATTTTTGAAGAATCAATTAAAGACATTATTTGTTAGAGATGGTTTACTTTCCTCCTATAGAAATGTATGTCATAGTAACCAAGTTTTATAGACATGGGTTTCTTCAATTATATTTTCTCCTAGAAATCAAATATTTCAAAGTTAATTTTTCAACCATCTTGGATATATTGGCTAATTTCTTATCATTTTCATTTTCCACATGATATGTTTCTAGCTGTCAATTATTGAAAAAATAAAATAAAAATAAAAATCAATATATATATATATATCCTAAAAGATTCTTAAATCTCCAATGTTATTTATTTATTTAATATGCATTAAATTATTATGGGGGTCATTTTTCAAGAGCAGATGCAAATAAGATCCAACTTTAAGACCTTGAACATCGGCAAAATATTATTATAAGGGTGAGGAAGAATGAATATTTTAAAAATAGCACCTGTATCGTGTCAGATACTTTGTAAACACTTCTACTTATATTTTGTATTTTTTTTATTTTTTGAAGTTTTCTTATATAATATTTATTTTTGAAAATTTAAATCAGTCAATAAAAATGAGAATACTATAATAATTATACAAATAATATCATCTTATCATATCTAAAATAACTAATTTTATGTATTGTATTCTTTAATTTTTAAAAATTATTGTATGCTTTCTAGTTCAGGTGTCTAAACGAGGCAACCTTGCATGCAATCACATTATTTTAATTTAGTTAAACAATCAAAAGATTATAACTTTTATTCAACAGTAAATCTGGGTACAGAACACTTCTCTTTTTGCCACAATAAAACATAAAACAATCTCCATCTTAAAACAATTACAACTTTGAATAATTCTAGTAGGAGCACATTGGTGGCATAAAAAATTTATCTTCTGCAAACTATACCATTCCCACTGTTGGCAACACCAGTGCAATCAAGCACCCCATAATCAATCACTTGGTTCTTATTTACTAAAGCTTCAGCAGGAGCAAACAAACAAACACCACAATCAGCAGAAACAAGTGAGGTGGTTCTGTACCTATCTTCCCCTCCAACAACTGGCATTGCCACACCCAACTTAACAGGATTTTGAAAATCAGGTTGATAAGTCCTTCCAAGAACCCCTTCAACTTTGGAGGATAGACTATAGAATTTGAACTGCACCTCCAAGTGTGCAAAACAATCATTATCAGGAATTTGATAGTTGTGGATTCTACTATCTTCCTTAGTCACAGGCACCACATTGAGAGATATATCTGCTACTTCTGGAAGAGTAATAGTAACACTGTTCTTGCTTGATGTTCTCTTTATTCTAAATTGATTTTCTGGACATTGCCATGTAGAGAGGTACCCATCTGGGATCACAAGTTCTTTTCCATTGTGAGAGAATTTCAAATGGTCAATTTCATCACCCCATGATGATGTTGGTGTGGCCTCAATGGTAAACTTATGGGAATCGAAGAGGATTCCTAATGCTTGAATCCAAGTGTAATCTCTTGTTCTACCTTCAGGCCTAAGGCCAATGAAACGTGCATTGATTTGGAAATTCACATCTGATACTAAGGTGAAATGCTCATTTTTTCTTCCATGGAAATAGAAAACAATGCCATCTGCTCCAACAAAACGAGGGTCCAAGCATGCAGATCCTGGACTTCTGCAATTTGGTTTATGATCTGTTATCATCAAACAGAGACATGAAAACTTCTTAAGCTTCCACAAAATGGTAATGTTGGAATGAATCATCTCATGTTAAATTTTCGCATGATTTTATCAGGTGAAAAATTTGTATCTATCCTCTTTTCATAAATATTTATGATATAAATTATTTTTTCGCATAAAAAGGTTACATCAAAATTCAACGCGAGATGATTCACCCTCACATAAAACTGTACCGACACAGAGCAACCCAAGTAAAAAAATTTAATTCATGAATATGGAATTATTTAAGCCAAGTACAAATTTTTAATTGAACTAAATTGCTTCAAACCATCATTCCTATTAAAAAAATCAGAAACCAAAAGAAACTAAAAACTGAAAAAATTGCATTTTTTAATAAGGTATAATTAGGGGTTATTAAAACCAAACTACCTATAACAGTTTTATATTGCTTTTCTTATTATACCTCAGTTTAAAAACTAGTTCTTTCCTTAGCCCTACCATTACCTTACATAACCAATAAATTCATCTTTCTTTCACAATTTCACTCATCTAATCAATGCCTCTCTTCTATATGCTTTGTTCCCTCAACAAAAAATAACAGTGTAAAAATAAATATAAATTTTTTTTTTCTAATAATTGATGTAAACTGAACGTAAAATATCAATTTGATTTAGTTTGATTTTGATATTATGTTCAAAACAAACCAAACCGAATCCTAGATACTTTTAGAATATACACTGTATGTCAAATGAACGTAGGATGATCTTACGTTTGCAGGTAGTTTCGCATGTGGGAGAATTACAGTTAACAGAACAGACTTTGGCTTTTGGGTCTGGCGATGATGCATGAGGGCACTGATGAGGGCATTTTATTTTTTTCAAGAAGCATGGACCACGGTTGGTGCAGGTTCGAGTTTCTTGTCCTGCAATTATTTGCATTTCACATAATGTAAATAACAGCATGACAAATACCAAGGCATTGTTGCTTGAGATAGCCATGATTTCCCTCTAATACACAGGAAAAGACTAATGTGACTCTCTCTTATAAGCTCTCTTTGGTTTATGAGTATTTATAGAAGAAAACTCAGCGTGTGAGTGGTCATTTTTCCAAGAGTGTTCAATGTATTAAGATGTAAGAATATAATTCAATATTTCTTATATGACTTGGACAAGCGAGTTCATTTAGTTTTTAGTTTTTAGGAGTCAAGTCAAAAATTTATACATATTGTTACTTTCTTAAATCCTCATCTATGGAAATTAAATCTCGCGGAACATGTCAATGCATTAATATTCACTAATTGAGCAAGTGATGATTGACCTATGTGCCTTTCACTGATGGCAAAGGCTTCATGAGTTGCTTGTATTGAGGGAGGACTGATTGACACCCCGCTAAGTCTGGTCTAGTATAGCCATGAGATATGGAAACAAACTTGTGAAGAGGGCATGGTCTATTGTGAATTTTTAGTGACATTGAAAAATGAAAATCTGGTCTCAATAATATTTCTGAAAATACAAGCAAATTTTACTATAATTAGAGGAAATTATTATTCTTAGAATAATATTCTAACCCTTCTAAAATTTGGCAGACTCTTACATATTCCCTGTTATCCATTTCTACTTGTATGTCTGTTAACCCTAAAACAAACTTTTTTTTTTAAAGTTATACAAGTAATTTTGGTTTTAATCATAAAAATTAAATAAAACCTTTAATCTGCTCCATCTTCATAAAAAGGTTCATACACTACTCACTTCTCCTCCACTGCCATTATCATCGATCACTTATCATCTTCATCACCACAAATCAACCCCTATTTTATAGACCACCATATGATTTATATTCTGATCTTAGATTTTCATCGATTAAATACTGTTTCATTCACCCCTAGCCAAAATATAAAGTAGGCTTATTTCATGTAAACTATTCTTCACCAGTATAGTTTACTTTTGAAATGGTTAGATTAGTTTTGCTAAATCAGCCGTTAATTTGTAGTTTGTAATTTTTTTCTTCTATACGTACCATATCATAATTGTCTTGTATAACCTTCCTCGCTCAATAAGGAAATGTACAGTTTTGAATGTTGCCAATTGCAAAGTTGTTTCCTTTTAAAATAATTTTTGAATATGCATTGCAGGTTGTATTATTACATTGTTTTCGTACGGTGCTTCAAAGAAAATGTCATTTTATTTGGAGTGCCCGTAGTCAATTATGTGTTGTAACAATATTATTGTGTGTTAAAGCAACATACCTGCACTAAATGCTCTTATTTTTGTTGTAATCAAGTGTAAATTGAATCTCACATAAAATAAAATATGAATAAGTTAGAAGTTTATAAAGATAGAACTCATGTACCTATTACTTTAAAGTTTAGAGAATGCATTATGATGTTCTATTCATTATAAAGTTTCTTACCTAATACTCTTTAAAAAACACAACAGTTTTTTAAAATATCTAATAGTAATATCAGAACTCAGACAACTAGATGAGTCGCGACCAAAAGCGGTATAAACCATAAAAAAGAAACGGTGACATTGTAGAGGGTGTGAAGCAGCCCAAAATTAAGGGTTTATAAAAAAATAAACTCATGTACCCGTAGCCTAAATTTTAAAGTCGCATTGTGTTGTTTCTTATGTTGTTCCTGCTCATTGTAAGACTCCCTACCTAATACTCTTAAAAACAAAACCCAACAGTTTTGACTTGGTATATATATCATGAACATATAATATATAAACCGACATTGAATAACATTCCAGCCAAGCATATTTCGATTCAATACACTCATGCGCGTTATTCTTAATGGCTGGTTGACTACTCGTCTTTCGATAATAAATATTTGAATCAGCCTCTGACGTGTTTTAGTAAAAAGAAAAGTCATTTTATATAAATTATTCGTGTAATTAATAGTTTTTTAAAGTATATAAAGCATCTTTTACGGTCTCGAGTTTGAATTCTAGTAATTGCAGTTTTACTAAATGATCAGAGTGAGAACTCTTTTTAGTTTTTACCTCTAAAGACAAACAGTATAATGATTTTTCACATTTGTGGGAAAAGTGGAAGGAAATTTACATTTGTGGCTTCATCCAAACCAGAGAAATGAACTGAATTTACACATTTCAACCCCTCTCGACACATGAAAAACAAACTTAGCGTAAAGGTCACTTTTAGAACCGAAAAAAGAGAGGCTAAAGTTCATTTTATGTGAACCAAATAAAAAAAGATGTGCGTGTCGCTTTGTAATTTGAATTGGTCTTGATCTTGAAGATGCTAAGCTAATAAAATCTTAAGAAAAAACAAAAAATCACGTTTCAACCAACTAAATGTTCTTTTATACTGCGTATAAAGCAACTGGGCTTCAGGAATTCTATGGTACTAGAGCTTCACTAGCTAACTTGGGAATTGGGTTTCAACTCACTCAATAATCTTATTGTAGTGCTTCATTACTATTAGAGTGGTTCTAACAAGAACAATTCTTGTTATACTACAGAGGAACAAATGAGGATACCATTTTGTCTAGCTTTTCTTCTATACTTGTGTAAGGAATCACTTGCCTCTTTCATTCCCATAGATAATTATTTAGTTGCATGTGGTTCTTCCGACAAACTCACCTTTCAGGATCGAACTTTCATTCCTGACTCTGAACATGCCAACGTAGAAATAAAAGCCATGAAATCTGTGGCACTTACCACTAAACATGGTGTCCCTTCTCCATTGTATCAGTCAGCTCGAGTCTTCTCAGAACAGTCATCATATAAATTCAAAATTGAACAACAAGGGAGGCATTGGATCCGCCTTTATTTTCACCCTTTTCCTCATTCAAACCCCAACATGGCCTTTGCCTCAATAACAGTAGTCACTGATAATAGTTTTGTGCTTCTCAATAATTTCATATTCCAAGACAACAAGGACTCTTACTTGTTCAAGGAATATGTAATCATTGTAACATCAAATGAGTTGTTACTCACATTCATCCCTCACCACAATTCAATTGTGTTTGTTAATGCTGTTGAAGTTGTCTCTATGCCAGATTTGCTCTTTCCTCAACTTCTAAACCCACCAGTACCTTCAAATTTTGCCCTTGAAACTGTCTACCGGTTGAATATTGGTGGTGCATCCATTGCTTCTCATGATGACATCCTTAGTAGGACTTGGGAGAATGATGAAATCTACTTTCACTCTGCAAGTACTGCTGTTAATATTTCAACAAACACTTCATCTATAAAGCCTATGGATTTTTTACCAATTACAGCACCACCATTGGTTTATGCTAGTGCCAAAGCCTGGGGAGATGATGCTACATCGGGGTCCAGATTAAGCTGGAATTTCTCTGTAAGTCCTGATTTTATATATTTTGTTCGGATTCATTTCTGTAACATAATTAGCAACGTTTCCAACTCTCTTCATTTGGACCTATTTATAAATGAAGGCATTACACTAAAAAGCCTTGTCCTGTCTTTTCTCACTGGTGACCTTGCTGAGCCATATTTCAAGGGTTTTGTCACCAACGGCAAAGGAAATAGTTTGACAGTAAGTGTTAGTCCTGACATGATGACCGATTCCACAAATGCAACCATGAATGGGTTGGAGATATTGAAGATCAGCAACGATTTCGGTAGCTTAGATGGGTTTTCCTCTGTTGACGATATTCTTACCAAATCTTCAAAAATAAGTACAAAATTAAAAGTCATTATAATTGGTTGCACTGTTAGTGTTTTTATGTTTCTAGCATTTCTTGGGCTGTCACTTTGTTACTTAATAGCTCGCAGGAGAGAAAAAAAATCAGAAATCACTTTCAAATTTCCAAAACGTTTTACTTTACAAGCAATCAAGCAAGCCACCAATGATTTTGACCAGAGCCTGCTGATTGGAGAAGGAGGATTTGGCAAGGTGTATCAAGGAACACTAGAAAATGGGGAAACTGTAGCAATCAAAGTAGCAAATCATGAATCCAAACAAGGTCTCAATGAGTTCCATAATGAGATAGAATTGTTATCTGGACTTGGCCATCCAAACCTTGTATCTCTTATAGGATGCTGTACTGAAAATTCAGAACTGATTCTGGTATACAAATACATGGCAAAAGGATCTTTCAGTAGTCATCTTTATGGGACAGACTTTGTTCCTCTATCATGGAAGCAACGTCTTGGGATATGCATTGGGGCTGCAAAGGGACTTTGCTATCTTCACTTTGGAGCTAAACATAGCATAATTCATCGTGATGTGAAGACAGCAAACATTCTCTTGGATGAAAATCTTGTGGCAAAAGTTGCTGATTTTGGGATCTCAAAAAAGGGTCGTCTTGATAAAAGCCATGTGACAACCAATGTAAAGGGTAGTTTTGGATACCTTGATCCTGATTATTTTAGGACCAAGTGTCTCACTGAGAAATCAGATGTTTATTCATTTGGGGCAGTGTTGATTGAAGTTATCTGCGGCAAGCCTGCTTTAGATGATGCGCGTCCAACACAGCATGTTAATTTGGCAATTTGGGCATTAAATTGCCATGAAAATGGCACCTTTCATGAAATGATGGACCCATATTTGATTGGTAAAGTGAATATGGATTCTTTAACTAAGGTTTCTGAGTTGGCTTGGAAGTGCTTGCACGATAGTCGGGTGAAAAGGCCTCCAATGGCGTACGTATTGTGTCAACTTGAAGAGGCTCTTCATCTTGAGTTGTCATCACCACTTTGTAATGGAAGTGCAGATTCTGTCTCCCATGCCCATTTAGAAAATGGATTCGCAAATGGTATAGAAGATGTTGCTTAAAACCATGCTCTCTTGATTCAACAACTCCATTGTAGAAAGCTGCTTAAATCAAATAAGAAAATGTTGACTGCAATGCTTTTTAGGATTGCTTTTCATGAAACCATTTTTTGTAGTAATTTTTTATTAAAAATTATAAATTTTAATAACCTTTAATTGTAGCTTGTGCTTAGTTATTTCGATTATTCCACTTTTCATAAAAATTTTAACTTAGAAACTTATTAAATAATAAAAAGTCCATATGATAAAATATTAAAAAAAACTGAAATTTTGAAATGATGTGTCCGTAAAAATCATATTTATTTTCAATAAAAAAGAAGAGTCTTATATGCTAAAAAATTATTAAATGTAGATAATTTATTCCAGTATTAAATGAATAATAAAAATAAGTTAATGTCTTACGCATTAAACTTTTTTTTGAAGCTGTTACTCTGATTATTTTTTTATTTAATAAATTCATATATTAAATATTTAATATGTTTTAGCACATTTTTAATAATTAAAAATTAATAAACATTCTTAAATTGTGTTTTTTCCTTCATTAAAATTAAATTTAAGATTAAAGTGAACTTCTACATTTGTCTCTTCCAATAAATTTAATAAATATTAAGTTACTAAAACAACCTTACAGTTAAAGTATGAGTTTAACTTTAAGTGTATTATCAATGTAATTATATTACACTATCAATCAATTATAATATATTATAAATGTGATTTTTAAATTGATTATTCTTGTTAAAATAATAATTTATGATTAAATTACAGTGCAAAAAATTCTGACATTATCAATGTATTTAAATTAAATTCTTAAAATAATTTATATTTATTTTTTCTTAAAACAAAATGAAAATATTATCTTTTTTGGATAAGTTATAGATAAGTCTTTGTAAAAAAAAGAAATAATTGAAAAGATAAATTATTAACTTATAAAAAAATTATTCATTTTTATAACATTTTTTAACGACTTATCCATAAGTTTATCTAAATAGGACCATTATTAACTATGTAAATATTTCACATATCCTTAATATGTGAAAGTGTAAATGTAAGCATTATTAATTTAATTATTTAATCTTATCCACTTTTATATATATAGTTTTGGGTATAAATTTTTAAATGACAGTATTTTTAGAAGATTTCTCAAATAAGATTATTTTTAAGAGTTTGTTCTCTATTTCATTTATTAAATACATTTTTTATATTAAATATTTATTTTTAAGTTTAATTTAAAATTTCCAATTTTATAATTTTTAGTTAAAAAGTTATCACTTTATTTAATTTTATTTAATCTAATTGAAATTTAATTATTAATAATTATATTATTTTATTTTTTTAAAATAATAAAGCTATTAAATTTTAAAATAATCATATAGTATATTTTAATTAATTATTTAAAAAATTTATTTTAATTTAATGATACATGTACATTGTCCAAGAATGGTAAATATTAGTTTAAAATAAAATCAACGTTGGACATCATACTCTCATTGGACATATAATAAAATTGAAAGATAAAAAATAAATAATCCCTGGTAATTTTGTTTAAGTTGGCTTGAACTTAAGATTTTATTTTACAAAAAATAAATATTTACTACTTGAACTGATGTTTTATTTTTCAAATTTATTTAATTAATACATTTTTTTCGCAGATGAACATTAAATGCAGTAAATATTTACAAATAATAATTAATTAATACACGAGTATAATTTAATCTCTCTATCATCTATATATTAAACCATGTCAAAATTGAAGTCCACATTGGAAACAGCCATGGCAAAGGAATTCATGAAGCAAGTAGAGGTCAATGTAGGGTTGGAAACCCTGTGGCAAGCTCTGTCCAAGGATTTGACAATCACAATTCCAAAGGTTATACCAAATATTGTGAAAGATATGAAAGTGATCGAAGGCGATGGAGGGATTGGTACAATCTTCCATTTCACTTTTTCCTCTGGTGAGGGTTTCTTCTTTTCAGTGCTTCCCTATTTCATTATTATAATATTATTATTTTATTTTCACTCTATTTTTGCTTTTATTTCTGATTTAATCAATGGTGCTCATTAAACTCCTCAGTGGGAATCATTTATGAGTCTGTGATGTATCCCTAATCAATAGTGGTAATCGATTTTAAGATTAGCACTACTTAATTTTATGGGTGTCTTCTTATCTGTGCTTTGGGTCCCAAATTCATAATCCAGGGCTGTTCAATTTTAAGTAATAATTTTTTTATGTAATCAACAGTGCTAATCAAATTCCTTATGGGGTATTAATTATGAATCTCAGATGTATCCCCTGTGAGTTACCAGAAGGAGAAGATCACAGTGCTTGATGAAGTTACTCATGAAATTGGATTGCAAGTGGTTGAAGGAGGGTTTTTGAATGAAGGGTTCTCATACTTCAAGACAAGCTTTCAACTATCTGCAATTCGAGAGCATAAGACTTTGGTCAACGTGAAGATAAATTTTGACAGAGTCTGAACCAGAAGAAATTAGTCAACCAATTAAGACAGCAGAGCTTGTTCTGTTCCTTCTTAGAAGCCTGGAAACATATCTGTTGAATGATGCTTGAAAATAATTAGTGTTGTCGTTTCAATTATGAAGTTGGGTTTTCATGAGAATATTGATGGTTGAATGTTTTATGTATATAAATAAAATGAATAATATTGATTTTGTGAAAGCACGATTTCTGTTGCTTTTAATTAACAGAAAAAACATACTTTTGCTTTTTCAGATGAGGATCTGTCATATTGGAGGACAGTTTTATGAAACAACAATGATTTGACTGATAAAGTAAGGCGAAAAGGTTGCATGATTTGAGGTCTGACATTGCATTATTACTGCAAAGAACATAAGCACAATCAAATTACACAAGAAGATGCAAGAAATAAACGTCTGTTGAATCAATTATATCAGCATAAATTCTATCCATTATTGGATCATTAATAACTTTATTAATCTAACAATTTTTTTTTAAAGTGAAGAGATTATCTAAAGATTTACTTCTTTTAATAAAGTCTTTTTCATATATATAACTAAGAATCGAATCTGTAAATATATTTAAAGGACACAATTATTTCTCAATTTTGTTCATCATTAATGATAAGTTTTAGAGAGGGCTCTACATTAGCTTTGAAGTCAGAATATTGTACTATTCATACAACAATTTTAATATATGCATGATTCAGTTTTAGCGGTTTAGATGGGTTGAACATCCATATTCACCAATATAATGTAATGGCAGTTATATATATATATATATATATATAGGATACCCCTACACATAATAATAGTCTAATAGTGTCATTTTTTATTCCCACCGACAATATTTTCTGTACGGCATCACATCTTTATAGTTTATCCATCTTTAATCAAACATACTTTATAATTCAGTATAAATTTAATATACACAAGAACCTATCCTTCATAAAAAAACAGAACAGCATATTTCATGCTCATTATGTAAATGAGATGGTAAAGATGCCCCTTTTCTTTTCTCTGCAAGGCTCCAATTAAATAGATTTTCTAATTTCTAGCTAGTACTATATATACACGTATCAGTATCATGCTGCTCAGTGATAGCACATAGAAAAGAGCCATGATAAAGGAATTCAACACCCAAACAGAGGTTAGTGTGGGATTGGAAGCCCTATGGGCTGCTCTCACTAAGGATTTGAAAATCATAGTTCCAAAGGTTCTTCCAAATGTTGTGAAAGATGTTCAAGTGATTGAAGGTGATGGAGGGGTTGGTACAATCCTCATCTTCAATTTTTTGCCTGGTGAGTGTTGCACCTCTTTTCAATTATATCATTTACAATCTTTTTATTTTATTTAAAAGTATTTTTAATGATTACTTTTAAAACCTTTAAATAAATTTTTTTATTAAAAATTATACTTCAATATATTTTAAAAAATAAATATATGAATATTTTGTTATATTTTTTTAGTAAAAATTAACCTCACCCTTTAAAATACTTAAATTTAACTGTGGAAGTTAAAGTTAACAAAAACTCATTTAATGTAACTATGCTAATATATTCTTTTGTTTGTTTGTTAAATTTTGGAAATTAATCTTAGATGTGAGCCCAGTAAGTTACCAGAGGGAAAAGATCACAGAGTTTGATGAGATTTCACATGAAATTGGGCTGCAAGTGATTGAAGGAGGCTATCTGAATCAAGGATTGTCATACTACAAGACAACTTTTCAACTATCTGGATTAGGAGAACACAAGACTTTGGTCAACGTTAAGATCTCTTATGACCATGAATCCGACATAGAAGAAAGGGTCAAACCTACGAAGACATCTGAGTCCACTTTATTCTATCTTAGGTGCCTAGAAAAATATCTGTTGAATGGTGCCTGAAGGAAATACCAAACATTTTCAATTAATATTTATAATGTTTTTGTTTTTGCTTTTAATGAACAATAATATTTTGATGCTTTTACTATTTACTATAGTTTTGAAAAATAAGATATAAAATAAAAATGGTTTGGGGTTCTTACAAGTATTACTATCAATGTTGTATTGAGAAAGCAACAAATGAATGATAATTTTCTTAGTTTTCCTAATTATGATAGTTTTTCTTTTAATTTTGAAAAAAAGAATTATATTGATCTTATTAAAGCAATTTATTGATTTATCATTTTACTTTATAATTCCGTTCTTTGAATTATAATAAGTTATACATAAAAAACTTATAATCATACACAATGATCAATAAAATTCATCTCTCAAAAAATAAATTATTTAATCTGGGCTCAGTGGCATTGGGGAAATGGATGGGTTTTTGAATGATAGTTGATGTGAAACAGGCTTTAGAAAAGCCTGCCTCAATTCAACTCAAAAGAATGCAACCGTTCCAGCAAGGCCCACGTGGGCTTCACCCATTTTGTATATAATAGAATTAATCTGACACAAAAGTTTATTTTATTACAAATTTTAATAATGGTCATTTTGTATTAATCTTGGAACCTCCGTCGTTTGGTGGGAATTTTTTTCACTCTCCCAAAATACATTTTAATGGCCTATTTGTATATATAATAGAATTATTTTTTATTAAAAATAAAAAATCAAATTATAAATTCAATCCTATACTTTATATATATATATATATATTAATTTAATTTATAAAAAATATAATTTAATATGTATGCATAAAATCACCGAATATTTCGTTAGAGTTGTTATAACTTTAATATGTGATTTTTAATTTTCAGTATTAAATAATTGAAAGAAGAATTTTGTTATTTTTCTTAAGTAAAATTTATTTTTATTTTTAATTTAGGACTGCTAGTTAAAAAGAGCTTATGAAAAATTCATAAAAGTAATTTATAACTTTTATAACTTCTTTTAATAATTTTTAATATGCTCTATCAAAATATAAAATTTTGTTTAGCTTATTTTAACTAATTTCATGCTCTAATGTCTGCCCTGAATCTTTTTTTATTAAATAATACATAATTAAACTGCTGATCTAAACACACTTTTTTTTAAACATTATATTCATTAATATAATAAAGAGTGACATAACATTCTATAACATACCATACAACAAAGAAGCAGCCACTGGATAGTTATTTTGTTCAGGTTTCAGATCTTGACCTGAATCATAGGTTATTGTTTTTTTCTTACATTAGCATATCCAACACTCAATAGCCACTCTCACTTCTTGCAAACAATTCCGAACCCATTAGAAAACTTGGAGCAATCAAGGGTGCCAATTAACTCAGCCACTTTGTTGCTCTCCTTATTCACAAATGAACTTTGCTGTGAAAACACACAATAAGCACAATTTGGAGAAAGCAATGAGCTAGTCCTGTATTTGTCTTCTCCTCCAACAACAGGCATTGCCACACCAACCTTAGCTGGATTCTCAAAATCTTCCCTATAAGTCCTTCCTAGCACACCATCAACCTTAGGAGACAAACCAAAGAACCTGAATTGAACTTCCAAGTGAGCAAAGCAATCATCACTAGGCACTTGGTAGTTATGAATTCTATCATCTTCTTTTGTTATTGGCACCACATTGACCAAAATTTCAGCAACATTTTCTAGTGTGACTATGACACTGTTCCTACTTGCCACCCTTTCAACTCTCACATCTTTTTGTGGTGAGTGCCATGTTGAAAGAGGGTCTTCAGGGAGAACTAGACTGTTACCATTGTATGTGAATTTGAGATGATCAACATTTTCATCCCATTGGGGTGTCTTGGGTGCCTCAAGTGAGAAGGTTTTGGAGTTGAAGAGGATTCCAAGGGCTTGGATCCATGTGTAGTCTCGGGCTCTACCTGAAGGCCTGTGTCCAATGAAACGTGCATTGATTTGAAGTGTGGTGTCAGAGACTAAGGTGAAATGTTCATTACTTTTTCCATGGAAGTAGAAGACTCTTCCATCTCCACCAATGAAACGTGGGTCATAGCACCCTGATCCTGGTGCATTGCAGTTTGGTTTGCGATCTATAAATAAATAACAATTTCAACCTTAACCCATGAGAAAAATGAAGTCTAGTGGTATAGTTTGATTTATTTCATGTGCTTCATAAAAGTGAAAATGGGAGGAAGAAAAATAGTCGATATATAATGTCTGATATATAACCAATTATCATGAGTACTGATCACTACTAATATTTTCTGATTTTTTTATATAAAAATTTAGACTTGTTAATTTACTTAAAGTTAAGCTTAGTAATCTATTAAGGCTCTGTTACAAAATAAACATAAATAAGATTTTAGGTCACATCAACTTTTAAGAAGATTAGTCAAGTCTTTAAAAAATAATTTTGTAATGTATGTTATATAATAAAAAAATAATAAATATTTCTTTATTAGAAACTATAATATTCATTGTGATTAATATATTAAATTTTATTAAATATTTTTAGTTACATATCAAAAAACTCATTAAACAAACTATAATACTCAAAAACTCTATTATTGAGTGAATATTTTCATGCATTCTTATATATAGAATCATGAATTCGCTCGATCTCTTTTATTTAGCGGATCCACATGAAATTTATTTTAGTTAGATATATAAAATATAGTTATTAATAAGTCAATTTTTTTAAAAAAAAAACTAAACCCGATTAACATAAGTTCTAACTCATTTTCATTCTTAATATTAATAACAATAAATAAATAAATGGAAAAAGGAGAAGAACCATAAAATGGTGGTTTGTCTTACGCCTGCATACAGCTCTGCATATAGGTTTGTCACAATCAATGTGACAAACCTTAGCATTAGGATTGGTTGATTCACTGGTTGGGCATTCAGCTGGACATTTAATGTATTTTCCATAGCATTTGGTTCCTTTGGTGCCACATTGTTGGTGATAATATGCATTGGCCTGTATCAAACATGAGACAAACCATAGCATCACAATTAGGATGGAACTACCTTTGGTGATCCACATACTTGAAATCTCTATTATCAGAAACAAACACAAGATAGTTATTAGAGCCAATTAACTCTTGATGCAACAACTCAATCTTTTCCTTGCTATTTATAGATGTGTATCATAAACTATGTTGCTTGTTTATCATGAAGGTGGCTTTTGCAAACTTGTAGTTTAATCTAATGTTAGCTAGCTCAAACTCAAAGCATGAACATGGGTCTCCATGATTGAATACAGAAACATCAAAAGGATATATCAATTCACATAATTCATTTCTTCCCATAGAAGGTTACAGGAAGGTGTTATCTGATTCCTTAAACTGCAAAATTGGTGGCTGGACTTCAGATCAGATGGACACAGCGAACTTGTGGGAGAGGTAAGGAACTAAACCTGATGCCTTCAGGATAAAATAATATATAAATTCAAAAACATATGAGAAAGAGTGAAAATTCATAAAATGTTTAGTGTATTTTTATTATTCTGTAACTACTCATCTAAGTTTTATATACAATAAATAACTTCATTCTAAATTAATTAATTTAATTTTTGATAAAAAAATTAAATAAAAAATAATATAAAATTTATATAATATCTTAACTTCATTAATTTAATGAAGTAATTAAGACGAACTCACGAGATGAGATGATTTTTAAGAATGCATGCTATGTATATTGCAGCTCTTGTGTCTATAAATGATCAACACTTTGGACTTTATTGAAAGGTTTACGCAAATCCTTGATAAAGGAAAGAAAAAGAAAGAGTATTGAAGAAAATTAACTTATAATTAGATGATAAAAATAAAGAGCAACGTTCTTAATGCGTAATTTTCTCACAATAATTTTTATAATTTAAGAGAGTGATGGAATAAAAAAGTGTGATAAAATTAATAATATGATGGATAGCAATGAATTATAAAAAGATATTATGAAAATTTATTGTAATATACAATAAAAAATAAATAGTGTATATGCATTAGGTTTGGGTATTTAAACTATATCGGAAACCTTAGCTATCAGATTCAACCATAAAAATATATATATTTCATTAAAAAATTATAAGCAATATCAATTCTGGCATATTTCAACTATATAAAATAAAGTCTATCCAATTTTTTATTCAACAAATGAACCCTTAACCAATTAGATACTTCAAATTCCTTGCTTGCAAACCTTGAATTAAATTAAAGCTTATTGGGTTGTTTGGTCTTCATTTTTTTTTAAAATTGGACCAATAATTAAATAAATGCATATATTATATAAGTTACGATTCATTGGTATACGTATATACTTATACATCGATCAAAGGTTGAACTAATAATGACTCATTATTCCTTCTAATATTTTAAATATTCTCTCACACTGGCAATTCAACTTTGTTCAGTTTTTTTATTATAAAATTAATGAATTATTAATTTTTTATAACTTTTCTCTTAATAATTAATGTGAATTTAATTAAAAATGTATTTTTCTTGTTTAAAATACTATTTTTTCACTGACCCATATTAATATAATAAATAAAATGTATAAGAAAAAATTAAGTAATATGTTTCTATAAACATTAAAATACATTTTTTTAATTCTTGTAAAAAATTTTAAACATCAATAGTATAAAAGCATCTAAAAATTATTTGTTTATTGAATCGTTTGGATCATATAAAAATAATAATCTAAGGTAATTAACTATTGAAGAATATTTATATAAAAAATGGCTAAAAATAGTTAGGGTTGCCATGTTAGGCTTATCTTAGAAAGACTAGAAATCCCTACCAACTTTGAGTCTTCCTTTCGTCTTATTTTTTCCTTTCTATTTGAGTCCGTTACCTTTGCAAGCTTGTGTAATTTATAGAATGAAATAAAGAATTACACTAAATATTATTTAAATATTTAATGAATCACAATTAATTTTAATCAAGATAATATGATTTAATCATAAATATTTTATTTATTTTTATTCAAAATAAAAATCACTAATAAAGCATTCTTCTGCAAGAACTAATTTATTATACAAATAATTGATATATTTTATGTCAAATTATTATGATTAAATTATATTTTATTTATTTATTTATTGCACTATAATATAATTATCAATATTTTATTTATGTCAAATATTTTGTTATTAAATTAATTTTTTAGGACCACAATTAAAAAATAAAGAATATTTTAGTTTAAAGGGTTTAAGATAAATTCTTACTTGTGATTCGTAGGTATTGATAGCCTTAAAAAAATGCACACATGATGAGCTTTAATATAAAGTCTCTTACTACATAAATTGACTCCGTACATATCAACACAATAGAACTTTATATTAACACGTCAACCTTTAAATTAATCTCAAAAATTAATTTAAGATATATATTTAAATATATAAAAAATGTGTAAAAATAATAATTATATATAATATAAATGTGTACTGCTATATATATTATATAAATGTATATAATTGTGAACAAATATATATAGTTGTAAATGAAATGTGCACAATTATTCTGATAAATAAAACTAATATATATATATATATATATATATATATATAATTTTATGTCTATAATTTGAAAATAAAATTATCATTATTTTTTTTCTAATTGTTTTAAAAGAAAAGTTAACCATTCTATTGCATTCAACTTAGTGTTGTGAGTGGCCCAATAGACCTAAGACCATCTTCTAGGTTAGACATACCACACACTTGTCCTAAATTAATAGCATTAGAAAAACTAAATTCACATAAGTCTCCATAGGATTTGGATTGTCTTTAGTTCTTACAGGAAATAGGATGTCTAGTCCTTTTTTCGCTTAAATGGATCCAATTTGCTTAAGCAAAAATCAGCTATTTTTGCTTAATTACATCAAAAAATGGCTTGGACAAATTTTGCTATTCCCTATTAGCTTAAGCTAAAAAAAAAAAGGCTTAAACAAACGTTAGCTTAAGCGAAAATAATTGGCTTAAGCAAAAAATAGACAGAGAGCACTCATTTTTAGAGTTCAAAATAGCTTAAGCCACAAAAAATAGTTTAAGCTAATCAAGAATAGCTTAAGTGAATGGTTTATTAGCTTAAGCTATGTATAGTAGTTTAAGTGAAAAATGGATAAAGAGCACCAGTTTTTAGAGTTGATATTTGCTTAAGCGTGATGAGAATAGCTTAAACTATTACAAAATGACTTAAGCAAAAGTATACTAGCTTAAGCGAATAAGGATAACTTAAGCGAAATTGGGAATGCTTAAGCGAATATTGCAGAAACTGAAAAAAAAAAATGTATCAGAACTTAACAGCAACAAATGCAATCATATTTTTATATTTAGAATGCTTAAGCAAATGCAAAAATTGGATAGCAATGCATATCAAAAACTAGTCATCAGCTCCATAATATAATATGAGTAAATGTAATAAAATTTAGGAGACAATGATTTTTTTATATTATAAATAGAAATTTCTAACATCAAGTTGTTCACATTACATGCCTTGAAACAAAAAATATTAGGAAAGAAAGTAAAATTAAACATCAAGTTAAATATTCCTAATGAAACAAGAAAAATAGAAAATAAAAGAAATGTTTATTCTTAATAATAACATCATCATGCATTTGATCTCCTTGCTCCATGTTATGCTGCTCTTGATGATCCTTTACCTCTTGACCTTGTTCTTCCTCTTAAGGCTCTTGTATGACTCCTTTATCAGCTCCTACTTGCCCTTGTTTATGGGTAGGAGACCCTTCACATTGGTTAGGCTGATTTGGGAATGAAGGGGTGTCTCCAGGCCATGAGACATATGTTGCAAACTCTTCAGGTGTTGGCTATGGGAATATTGAAGTGTCTTGTTGGTGTTGGTATTGGTGTAGGGTAAAACGGTAGAATGACTCATTGAGATATGTGTATGCTCGACGGTTTGTGGCTAACTGGTGGTGGATGTGAGTATAAGCCTTATGATTGGCCTCCATATGATGTTGTATTTTAGTTAGTTGTTGTGTGAGGCGACACTCCATGGGTGTCATGTTATGAATGGGCAGTGATCTTATTGATGGTACTGATGAAGAAGGTTGAGAAGCTGTATTTCCCTGTTCCAATTGGTTGATGCAATAAGTGTTGATGAATTGAGCGTTGATGGATTTTTTCAGTTTATAGGTCAATGAAGTCTGGTTTGGTATTTGAACACCTTGAGCAACACAAAAAGTAGTGATAAATGCTAGAGATCCCAAGTGTTTTGTAGCAATTGCTGTATGAGAGGGAATTAAGACGACAAATTGGTAAATCTCGTCAGACATAATAGTGGCAATATCCACGATGATCCTTTCTATGATGTTGTATATAAGGTAGGCACGAGACATGTGGAGGTCCAATGTGTGAGTGGTCAAGGCAATATTGGCAAATAGAAAGGAGGTTCAAATTTGGGCTAAGGTCTTCAAATTTCCCCTTTTGAACCTCAGCAGTTTGCCTTGATGATTTGTCTCATAGGATTTGCCTGGAATGCACAATGTTTCAGCTATCTTGTGATATAAGAATCCAATTTTGCTATTTTTCCTTTGTTGATAATGGCATAACTCCCCTTCTTGTAAGGTAAGTGGGTTTCCCAGGAAGTTGTTGATTGTCTCCCTATTATATGAGATTGAACACCTACGAACCTAGGAAATCCTGTCAGTTTGATCTGGTTTCAGTGGCCATGCATTGACATAGAATTCTTTCACTATATCTTCATCAATCCTATTAGGAATGTTAGCCAATAAATCTCATTTCCTTCTAGCAATTTCTTGGCTGAACTTTGTGAATTCTCCTTCTTACAACTGCACATTTCTTTTCACCAACAATTCCCTAGGCTTTAACTGAAGGAACCTTTGATATTTGGCACAAGTCTTGAACTTGAATCTATCAAACCTAGCACCAGAAGTGGGGCTACTTGATGTTTTTTGTTGAGTACCTATGCCTTCATTATCTTTTGAGGCATACCCCACCACTTCAGGACGTTGCTTCCTTTGAGGAAGGATCTTCTTTGGTGTCATTTCTAAAAAGTTACATAAAATAAATAAAACAAAATGCATCAAGAAGCTTGCAAATTTTTCTAAATCAAATAATTTAGCTTAAGCAAATACTATCTGCTTAAGCGAAATAAAAAGGCTTAAGCGTTTTTTTACAGAGATGCAAAAATACACAGAAGACAGAAGACAAGAAATCACAAACAACAACTCTCAACCCCAAGTTTTAAACTATTATAATCCAAAATAACGCATAGAATAACATAGTTTTGGAATGAAGAAGAAAACCTAAAACCTTATTCAATAAAGCAAAAAAAAACCCAAGGACAAAGAGCATCCATTTTCATTTTTAAACCATTATAATCGCTTAAAGCATAGGCCTATCATAATTTTAAATTTAACCACAAAACCTAAAACTCTATTAAAAGGCTTAAGCGAAAAACCTAAGACAAAGGTACCTGACGTCCATTTTCAAAAAAGCACAACAATTAGAAGATGAAGGAGATGGTATTTGAACAATACTTCAATAAGAGAGGAAAGATGAAGAAGAGGAGGGGCTTTTAGAAATGCAAGTGAAGATAGTGGCATGGGGAATAGAGGAGATTTCTGAAACAATACTTGGGTGTTATGGAATGTGAAAGAGCAAGTGACTTTTTTTAAATCCTAAATTAATGGTCAGCGTTTCCCAATTCGCTTAAGCTTTTGATAATAGCTTGAGCTTAAAAAAAGGCTTAAGCGAAAATATTAGCTTAAGCTAAATTATCGATATTTTGGCGTGCAAACAGAGTAGGGTTGATGTATAATTTAAGAAAAGCCAAAATGTGCTCATTTCTCTTTATTAAAAATAAAACTCAAAGTTAGGGATACAAAACTTCATTTGCATACACAACTTAGGGGCCATTTTGCACACTTTCAACAAGCATTAACATCTTCTTCTCCACTACACATAACAACTTATTCATGTTAGGTGTGTTTTTTCATCTTCAACTAATTCTTTTATTATATTATAAAATGATGAGATAGAAAGTTATGTTGTTTTAAAAAACTATTGGTTTACATTTTTGTTTCAGAAAATATGTCAACAATGTGTGATAGATGGAAGTCAAGAGTTGGCTTAGAGTTCAAAAGTATTGATGAAGTATGGGAGTTTTGGAGTGAATATGGTAGGAGGAAGAGTTTTGGCATTAGAAAGCAATACTTCAATAAGCAAAAAGAATATGGTGCTGTCACAAGTTATAGATATGTTTGTTGTAAAGAAGGACTTTGAAAAGGAGATAAAAGAGATTCACAAGTTGCAAAACATAGAGCTGAGACTAGGACAAATTGTTATGCCTGAATTGGAGTATCCTTGGAAAGAACAAAAAATTTATTATGCATGAGTTTGTAGAAGAACATAATCACCCTTTACAAGTTCCAGAGACAACTCATATGTTAGCTTCACATCGTAAGATAATCTTGGTCCAAGCATTTGAGATTAATATTGCTACAACACTTGCAGACAATATGGCAAATGTGGGTTACACTAGGTTGGATGCCAAAAATTACCTAAATGCAAGAAGACAACAAAGTATGGTGTATGGAGAAGTTAGTTGTTTGATGCAATATTTCCAGTGACAATTATTAGACAACCCATCATTCTTTCATGCATACCAAATGGATGCGGATGAGCAAATAACAAATTTCTTTTGGGCTGACATAAAGATGTGCTTAGATTACCAATGTTTTGGTGAAGTTGTTTCCTTGGACATAACATATTGTACCAACCGTGCAAATAGGCCCCTTGCATTGTTCTTTGGTTTTACTCAGTTTAGGGGTGCAGTAATCTTTGGTGCAGCTTTGTTGTATGATGAGACGACTGAATCTTTTAAATGATTATTTGATACTTTCTTATAAGCACACAATCAGAAAAAGTCGTTAACAATATTTACTGACCAAGATCAAGCAATGGCTAAAGCTCTTGTGGAAGTGATGCCTGAGACACATCATGTTTTATGCATACGACACTTGATGCAAAATGGAATCAAACACCTTGGTAATTTGATGAAAGGCATGAGTCATTTCTTAAGAGATTTCAAAAGATGCATATATGAAATTGACACAGCGAGTGAGTTTGAGCAAGCTTGGAAAAGTATCCTTGAGGAATACAATGTTTCTGAGAATAATTAGATGAAATCAATATATGGAATAAAGGAAAAATGGGCAGCGTGCTACATGAAGGATGTGTTCACATTTGGGATGTGAAGCACTTAACTAAGTGAGAGTGTAAATTTTGATTTTAAGGCTTGTATGAAGCCTAGTGTAAACATTAAACAGTTCTTTGCATACTTTGAACATGTGGTAGAAGACAGGTGTTACAATGAGCTAATTTGTGAGTATGAGTCTCATTATAAACTAGCAATATTGAGATATGAGATGTCTTTCATCTTATTACGAATGGGTAAAATTTATACACATACTATTTTTAACATATTTTAACAAGATTTTGCTTCATTTTTGGCATGCTGCATATCAAAAAGGAATAAATCTCCTCCTTTATTTGAATATGTCATAACTATAGTCAATGAAAATAGATCATGGACAGTATTATTTGATCATACCTTAAATTCTATATGTTGCACTTGTAGAAAATTTGAAACATTTGGCATCCTTTATTCCTATGCATTGAAGGTTTTTGAAGCAAATGATGTTAAGGTTGTGCCTGAAAAATACATCATTAAGAAATGGATAAGAGAGGGTCGTTCTAGAATTATACACAATATTAAAGGTATAGAGGATCAAAGGGGATCCTAAACTTGCTATCACAAGACGATACCAACAACTAGCTTCTAAAATGATTAGACTCGCATTGGAGGTATCTAGTTCAGAATAATACTCTCAATTGGTGAATGAATGTGTAAACGCTATGTCTCATCAAATCACACAACTTCGATTAAAAGAACAACATGGTGAAAGTCACAATGATGAGGTCTCTACATCAGTCTTCAATGATGATATATAACCAAAGGGTTTCAAGCACCGCCCAAGCATGAAGAGGAATATGTATAAATGATTCAAAAGTTGGGTAGAGTTACAAGGAAAAAGGAAAAAAATTGGTCTATTAAGAGGACAATCCAAAAGGGAAAATGTTGAGGTATATGTATTAATGCACCTATCAAAATTTAAAATTTGTCCATTATTATTTGTCTTGTGTATAATAATTTGTTAATGCTTTTAAGAATATCAACTCACTCCTTATGAATCATGTGATGTCCATTGTTCGACACCTCCATCTTATCATTCTCCACTCACTTTCAACAATACTCTTAGTTTTACTACATTATTAACAGTATGTTCAAAAACATATAAATCCAAAAATTACCTAAATACCAAACATTTTTTCTTCTAAGATGATTGATATTTTATCCAATTTTATTTCTTGTTATAGGAACCTTTGGATGATACAACTTGTTCAATCATTGATCAACTTTAAGGAATTTTGTAGATTTTCTCTATTTTGTACAATGTTAATTGTAATTATGTGTAATTGCCCTTGTAAATGCAATTTCTAACATTATCTGATGAATATAGTATATTGCATTTGCTACTGTTTTAAGTTCTAATACGTTTTTTCCAGTTTCTGCAATATTTACTTAAGCTATTTTGTAATAGCTTAAGCTATTCTCATCACGTTTAAGCGAATATCAACTCTAAAAACTGGTGCTCTTTATCCATTTTTTGCTTAAGTTATTATAAATAGCTTAAGCTAATAAACCATTCACTTAAGCTATTTTTTATTAGCTTAAGCTATTTTTAGTAGCTTAAGCTATTTGAAACTCTAAAATGGGTGCTATTTGTGCCAATTATTTTGCTTAAACTAACGTTTATTTAAGTTTTTTTTTTTTTAGCTTAAGCTAACATGGAATAGTAAAATTTGCCCAAGCCATTTTTTGACATAATTAAGTGAAAATTAATTATTTTCACTCAAGCGAATTGAATCTGCTTAAGCAAAAAAAGGATTGGACGTCCAGTTTCCACGCGAACTAAAGACAATTTGAATCTGCTCCATATCACTATATTTATTAATATATTCATACAAATTTAATCCTATTCTATTTTACAATTTCATTATATATTTTAAAATAAAATGTATTGAAAAATAAATATTTAGTTTATCTTAATGCTGTCATATTGTTATGTGGTAATTATTTTTAATAAATTATCCAATTAAAAGGGACAACTTCATCGTAAACCAACTCACATTTAATATATATTAATTAACTAATATAACACGAGGACTTACAACTAATATAAATTCTAAACTAAAACAATAATATTCAATTATAAATTTTGTATTTAATAAAATCTCTTTTAAAATGTTAACATTTCTAAATAATAGAAATGATTATGAATTTCAAGAAAAAATTAACTATTAAAAAAATAGAACTTAACAATAGTTGTAAAATTTCAGAATTTTCAGGTGTATCAGTTGGACCTAATTTCAAAGTCTGTTTATGTTATTAATTATATTTATTCATAATTTTTTGTTGAATATTTATTTATAATTTGAATTTCTTTTGATTCAGTTTGAAAAAGTAAGTGGGCCATGCTGTGCATTGACATTATTGTTGTCTGGCCCAAGAGGCCCAGAACAAATTTCTAGGCTAGACGCAACATAAGCCTATCCTATCCTTAATATTCAGTTATTCTTACTTCCTATTACCTTCTTACCCTTCCCATGGTTGCAGGTCGTGACTCGTCAGAAGAAACCTTCACGTCCAATCACTGTAAGCCTCTTCTCTCTCACTCTCTCTCTCTCTCTCTCTTCTGTGCATTTCTTGCATTCTTTGTTTCATCTTGTTTCTTAGTGGCTCAACACTCAAACAGTGTAGCTGAAACTTTTTTTTCTCTCTTTCCTGCACAGAAAAAAATGATATAAAAGTGTAACAAAGGTTTCTTCAGAAAAAAAATTCAAGCGAAAAAAAATTGTGGGTAGCCTCGTGTTAATGCCGTTTTTAAGTTAAAAGTTGATTCTTTTGGGTGATTAACCGCATGCCCTTTTGCTTAAATCTAGCGGAGTTTGCATGCGGTTCTGATAAGTGTCGAGTATAAGGCACGGTTGTTGGGGTTGGAATTTGGTGAACCCCAGGTAAGAATAATGGAAATCCCATCTTCAAATGGATCAGTTTTGAAGCGTTCGCTGAGAAAGAAAGTGAATTTGAGGAACTATGATGAGGATCTGATGGATGAGTTGTTTGAGAAGCAGTTGGGTGGTGGTTTGAAGAAGAGGAATAAGACCAAAGAAGATTTGGAGAAGGAGACTGAAACCGAGGCTATGATTGCGTTTTCGCTCGGTTTTCCTATTGATGCTTTGCTTGATGAGGAGGTTAGAGCTGGGGTTGTGAGGGAGATGGGTGGGAAGGAGCAGAATGATTATATTGTCATAAGGAACCATATATTGGCTCTGTGGAGGGGGAATGTGAGGTTGTGGTTGAGTAAAGGAATGATTAGAGAAACTGTGAGCAATGAGTATGAACATTTGATTAATTCTGCTTATGACTTTCTTTTGTATAATGGGTACATAAATTTTGGGGTTTCACCGTCATTTACTTCTATGTTGCCTGAGGCAACTGAAGGGACTGTGGTTGTTATAGGAGCCGGCCTTGCTGGGTTGGCAGCAGCGAGGCAGCTCTTGTCGTTTGGCTACAAGGTTGTGGTTTTGGAAGGTAGGAACCGGCCTGGTGGTAGAGTTTATACTCAGAAGATGGGGTGTGAGGGCAAATTTGCTGCCATAGATCTTGGCGGGAGTGTTATTACTGGCATTCATGCCAACCCTTTAGGGGTTCTGGCTCGACAACTTTCTATACCGCTACATAAAGTCAGAGATAATTGTCCTTTATATAAGCCAAATGGGGCGCCAGTTGATAGGGAAATAGATGCAAGTGTTGAGTTTGTATTTAATAGGTTGCTTGACAAGGTCATGGAGCTGAGGCAAATTATGGGTGGATTTGCAAGTGATACCTCGCTTGGTTCTGTCTTGGAAACGCTTAAGCTTTTGTATAATGTGGCTCGAAGTACTGATGAGAAGCAGTTGTTTGATTGGCATCTTGCGAATTTGGAATATGCTAATGCTGGTTGTCTTTCAAATCTTTCTGCTGCCTATTGGGATCAGGATGATCCTTATGAAATGGGTGGTGATCACTGCTTTCTTGCTGGGGGCAATTGGAGGTTGATAAAAGCTTTATGTGAAGGAGTTCCTATTTTTTATGGAAAGACTGTCAATACTATCAGATATGGAAATGAGGGTGTTGAGGTTATTGCAGGGGATGAAGTCTTTCAAGCTGATTTTGCCTTATGCACTGTGCCTCTTGGAGTTCTAAAAAAGAAGGCCATCAGTTTTCAACCTGAATTACCTGCAAGGAAACTGGCAGCTATTGAGAGGATGGGGTTTGGGCTGCTGAACAAAGTTGCTATGGTTTTTCCTTATGTGTTTTGGGGGGAAGATCTTGACACATTTGGATGTCTCAATGAATATAGTCATCAACGTGGGGAATTTTTCCTGTTGTACAGTTACCATACTGTTTCTGGAGGTCCAGCACTTGTTGCTCTGGTGGCTGGTGAAGCCGCACAAGTTTTTGAATCCACAGATCCTTCCATTTTGCTCAATCGGGTTTTGACTGTTTTAAAAGGTATCACATTTATTTTATGACTTGATGATGAAAAGTTGAGTGCCTACATGTTATTGTGTTTCTTTTTCCAACACTATAGTAGTTTGTGGTAGCCATATTTGAATCATGTGAAACTTAACATATGTATTTTGTCATATATTTGTCATATTTTAAAGTTTCAACGTAGGCCTGATTTAACTCTTACGTAATCCAACTGCCTCTCACTTTCCACTCATCTCTTGTCTTGCATTTCCTTCCATTGATTAATTTCTTTTGCAATTGTGATAGTGCTATATTTATTTTGTTGCATCTTGGATTGAGCAATATCTTTTGCCAATGCTTGTGTACAATAACCTCCAAAACTGTCCTCCGCACATCATGCAACATCAAGAACGTCACAGTGATTAAAGGAGAGCTGAGAGAATATATTTTTGTGCATTGTTAAAATTTTGATGTGCTCGTTTGCAATTAGGATTGCTGAGGATCATCAGGGAAGATTGCAAAAGTGTGGAATTGTCGAGCGCTGTGTAATCCAGAAGTTGAAAATCCCATTTTTTGTGGGTTTTCTCTGCCTGGAATCCATCTTCTCTTCACGCAACACCATCAAAGCCTTCTTTCCTTTTGCTTTTGAACCTTTCATGTGATCAATCGTGGGCTATAGTGATGCTATAGAGTTATAATAGTGTGGAGCAACCACGGGTTGCTACAAAATTTGAATAGCTATGTGTTCTCATATAGGGGCCAGTGCCACAGCGATGCTAGAATAATTAAAAAAAAAAACTCATTTTCCCCCTCAAAAAACCATTGTTTTGGGGAATTTTTTTCAGGGCAACATTGATATTTTCCTCCTCATTTTCAGATTTTTAAAATCCCTAATTGGATACAGTATCTCACATTCTGTCTACCATGCAACACCCACATTGCAACCAGCAACATTATTTTGTTTGTTTCTGTGATTTTTATTGCTATTTACTTCTATGTATTTGATTAAGACCTATGACTTTTTATTTTTAATTATGAACATGTCATGAAGTTTGGGGATTTTTTAAATTTGACCATTTACATGTACAGAGTACAAATTCTTTAATCTGTATAAAATTTCTAAATAGTGGCCATCCATCTATGGTTTATCTTACTATAGCGTTTTTAGGGTTAGCTGTTACACACCATTATCTGAGAGTGAGAACTATGCTAGTGACACTATATCTCTCTGTTTTTTTCACTCAACACCATGAAAGTTTCAATTTGTTCTCTTTTTCTGTTATATTCACCACAACCTCTTAGATACCCTTTATCTTCGATTCTTAAGCTTTGTTTGAGAGTTTGGAAGGAGAAGAGGACGAAAGTGTTTGAAGGGTAAGGGAGAAGAGGGAAAGGGAGGAGGAAAGAGGAAGGAAGGTTAATACAAAATTCTCCAAATTAGAAAAACTTAAAAATATAGGATTAGGAGGGTTTTGAAGGATTATAAACCCTCCCCCTCTCATTTGAAAACTTTCAAACAATGATAACTACATGAAAGTCTTTCTCTTCTCTCCCCTTCCCCTCTAAAATCAACTCCCAAACAAAGCCTTGGACACCCTTGATGACTTGACCTCTCTGTCCCTCTCAACTTTGTGTCCTTGATCACCACAGTTCCACTATCATTTCCTCTTGCATCATAACATGACTGAAGCTGTTCTTTCATTTTTTTTTCTGTGTTTCTAAAACCTATGAATTGGGATTCTTTTGGGTGGCCTTCATCTGCATTTAAACCTTTCTATTCAGGCCTTCATTTAGATATCTCTAAGAATTATCTTCTCTTTTTGCTGTTGTTTCCTTTATATAGTACTACCAAATATAAAATAGATCAAGATATCAACAATGCAATAACTTACCTGAATTTAAATGGTATTGTTACATTTATTATTTAATTATATTATCATATTTTATGTTAAATTATATATATTTATATTTTTGGTAGGTTTTTACTTGTATGATATGATCATTTGAGCAAAAAAAGCAGGAAGGTTTTGAGAAAAAAGTAATAAAATTGTTGTAAAACAGAGAAAAAAAAAGCTGAATTATAACAGAAAAACAGAAAATTAAAAAAATAAAAAAGCAAAAGTAAACTTGGAAATGAAAACAGAAAAATAGAACCAAGAACACAGAATAAGAAAAAACAAAAAGAATGGGGTGTGAAACAGAATGGGAGAGGGAAAAATGAAACAAAAGGGAATCTGAAAACCAAGTCAGGGAGAAGAGAGAGAAAAAGAGAGAAATGAAATGGAGGAGGGAAATAATAAAGGAAAAAAAAACACTTTCACTCACCAGAAAAATAGACTTACCAAGCAGTGATAGTGGCAGTTGTCCGAGATGGCAGTAGTGCCAGCCATTAGAGACAAAGTTGTGGTGGTTGTCAACGTTGAGAACAAGAGAAGATGTTTGAATTGAAGAAGAGAGATGTAAGTTGTGACTCGCAAGAGGGAGAGAATGTAGAAGAAAGACATTTTTTTTAGGGTTTGGTGTTTGCAGGTCACTCTGGACTGCGTTGGCTTAGAGGCCAATTTTGTTTTTTTCCTTGAAAACCCACGTTTTCGGCCATGGCTGCTAGGCACGTAATGGCTGCCATCTTAAATCTGTCATTTTCTGCTGTAGTTGTGACAGTTTGGGCAAAAACTGCCACTGACATCTGCCATAGCGCCCCCACGGCCATTATTTGACAATACTGGGTTGAGATAAGCTTATAGCCCAAATCCAACACACCCAATCCTAATCCTAGGTAAGATGTGAATTACCTTGTTTTTGAGATAAAATAGGATTGACACATATACACACATAAATAACTTTTGGACTGTTGTGTTACATGGATACCACTGTTTCCAATTCAGACTATTATGCATATATGAAAAATTTGTTATCATATTAGTATATTGAAACTTTTAAAAATTGTTTTAGTATATTATCACAAAATGGCATATGTGAAAAATGTGTCTTGTTCTATTCACATATTTGAATACTCAACTAAACATTAACTAGATTAGAGATATATATGGAATTAAAGTAGTGGTTTGTTTTGATTATTATTACAACTAAGTTTCATTTTATTAGGTGAGGTCGACTACATAAATATAGTGTGTTATTGAGCTCAGTAAAAAACTTTTAATAATTATTTTTTGAGTTTTTTAAAGTTTTTCTTTACTTCTTTTACTGGATTAAGAGATGTCATTTATACTTCTAACTAGTGCCTTTAGTGACTTTCTTTGTACATGTCCAAACTAATTTGATTGATTTTTTGTAAAATTTTTGCTCAATAGGTGTTTTTCTTGTATACACTCATTTCAGATTCTATTCTTTTTTGGATGATCACTCATGTATTTCTAACATTCTTATTTCTGTAACTCTTACTTTGTTCTCATGTTGTCTCTTTAAAAATTAAAACTTAGCATTCATTATTGTATATGATAACTGGTTATATAATAGTCTAGTAAAACTTTCCTTTCAAAGATAAGCACTTTACAATTATAAATAAATTATGATATCTTTTTTTATTTTAATTATCCTACTTGTATTCTATGAATAATTTTTTAATTAATTTTTCCATCGTTATATAGAGCTAATTCCAAATACTTAAACTTGAAATATGCACTATTTTGTTTTGATTAATAAGTGGAAAAAACAAAATAGGACACACAAGGTTATGTTTCATCCTACAGTTTCTGAGCTCAGTAAATGGAATAATAATGTCCCATTCCATTCCTTTATTTCCATTCTATTCGTGTGCCCACTGCCACCTATAAAACATATTCCAGTCCTTGATAGGCTGTGTATCTTACTCTCCTTTTAATACTCATGTATCTTCCTTGTTTTATGACTTGTCTTATGATCTTATATAACAAATCATACTAATATTTTTTTTCTTTAATCTTTTATCTAATTAAAGGGAATTTTCTTTCTTGAATTTATTTTTAATCTATAGTCACATTTTTTCAATCAACATTGTGCGTGTTGTTGCTGCTTGTATATACTTTTTTCTCATTTCATTCTTATTTACATTTATCCAGGCAATGTGTGCTGAGTGTGGGGATATTTGCTAGTTTAATATTATGAATATTTTTGTTTGCATATTATCCCTTGTTTGCCTTGTTTCATGTGTTACAACATCTTCTGCAGGTATATTTCACCCTAAAGGCATTGTTGTGCCCGATCCAATACAGTCAATTTGTACAAGATGGGGCAGTGATCCCCTTTCTTATGGTTCATACTCGCATGTTAGTGTGCAATCATCTGGTGGGGATTATGATATACTTGCTGAAAACGTGGGGAATCGGCTTTTCTTTGCTGGTGAGGCCACTAGCAGGTATTATCCTGCCACTATGCATGGTGCTTTCTTGAGTGGCCTGAGAGAAGCTTCACGCATTTACCGCTCATCTCGGGTTCAGCAAAATTATCCTAGGAAGTGCATACTTAAGAATATTGGACCAAACAATGATGTACTGGTTGATTTATTCAAGAAGCCTGATTTCGAATCTGGGAAATTTGCCTTCATCTTTGATTCTTCATCTGAAAGTCTCCAGTCACTGGGGCTTCTGCAAATCACTTTTGGTAGCGTTGAAGAAAGTTACATGGAGGTATTAAACAGCTACCCGAATCTCCCAAAGTTGCCTTTGCAGCTTTACACTATTATATCCCGTGAACAGGTGCACAAGCTAGAACAAATTAAAGGAGGGGATGGATGCAGGTTGTCATATTTGATAAAAATCCTTGGGTTGAAGCTTATGGGATTAAATGCTATATATAATGCAGGTAATGCATTAATAGCTAGCATTGCTTATTCGCGAAAAGGGAGGGGGAGGAATCGCATAATTACTTGGTAACACCATATCCTCATTTGGTAAATCCTGTGTTGGTTTGAAACCTTCTGCTGTAGACACCCTTTACAAAAAAATTGAAACCTTGTGACACCCTTTGCAAAAAAAAAATTGCTTGGAATGAGCATGGCTTTTCTGCTTCTGGGGTGCTTAGTTTGTATATACTATAGACTTTCATAGATCATTAATTTCTGAAGGAAAGTCTCTAGTCTCATGTCAATGTTTCCGTTAGCTGATCATAAAGTCAGATCAGCAATGTAACCCACAGGAAACTTAGTTGAAATTTGCAGATATTGGCAAAGTCCAAGAGGGGTGAAGAATTTGTATACAGAGGGGTACAATGCCCCAATTGTATCATCTATCAACACTCTTTTTATGTTCATGTAGTAGTAGTTACCAACACCCCACCCGATAGAGGAAAATTACTGTTTTTCTTTTTTAAGGAAGGCCTGTGTGCCTCATCTCATATGCACTTGTATCATATAATTCTTTCTTTAATTCCTTGATTGGTTTAACACATCTGTCTAAGGCTCGCATAGTGGCATTGCTTCATGCCTTCATTGGCCACCCATGTTGAGACAAGTAGATTATCAAGTTAAACATGTTCCCGGGTATTTGGGTTTGTTGCCTTGGAATTTCTTGGAAGTTACTTGTCGTCAAAATATGTACTGTAAAAAAGAAAATAAGCGGGGTTACTTACAGGGCAACTATTTTTGCATGTTTGAATCATAGCATGTTTGAACGGTCATTTTTGGATGACCAATGTGGTTTTGAAATTTAAAAAAAAATAAAATTAATATCAAGTTTATTTTAAAAAACAGATTTAAGGATTTAAGTCAAGTTTGTGAATGCTTAAACAGACGATAAGGTCTGTTGGATTTTGTGGTACAGTCTCCGTTGTCCAAAATTTAGAAGTATCTTTTAACTGAAAGTTCGTTAAGCTTGAATCAGAAACAATGTTTGACCTTATGCATTTTTTTTAATTGCCCAAACAAGCTCAAAGTGGTTTGATTGTATTTACATGTTTCTTTCTTTCGTTTATGGACGTCCAAATTAGAGTAAATTTGGTGGAGTAGAATGTGAGGTTCTAAAATATGCATACCTCTGTCCATGGAAATCTCCCTTTATATGAACATTGATCCATTAATAGGCTACTCTAAAAAGCTCAACTGTTTGTTAGAGATGTTAAGGATGCCGTGTGCATGAGTAACAAATGTGCTATTTTGGTACCCAAAATTGAAGTTCGAAGGAATCACCTTCCATTCCCGATTTGCCAAGTCTTAGCAGCCTCTCAAGTAAGTTCTCGTTATAACAAACGATAAATTCGTAAAATTTTGGTGTGAAAACCATTCGTATTATACAACAAAGCTACTCTTTCTAACAAGAATCAAATAATGAATATAAATAAAAAGGCTTTCCTTGCAATTTGCAAACCATGTAATGCAACTAATTGAGGAAGAGGTGGATCAGACGAAAGTAAAAATAAAGAGTGAGGTTAACAACTCAATACTTTTTTGGAGCATCTTCTTTCTCAAAAGAGAATGGATTTCCCCCAATCACCATTCCATTCTCAAACTGATGTCACAATCAGAGAGTTCGTTCCTTTCATTGGAAGCTGACGTGGAGGTGGCGATTTTGCAGTTTAGCAGTTAGCAACAACTTCTTGGCGGGAAATGCCGTTTTAAGCATAAAGCACATTATATATAAATCACAATACCTAACGGTAACTCTACATTCTGCAAACTCTCTCTTTCTCAGTTTTTCTTTGCGATGGCGTCGGAGAGTGAGGCTTCTGAGAGGGAGACGGAGATTGAGCCGGCTGCGTCGGCGGAGACTGGGGAGGTTCCAACCACATCGGAGACTGGGGAAGCTGCGACGGCGACTGGGGAGACTGCGAATGCGCCGGAGACTGAGGAGCTTCCGACCACAACGGAGGCTGCGACGGAGACTGAAAAGGTTCCTACCACAACGGATGTTGGGGAGGCTTCCACGGAGACTGAAGAAGTTCCGACCACAACAGAGACTGGGGAGGCTGCGACGGAGACGGAGATTGAGGAGGATGCCACGGAGACTGGGGAGGCTGAGACGGCTCCGGAGACTGAGGAGGCTGTGACTGCTCCGGAGACTGAGGAGGATGCCACGGAGACTGAGGAGTTTTCGACCACAACGGAGATTGGGGAGGCTGTGACGGCGCCGGAGACTGAGGAGACTGCGACGAATACTGAAGAGGTTCCAAAGGTAACGGAGATTGAGGAGATTGGGCCGGCAAAGAAGATTGAGGAGGTTAAGAGTTTCCCTAAAAAATCGCCTCGACTAATGTGAGCATTTTCATATTTGAATTCTAAGTAATAGCTGCTTGTGTTTCATGTCAGTGATCTATGTCACAATCCAATTTTCTTTGCTTCTGATAATTAACGGAAATTTTAATTGGAGTTTCCAGTTTCATTCAGTTGTTGCCTGTTTCACGAGGATTTCCTCAGCTTTGATGTTTCTTTCAGAAATAATAATAATAGAAAAGGATAAACGGTTTTCTTTCTTGGAAGAAAACGTAGTTTCTTTTAACTGAAAGGCGGAAATTTTCTTAAAGCTGCAAATTCCAAAGCGAAGTGAACTGAATAAGAGTTTTATTTTAATTTGTGTGTGAGCAGACACAGTTTAGTTCTATCAGAAGCTCAAAGAAAAGTGATAGGAGCGTGGTACAGGGATTTTATACCGATTGGAACTGGCAGACACGGCAATGTTTTCCAGTGCAAGAACCATTTGAATGACCAGATTTTTGCAGTCAAGGTTATTCCCATTCCGGATAATGAGAAAGGGAACGGTGTTCCATACAGGATTATAAGAGAAATCTCTGTTCTTAAGGAAATACAGGACCATATCAACATTGTGAGGTCAAATTTGCTAACATTTGTTTTTAGATTTTTAGGACAGCTTATACAGTTTAGAACAGATAACAGTTATCAATTAACCTATCGAAGTGAATTCTATAAGGGAATATATATTGATTATGTTTGTTGATATCAGGTTGCTGGATGTGCTGCCCAGCATGGATGCCATGTTTCTTGTTTTCGAGCATGTTGACATCGATCTCCTTGATTTCATGAGAAACCCAGTGTTGTTTATATATCCAAATATGATAAAAGTAAGTGAAGTTTTCGTGAATTATTTTGAAAACTTTGTGGGAATAAAATAAAACAGGATATATTGTTGTTTTAACTTTTCTTCGTCTAAGATGCTGCGACATGCATTTTGTCTAGCTTGTTTCATAGTGAGCGTGTGCTTCAGCAAATTAGTCTTGTAAAGTGAGAAAAGAAAAAATAAAATAGATATGAAACGGAGCAAATAGATATATGATTTGATGGGGACATTTACTTTTGTTAGGTTTGAGAGTTTAATATCAATTCTAGAGATGGTGGATCAGATTAGTCATCACTATGTTAACTACATTCACTTTTCCTCTTGTCCTTGCAGAATTTTGTACATCAAATCCTTAATGCTGTAGCACACTGCCATTCTCGCAAAATTATTCACAGAGATTTGAAACCTAACAATATTCTGATTCATTTCCGTACCCGTGTTGTGAAGATAGCAGACTTTGGTGCAGCTAGAACAATTGATGTTCCTTTTTCGTCGTACTCTGGAGATGTATGATATCCCAGTAATTATTTTTTTCTGAAAAGCAAAACCAAGAAACATTCCCGTGACATATGTGAAAATACATGTACGGATTAGTTTTGAATTGAGAAATTGCAATTGTACAACAAATTTTGAGTTACCACTAAAAGTTTAAAATATTAGTTAGTGTATTTTAAAGCGTAAATGCTCCCCTAAACGTTTAAAATATTTTTTGCAATTTTCTTTTCTGTTTTCAGGTGGGTTCTTCTTGTTATAAGGCACCTGAACTCTTGTTTGGCTCCACCTACTACTCAACTTCAGTTGATATCTGGTCCGTGGGTTGTATGTTTGGTGAGATGGCTCTTGGCCGGCCTCTATTCTCTGCTGATAGTGATTGGAAGATGCTGAATGAGATGTTTACGTAATTTTCATGAAACATCAGATATCATTTGTATGATTTCTCTGCGCTTATGCTGCAATTGAACTAATGAATTCGAAATTTTTATGTGGAAAGCTTGCTTGGTACCCCAACAGAAGAAACCTGGCCCGGAGTGACTTCTTTATGCAACTATATTGACGTAATGGGCCCTCCAAAGAAGCCGAAGGTATCCATGTTTTGTGGTTTTTTTTCTTATTAATTCTTGTTTCAATTTCAAAATATAGCTAGGCCATTGAGCCATGTACGTTAATTGTTGGATTTTGTAGGACCTGGCACTTGAGTTTCCTAAACTCGACTCAGATGCTGTTGATCTTCTTTCGGTAAGTTATTCTGACAACTGCTTCGTATGCATTAGAGATCGGCTTACTGTATTCCATGCCATCCCCTGATTGCAGTATTGATTGATACGTATATTTTACTACTACTGTTACTGCATTTGATTTTGAGCACTGGTAATTGCTGGAATTGTATTTCCATCCCACTTTCCCTTTTCCCTCATTTTGCTGCACACTGTCTGAAACTCTTACCATTTTACTGTCTATATCCTTTTTTGGGGGAGCCAATGTCTAGTTTGGTTGCGTACGCTGGCAATGCCTTCCGGGAAATGGATATTATATATTTTTTATCAACACAATATACAAATTTTCAGTAGATTATTAGGTTGCAACAGAGAATATTATCACTAAAATATTACATACTATAAACGCAGAAATTTGGCAAAACAATTGGGAATAATACCTACTCCTTGATACACTTTTTGCAATACATTATTTATTATTGGTTTATATTCATGTCAAACCCCCGTTAAATTGAATGTAGAATTCATTAAATAGGAACTAAAAACTCACCTCATTTGACGAGTTACATGTAAATTTTAACCAACAGTAAGAAAGACGCAAGAAATGTCCGTTAACATTTCTCAACAGTTAAATTAGATGATGGTGAGGAAACCAAGTATCATTTCTGGAATTTATTTTTCTTTAATTTTATCCATTTATTGAAAGTTTATTTATGCCTAATTGCCTAGAGTTGTGTGTCTTGGTCAGAAAATGCTTTGCCTGTGTCCAAAGTATAGAATTTCAGCTGCAGATGCTGTTTTGCACCCGTATTTCAAGGGTATATGAGAGAAGGTAAAGATGGTATTAATTGAGCTATGGATTATTCTTTTCTTCTCTCGTTCTCACTCTAATAAAACAGTCTTAACATTTCCTGTAGGCGTGGCACTATTTTCAACCGTTTTAGTAAGAATGAATGAAGAACTAGACTATAAAAGCGAGACGAGAGGACATGAAATCTACTGCCAATCTCCTGTGATTCATTCGCTGACTCTAAATTTTGTAAATAACAACAAATTTGTTATTCGCACCTCGATCAATAGACAAATAAATGTTTTCATTTCTTTTAATGGCAATTGCACCTTACCACATCCGAAGTAGACAAACTGTATGTAGTGAACAACTGTGATTAATTTCTGGAAATTTAATACGACGTACTTGAGGACTGATTTTGTATCAAATGAAACATAATCATTTGATAATTGAGAGAGATGATTTTTTTCTCCTCCAATCATTTTTTTTTTCTGCTTCTTGCTTTCATTATCTACTCCACAAAAAAAATAAAAATTTACAGGTCAAAATGATGACTATGTTAACGTTGGGAGAAAAGTTAGATATCAGGTTACATGAAAGACGAACTTTTGCTTCAAAACAGTGTTTATACGATGACACACCTTCCTTCTACTCCTTTCTCCTAATAAACCACATTAAACTTGTACAAATAGGTGATTTTGTTCACGTTGAAACGACCACCCCCGATATTGGCGAAACTTAATTTTGAATTGTGATTATAGTTGATATTACCATTATCATTATGTTGGGAAATTATCAAATTTGCAAGATAGTGGAAGCAAATAGTTATAAGCGTAGTCACCATACAATTACGAAAATTTTAAAAACTGAACTATTGTGGTTACAAATTGCAATTTAAACTGAAATTCTCTTTTTCGTTTATTTCGTTTATATATATATATTGGTGATATTGAATTTTAAGCAGGTGTGGGCGGTTGCTCCTATGGAAGATTGATCCTTCAAAGTCTATGGACAAAAATTCGTTATCTGTAGTATGCAATATTTTAATGTTTGACCATGCAAAAGCTAATAGCGTAAGTAGAAATATAGTTACTTTTGTGTGTGTGTGTGTCTTTAAGTAAAGATATAATATTAATGAAACAAGTGCATAGTATATTTGGGACATCCCATTCTGTCTAATTTCAATTAAGGCAAATATCAACTATATTTTAAAAGCAATGTACATATACTAACTGGTAGGTCTAACTGAAGGGATTAATATGTTACGAAGTGATAAAAAAATATGGTTCAAACTGTTGATAGAATATTCGTCCATATTTAGCATTCAATCACATCTTAATCATGTGTGTTTATGTAGAATGCATGTGAAAAAAAAAAAACTATAAAAAAGTAATCTATATATAGATTAAGTATATTATACAGTACACATTATTCAAAGGGAACAAGTCTTTCTTAGATCAATGAAAGACTACGATAGTAATAAAACATGTCCAAAGTTTCTTGGCAACATCATATTTTATGTTTCCCAGTAGGTGTAATGAGTCAATCAGGAAATACCAAGGATGTACTACCTAAGGTTCTGCAAATAGCATGAAGTCTCTACATTCTTGGCAACCGCAATCCTCAAAGCGACACTTGATGCAACCTTTGCAATAACAAAACGAGCAACCTTGGCAAAATGATGCACGAGGACATCCCCTACCTGTCCTAAGACTTGGTCGTTCTTCGTCAACATCACAGGTTATTCTGAAATTTCAAAATTCTCACATTCATTAACATAGACATTGGATATACTAATTTCACAACTATAATATATGACATCTTTTAGTATTCTAGTTTAAATATAAGCTAATTTACATAACTTAGTGTTAAGCAAACATGTATAACAAAGACAAGTATTGAACTACTTCCTTTTCTTTTCTCTAGTTTTCAAAAAGAATATATCTCTAGTTAATTATTATATGTATAAAATTTATATCATTATTCAAGCATTATAATAACAGATCAATTAAAGCAATAATTAATGAATGTTCAACAACCACAAAAGATAAAAATTAAACTAACATTTTAAATAATAATATAAATCATGATCAAAGGGTGACTTGAGAGAAACTTACTTTTGATAAGGCCAATCAAAACAAGTCCATGCTTGGTTAGTCAAAGCAACATGATACTCCTTAATTTCTTGCCTACTCTTAAGACGAAACCTGCGCTTTTTGTTGCAACTTGAACAACGCATGAACTCATCCCTGTGAAAGTTTCGTTTTCTGTATGCTGCGTCTCTCCAGTTAGCCACATTTGCTTGATGTGTGTAATATTTCAGCAATGGTGTCTTCCAAAGGGGAACTTTGTCGTCTTCTTTATAATGAACCCAAATGTTGCTTTTCCATTTTCCACTCCCATCTCTTTGAGCATGTTTCTCAAATTCTTCCAGAGTGACATTCTCTAATTATAATAAATATATTTTATTATCATCTAATCTAATAAAATAGTATAATATAACAACACATAATGCATCTGATAATAATAATAACAACAACAACAACAAATAATTTCCTATCTCTTTCTCATGGGTTCATACAGATATTTGTAATTGTAATGATACATAATTCATGCAATTAATTGAAGCTTATAAAAAAAGGTGTAGGAAGAACTCGTTTAATTATTTAATTTTATATAAATTGTCAAGATTGTCTCTCTTTTTTAATATATTGAATGAGAGCGTGACAAGATTAAATTTCCTTTTGTGTCAATTATAATAATAATAATATTTATTTTTACTGTAGATAAGAAAAACGTGAGGAAAAGAATAAACCAATGTCATAGGCAAGCACATTATATTTCCTTATTTTTCTCCAACTACAAAAAAAAAAAGCTTCAGGCAAACCCACAACCCTAAGATAAAATATCAGAATTTAATTATGGTTACTTACATAAATCAAATAAAAAACTTTAAATGGCAATATTCAATTACTAGTTAATTCAGCTAGCTTTGCAATAAATTAACAATTTGATAATACAAATTGATATATATAAATCTAAATCAAGAAAATTATATCATATCTTATAAGTTAATTAATTTTGAAATTTTATATTATAATTTAAATACAGAAATATTTTCTCACAAAAACATATCAAGCATATCAGTTATTAATAGATAAGTGAATGAATGATATGCTCTCCTTTACCCTCACTCCTCCCCGTCCTTTCACCTTCATGTACCCTCTCATTCTCAAATCTCAGCCCCCTCCCTTTCAATCCCTTCTTTCCTATTAGATCTTCTTCCTTCTCTCCCATAATTTCAACTACCCTCCCTCAATCTTAGTAGTCTCCCCGTACACACCCCTACCCACAAAACCTAGCCTCCCACTTGAAAAGAATTTTAATTTTAGCTTAAGGAGACCTATGCTCGTTTAAGCAAAAATAGCATTAGGAGACCTATGCTCACTTACGAAAAAATAGAATTAGATTGTTTAATTTCTGTGCAAACTAAAGTAGATTCAGATTCATAATTTTACCTATTGTAAATAACAAATTATAACATTCATAACAAATATATTTCTCATTTTTTAAAAATGGAGGTGCATATGTACTCACAAAAGTGAAAGGTTATGAAAAAAAAGCATTAGAGTGTGTTTGTTTTTGAGTTTAGATACCTTAAATGTGCGTTAGTGGTTAACGCTACTAACGTTTTAACTTGTTACTAAACATGCACTAGTGAAAGGCTAAAGATAAAAGCAAAATACTTTGTTGTTGTATTTAGATATGAAGATATCTTATCATTAATAATTTCATGATATAAAAAACATTATGACAAAGGTATATACTTTATTTCAAATTTGAGAGATCAAAGTGAAAAACTTGCCTGTGATACACTCGGGACAGCACTCACAAGTGACAAAAAATTCACCTTTGCTGTCAATTCTTAGCTTTCCAACATAATCTCCATAGGCTTTATTTGTAGTGCCACAAAGAACCTCAATGTAGTTAGGGCCTCTCTTAAAACCTTGGATATTTTTCAACTCTTCTTCATCAAAATTTATCTCACCATTGTCTCCTATCATAATTTGCTTCCTTCGTTTTGATGCACCTGCTCATTCCATCATGAAAATGATTTTTAAGTCAAGAATTATTGACAAAATAAATTTGACTATAATCTTTTGACAAAGTGACTTTAGAGAATAATTATAATAAATACAATTGCTCTTCATATTTACTTGTAAAGAATGATTATATAATAACTGCTTTCATAAAACCAAAAAAAAAAATGTGTCATAATAGTTTTTAACTTAGAAAAACATACAAGGATGAAGCACTATTCAACTCACAATCAAAAGTATAAAGCACATGACATCATAGTAGCTAACATTTGGCATAATGAAGCCTTAGTGGTGGCTATGGTTTTGTTTCAAACATGGTGATGAGCAACTGATGGTAATTTTGATCATAATGGTGACAACAATGTTGAGTTTATGAGAAATGATAATGATGATGGTTGTGGTGTTGGTATGACATAAAGAGAGAATGTATTGTGTGAGAAGTGGTGTAAAAGTGATATTCAAGTTCACATTTGTGATTATATCAAAGTTTATGTGGTGATCAGCGTTGTGATCTGAAAGTTGAATGATGGTTTAAGATATGATAAAAGTAAGTCATGTCTAAGAGTACTTGTAAAACAATTCATCTTACAAACCAACGTTTGTTAAAGTAATTTAAATTGCTTTCTAATACAACACAAACTATTTTCTAATATGCTTTTTTGGCGTAGTGCTAATTAGAGCACTAAAGTGCCTTTATATATATCATCCATTTGTCATCTTTTATCTCATACATACTAATACATTGATAACTTGCTTTGGGCCTATTAAGCTCAAATTAATTGAGCTTGCCAAAGCAATACTAGATGACTTTTCTCTCAACTACTGGCTTGGAAGACCTAAGTCTAGGACTTTTAGCTATCAAAGCCTATGCAATTTTCATATGTTGGATTCAGCTTAATGGATCCTACCTATAGATTCTACAACGTACTATATATATATATATATATATATAGAGAGAGAGAGAGAGAGAGGGAGAGAGAGAGAGAATCTTTTTTTCTTTTATATCATTCCTTTTTTTCAACTTATTTAAAGCATCTTTCTTGATATCTAATATTATTAATTGGATTCCAAAATATTATCCATTTATTAGGTTAGGTCAAGTTTGGATAAATTTTTAAAAACCTTTTTATAAGAGAAAAAAAATTAGTATAAATATTAAATTAAATTTCTCTCATAAGATAGAAATAATTTATTTCTTTAAATTTTAAAGAAGTTAAGTGAGATAACTTCTAAAAATTAGAGAAACATTAGTTCATTTTAACTTCTAAGAAAAATTTTATTTATTTTTATACTATTTTTTTCTTGTATAAGAACTTCTATTAAAGTTTTTTCAAATTGAAACTCATTCTTTTTTTCTCTCTTTTGTTCAACACTTCTCTTCTTACACCTTTATATAACATTAGTCATGAAACACCAATTTCCCCTGTTCCTACTAAATTTGTTATTTGAATGTTTTTTTGATCAAATGTCAACTAATCATTTTTCTTATATCTCAATCATCATACAACATATGAACACATAATCCAACTTTGATAAACCATAAACTTTTTCCATAATTATTTTTTCTGATTCTAGATCAAGCTCCAAAAACTTGAATAGACCTATAAACTATACTCTTCCATTGCTAAATGACCATAGTTTAGTGTGTAAATATAAGTAAGGAAAAAAAAGAATGACCACTTTAAAGAAGATAAACTAGTGGTAACCACATATATAAGCACTAAGCAATAGCAATTCTCTCGACAAATATGACTACTTTGACCATTGATCAAGACTACTAGATAACAATTTTGACTATGGATACACATTTTTAAAAGGGTATAAAAGTTTTTGGAGAATCTATTTTGTCTAGCAAACCACTAGTTTTTACTAAATTTATCAGTTTTTTATAAATTCAAACAGGATTAAGTTTTTGAATGATTAGGTTTATCCAAACAGGACATCTTGCCGAATTTTGGTCAATAATTTAACCTATTTTATCGAATTTAATTTTTAAAACATCATTCAATTTAAATAAATATCTAAATTAACATGGATTTTGTTGAACTCAAGTGTTGACCTACTTGCAAGCACTATCTCCCAATTACATAAGCACGCACACGCAAACACGAAAAAAAACCTAAATTTCGATACAGTTATATCTAACAAAAGATTAAAGTCATAAAATTGCATCGCAAGTCAAAACAAAGCATTTCAAAGAAAAATTACAAACTAATTTAAAATCTAAAATAATTAACAATCAATGATTTAGTTAATTAAAGATTGACAATTAAAGAATAAAATTATTTAAATTAAAAAAAATTAAATGAAAAATTGATTTTTTTCACCTAAATTCGACCAAATAAAGAGAAGTTTTTAAAAAACTAATCCATCAATGTAAATTTCAATAATCAATAAAGTCTAAGTAAAAGAAAATGTATTTCAATTATAATGGTGTTTGTCAAAGAAAAAAAAGGGTTTGCATGTCTAACATTCAACCTTCACTTGACACCATATGAAAATATCAAACACTTGAAGGAAGAAAATTGTTTTCAATGAAAATCATACTAACCTCGTTTCATAGTTTTTACTCCTTTCTCCATCCCTGCTCTTGATTCTTTCACTTCTCCTCCAATTTTTGTTTTAGGAATTTTGGGCCTGGTTGCTCTTTTCTCAAACACTGTTTTCATTTAGTATGCCTAATAAATTGTGCTAGAAAAAAATCTCAGCCCGTTACTCTTATATACTAGGAAACAGTGCCATAACAAAAGAAATAAAAAATTCCTTAATTTTTTCAATATTAAAAATAATATTAAAGAAAAGCGATAAGATCATTTTAAATTAATATTATATTTATTGTCATTTATTAAATGAATTTTTGGAGTATACATAAAATACAAATCACATTTATTTGTTTCCGTATATTAATATATAAATATTTACGGGTATAAATAAGCTTATTTATTTAGTTAAATTAATAAGCTTAAACTTAAAGGTAGACTCTATTATTTAAATAAATTAAAATCAAATTTTATAAATTTAGAATTAAGAGTTTGTACACACTAATAATTCTAATTTTTTTTACTATATTTACTTGAAATTTATAATTCTGATTGTTATTACACACACTATCTGATTACTCGTCAAAATAAATGGAATTTTTACTTTTCATAAGTTTTTCAATTAATATTAAATATAAAAAAATATTTATAAATTATCATTAAAATATATTTTTATTATTTGAAAAGTTTAAAAATTTCAAATAGCTATGTAGATATATTTTTAAATAATAAAATTTTATTTATAAATTAAATCATGTTCATATATGTTTTTAATTTTTTTTTATAATTTTATAATATTTCAATGCATTAAAAGAGATTCTTAAATTCCATAAAATATCTTGACTCCGTGTTATTTCTCAGGACTTCCATACAATTCACAAAATAATTGCAAAAAACATATTAAACAAAATATTTAAAAGAGAATATTATTAATATTATTTTTAAAAATTATTATATTTTAATATAAGAATAAATTACACTTTCTTTTCTTAAAAGATGCACATATTGCAGAACCTTCTATTGTATTTTAAAATTATATAACCATTTCATTTAAAAATTTAAAATGCATCACAATTTAATCTATTTTAAATTTAATCTTAAATCATTATTAGAAAAAAATATATTATATTTTACCATAGTCTAATTTTTATTTGTTGTATGTTCTAATTTTTAAAAGAATTTCACTTTATTTCTTGAAATTTGCATTCAATTCACACAATAGTTACAGAAAAAATACCAAACAAAATATTTAAAATAGAATATTACTAACATTATTTTCAAAAATCAATTAATTTTAATGTAAGAATAAATTACACTTTCTTTTCTTAAAAGATACACATATTGCATAACGCTTCCTTGAATTTTAAAATTATATAACCGTTTTCCTAAATATTTAAAATGCATCACAATTTAATTTATTTTAATTTTTTTGTTAAAGCATTATTAAAAATATTTTTTTATTAATAGGCTAATTTTTTTGTATGCTTTAATTTTCAAAAAAAAATTATCCTTTATTTTGAATTTCTTAAGTTTGTTAAGGCTGTACGTCATTTATATCTTATAATTTTTTGTTAAAGGTGAAAATGTTTTTACTTTTATTTTTATAATTCAATGTAAAATCAGAGCTTTAAAACTTTTATAATAATAAAAAATGCTTAATATTTCATAAATAATACATTGAGCCCCGTGAATCTCTTAAAATATTAAAAAAATTGTAAAATTTATTAAAATATTATTTTAATAAAAATATCAAATAATCATTTAACATTATCAAAAAATTAAAATAAAATAAGTTATAATTCTTTTTAATTTTTTTAGAAAAAGAAATTATATAATTTTAAAATAAAAAGAAAATTAATGTAATATGTGTATCTTTTAAAGAAAATAAATATAATTTTCTCTAAATATAATATTAGTGTAACAAGATTAATTAAAATTTATAATTTATAATTAATTAATTTAATTAGAGTTATATGATAAAATTAGTTACAGTAGTAATCAAAATATGTTAAATAATTAAAAAAAGTTATTTTATATGAATACAAAATATTTAAAAATAAAACTATTAAAATTTTATTTCGAAAGTTAAACTTTTTTTATTAAACAACTCAATTAACTTATTAATAAAAAATTATAAACTTCTAAACAAAATAACTTCCCAACACATCATTCTAAAAATATATTCTAATTAAATTAAAAATAAAAATTACATACAAAGGTCAAAATGGTTTGATCTCAGTTACTGAAAGAGTGAAAGTGGTAACGAAGATAAGGAAGGAGGAAGAATGTGGGCGATAACTTCAACCTGTGGCATATCTACTTATCCAACTCCAATTATGGCTACCACTCGCCTCTTCGTTCCACATTCCATTGCCAACCCCTTCGTGCCAGAGGTACTTCCCTTACTCTGTTTTGGGATACCCCCAACTTCGTTTTCTCATTATTTCTAAAGCATTCAAACAGTGTAAAAGAATTTAAACTTTTTTTGACCCATAACCGTGTTTTGTCATTGCATCACTGGGTTGCTTAGAAATTGTAAAATATAAACTGGGAAAAAATTACCTTTGTTAAACCCAGAACCGTTTAGTTACTTCTAAGCATTGAAATTTGTTAATAAAGAAAATGACCTTTTTGAACAACAACCCCCCCCCCCTGCATTGTTGGGTAAGCGTTAGAAATTGTAAAACATTTTTTTTTCCTTTTTATAAGCAAGGGAAGAAGATACTTTCGTTTCTTTTTGTTTACTGTTACAATGAAATATGGGAATTTGTGTGATTGGTTGTACTTACGAAAACGTTTGGAGGAAAGAGAACATCAAATTAGGGTCTTTCTTGGTTGAATGCCTTTTTTTATTTTTTATTTGGTTTTGGGGCTTAACTTATGTGTTGAGGAAATGTAAGAGATGAATAAAAACTGTTTCTTGCAGTGCAGGTTGTAAAAGCGGTGGATGCCTTGCATTCAGAGTTCAGAGCTGTGGATAATTTGGTTGCATGCAACACCACCCGTGTTCTTAAAGCTTTCCAGAATGCTCGAGTTGGATCTCATGTAAGCATGCCCTTTGATATGGATAACCTGTTTGCAAATGTACCATGATATTCTTGGCTTAATGATCATTTGATATTATGCCTATGGATTTAAGGCTCATGAATGTTCATTGTTTTAATTGGTGTTGGTAGAGATGTTTGACTAAAAAGAACCTGAATCTGCTTATTGAAACATGAGCAAAGGTATGTGTGTACATCACTGATGTACATCCAATAGCTAACTTTAGGATAATAAGAACCAAGCATTATCCCACTAGGTGAGGCTGACTATATGGGTCACGCGATGCTATTGAGTTTGGTCAAATACTAAATTTTCATAGATCTAATTGATCAAAATGTCTCTTTTAATAATTTCATCTAAGGTTCTTTTGGATTTCCTAGAACCTTTTTATTGGACTAAAAGTAATACAATCCACTTTCTTCATTGGTGCCTTTGAAGTTCTTCTCTGCACATGACTAAACTACTTTAGACATTTTCAATCATCTTTTCTACTATAAGTGTTACTCCAATTTTTACACGTATACTATCATTTTCTTAACCTGTTCTTTCTTATTTGACTACTCATCCACCTTAACATTCTCATTTTTACCAATTTTTCCACTATAGTAGCTAACTTTAGGATACTTGTAAAATTTTCAGGTATGAAGTTTGACATGCAGTCATATTAGGAGTTCACATGTGTGGCATTTGGCACTAATGGCTTTGTTTGGATGTAGTTACCATTCTGTTTGTAACCATTGGTAGTTAATAGATCAGGCAAACTTTTTCATTATAATTTTAGCATGAATAGTTATTTTCTGTGTTTTGGGATTTTAATTGGTTGCTAATATGTATATTGTTAATTTGCTATCAGCACTTTGGTGGTTGCACTGGTTATGGCCACGATGAAGCTGGGGGACGTGAAGCTCTTGACCAGGCTTTTGCAGAAATTGTTGGGGCTGAGTCAGCTATTGTTCGTTCACAGGTTCTTAGTTTTCCATGCTTTCTTTTTAATACAGTACTTAGTTCTTACAGAAATTGAGCCATGGTGCAATGTTAAGGTTATTGCCTTGTAACTTGGAGATCCTAGACCCTACTAAGTGGTAGCCTTGTGCTCAAGGTCACCTTTTTCTACTTCTTAGTTCTTACCAAAGTTGACAATATAGAAATTTGTAATATTCTCATCTGTCAACAGTTCTTCTCAGGTACTCATGCCATCACATGTGCTTTATTTGCCCTCCTAAGGCCAGGGGATGAGGTAACACATTGTTTTTGACATTCTGTGCTTTTCATTAGTTGCTAGCAGTTTACCTTTACATTCTATGGTTATAGAATATTTTCTGTTGAATTTGTGACTGGAACAGTGTTTAGACTAATATAGCTGTCAGCTTTTGGCAGTGGCTGGTGCACCTTATGACACGCTAGAGGAAGTAATAGGGAAAAGGGACTCCGGTGGACTGGGTTCCCTCCAAGATTTTGGGGTGAAGTACCGTGAAGTTCCAGTATGCTACTTAATATTACTATTTTTTTCTGGCTGTAATTCATTAATCTGCTTTCTAACTCTTCTCTGCTACTATTATTCCACCAGCTTGCTGAAGATGGTGGACTTGACTGGAATGCACTGACAAGTGCTGTCAAACCAAGAACGAAATGTGCACTTATACAGCGGTCATGTGGTTATTCATGGCGTCAGAGTTTGAGTGTTAATGACATAGGAAGGGCGATAAAAATAATCAAAGTAAGGTTCTAAATGAGTATATGGTTGAGATGGTGTAGTTGATTAGTGTATGGTATTCTTCTTTAACCTTTTTACCCATTGTATTTTCGCTTCATGACATGCCCTCAAATATGTGTACAGATGCAAAATCCCAGCTGCTCAGTCATGGTGGACAATTGCTATGGTGAATTTGTTGAAAGTGTTGAACCTCCAATGGTGGTAAGTGATAATGTGACACACCTTCTGTTGCTTTATTCCAAGGGTGTGTAGTATTACAAACATTGGTGTGCAGGGTGCAGATTTGATTGCAGGCAGTTTGATCAAGAATCCCGGTGGAACAATTGCACCATGTGGTGGATACGTTGCTGGGAGAAAAAAATGGGTTGAAGCAGCTGCAGCCCGTCTTTCTGCACCTGGACTTGGTCTGGATTGTGGTTCAACCCCTGGCGATATCATGCGTGCCTTTTTCCAAGGATTATTTCTTTCACCTCAAATGGTTGGGGAAGCAATCAAGGTACTACATTATTCATTTTAATATGAGAGATTGTGTTTTTCTTGCTTATATCTTGTAGTGAGACATTTTGTATTCTATGTAAGGGTTCTTTCCTGATTGCTGAAGTTTTGGCTTCTAAAGGCTATAAAGTGCAGCCACTCCCTCGTGTCCCTCGTTGTGATACGGTTCAGGTTTTCTACTAAATCATCCCTGTTTTCTTTCTAAATGAAATATGTTATCTGCACTACTAGCAAAAATGTGTTGCTGGTAGAAAAACTGCTATTGATGTAGACACCAACCAGTCTCTCAATGCCAATAGGCCGTACAGCTTGGAAGTCGTGAGCGTCTCCTTGCTTTCTGTGAGGCTGTTCAGAGAAGCTCTCCAGTAGGGTCATATACCAAACCAGTTGCGGGTACCACTCCCGGATATGCATCAGAGGTCTGCTCAGATTTTTCTCCGTAGTCTACTCACAAATTGATAATTTTTTAGACCTTTTAGGATGTCTGTTAATCTGCTTTCTTAACAAATATTAATAACTCTTTCATATCAATCTCAGGTGATCTTTGCTGATGGAACCTTCATTGATGGGAGTACTAGTGAGCTTTCATGTGATGGACCTCTTAGAGAGCCATTTGCTGTATTTTGCCAGGTATTTTCATTTGTATCATGATGTGATTTGTTCTTAGCCTCCGATTTGTGATCTTAATTGTATTTTCTGAATGCAGGGTGGCACCCATTGGACTCAATGGGGACTAGTCCTAGGAGAAGTAATGAAATCTATATGATTATATAATTTTCAATGAGTAGATTCATACATAATACTGTTATGTGACCATCAGAGGACTACATGATTCAGATTGGTGCAAATACAATGAGACACTAACAGAATTATTTGTGCATAACAAGATCAAAGGGTTCTACTGAGGAAGGAAGCACCAATTAGAACTTAATTTTGGAGTTGTGTTCCGGGGCTTGCAGATTCTTATATAATACTTTTTCACCTCGTTGAAAAAGCCTTCTTCACTGGTAGAATTGCTAGCTATTGTTTAACTACTTAAGCACACCATCTCTTATGTTTGAAGCAAGTTTCTTTGGATCAGATTTTGATACTTTGTACTTGTGTCTAAATCTAATCTATTTCAGTCTTGACAAGAATTGTAGAAGATAGTATCATATTTTCTCATATTTGCATGTGTAATTCTTGGTGATTAAACCTTGTGATATGATCCTGTAAACCTTAACTACTGTTTTCTGTCATTTTTTTTTTGGCAGAAAATAATTCATCTTTTCTTCTTTGGGTTAATTGTATTTTCTTCCCTTCTGTAGGTATTTAAATTACTCCTTTCCCATATTTTTTTTAAAAATTAACTGGTTTGTCTTGAGAGATTAATGCGTTTCACTCTAATTCTCGTGAGAGATTTCTTAGAGATGATGCTTTCTATTTGTAATTTTCAACATTATCTATTGATAGTTTTGGACGTAGTTATTGATTTTAGAACTTTAGCGGTGGTGCAAGGATTTTGTATAAAATTCTAAACTATTTTCCTAATGTACGTCCAAAAGCATATAATAAAAAATTTTGTATAATAATTTTTATTAAAAATTATAGGATTTAATACATGAATAATGTTAAATAATATAATTTTTAATAAAAGGTATTATTTATTGATTTATTAGTGTTTTTAGAAATATATTAAAATTTTGAATTATAAAATCAATAATCTGGATTGTTAAAATTTTGTTTTAAAGACTTAGTATTTAGAACTAAACTACCAATAAAATTACTTACAAGTAATTAAAATTAAAATATGAACAAAATCAATTAAAAATACTGTAGCTCCTCCCTACCTGTACACCATTTAATTCAGTGTGGAAGCAATCTCTTAGAAAATAATATTGTGGAGATCACGAGGTCCACGATTCTGCACTGTGTGCCCCCTCATGTGACTGTGTGGTTCCTTCTATTATCAATGCGGAAAAAGAAAGAAAGTATAGATGATTAATTGATTATGTATATTTTTTATTTAGTTGAAAGAAAATTAATAAAGAAAAAAAATAAATTTTACCTTCAATTTTAATTTCTTTTTTTTTTCATCCATTTGCTTTTCATTCACTCAACCAAACGGAGGGTAACAATTAAATAAATGGGGAGGGGGGGGGGAGTGTATAAATATAAGAACAATTAAATATTTATTTGAATTTAAAGAATTATATTTGATTAAAAATAAAATTACAAATTTAAATAATTATATTTGACTTTTGTCTCTTTCAAATAGTTATTTTTAATTAGTTCGAGAAATGATTTTTGCATAAACGTGAATGAATCTTACGGAATACTCACTATTATAAAAAAAAAACATATATAATTGCTGAAATCAATTATTTTATTCATGAAATAATTTTTTTATTTAGTAATAGAAATAAATTTTTATCTAATTTATACTTAATTTCATCACATTTAATGTGTTAAATGAATTTGACTAAAATTAGTCAAAGACTAAAAATTAACTTTACAAATTAATATTTTTTTTCTCATACAAATTAATTTAGATTTAATCCGAGTTTAATTTTGAGTTGTGCATGTAGACAGGTGAGTCTACCACTAAATATTAAAATAAGTAATTTTTTATAAGTTCGGATTATTTTTTAAAAAATAAACTTTAAAAATTAAAAAATTGGACAGTATAATTTTGACTTTCACCGTAATCATGTGACGTTAAAAGTACATAGTAGACTATGTAAGAGAAAAAGGCGCAACTTTGATCTCATTACAGGATCGTCTGTGGGTTCGCCAGCAAGGAGGTTGTAGCTATTTTTGCTGCTATATTCTTTAGTCAACATCACACTTCATAACAACAACAGCAAAGTCGAAGCAGCAGCTTTTAACCTTCGTAATATCTCCACTCTTACTTGATTCAGTGCAACTATATTCCTGTGTGATATGTTACCATCATGTTTAAGCTAATTGTTGAAAATGCCACTTATCCATTTCGTTTCTTTGATATATAAGCCATTTCTATATAAATCTAGATTCAATGCTTCATATATGATTGCTGTATATGCAGAACAGAAAGAAAAACTAAGATTTTGTGTTTGTGATGTCTTGATATTATAGTTAGTCACACTAGTTTTGGCACTAGTTGGTGTTCTTAAAAGTTTTATTGAGATGCCAGAGAACAAAAAAATTCCTGATTTTTCTTTTATTCCTTTTGGGTAGATTGAGGATGTTGCCGGATCAGAAATTAGTTTTGTACCTCTATCGAGTTTTTGTTTCCTTGTCTTGTGATTTTGAGTGCGTGTTTGGAAAGTCCATAAAATCTCATTAAACAAAGCCATAACTTGTAGGGTGGAAATAGATCCACATTCGAGAGGATTTGATGCCAATCCAAATGCACTTGAGTTGGTTGCCAGAGATTCATCTTATATTGTTATGTGAGTAATTTGATAGAGTTGGAGTAAGACCTGATCATGAAAAGAAACTTAGCAGTGTAGAATACCGGTTGATGGGATTTAATCAATCATGGGGAATATATTAGGAGAATACTGCAGAGCAAAAATTAGGAAAGTGTGTGAATTTCATGTTCATAGAAGATCAAGAGGTTGTGACACGATGCAACTAGTTTTTGCTGGTTTTGGTTTGCTCAAGATTAGTTCTATATCTGTTAAAATTTGCACATCACATGGATATAACCCTAGCAAAACTGTTTCCTGTAAGATGCTGTGTAGTCAGGTAGCAGAAAGAAAGAGATTCAGATATATTAGCTTGTTTGGTTGAGTTTGCACAACTCAAACGGGGATTGGGTCATTCAAAATCAATTTACACAATTTTTCATAATGCTTGGGCGTTGCATGTAAACAGGAGTTTGGTTGTCGAATTGGTGTTTGAGTGGAAGCTAAAAAGGATGCTTTCGTAGTGGAGTTAATTGCTTTTCTTTTGTATGTCAAAATAACTTTGCTTCAAACTCACAGTTTAATCAAAATCAATTTTAGGACAAGTGGACAACTATTAATCAATCTTCATGGAAGTAACAAACTAATACGTAACAAATACTCAGTTGACTCATTATCTGTGAAATGCTAGCTTCAAACATCCTAAAAGTGGCTTGTTTGTCAACTAGCGTAATGGAAACTAACTATTCTGTACGTTCTTTTAAAAGTTTTAACAGTTTATAAGCCTTTGTTAAAATGGCTTATGTACTGTGTTGGAGTCATGCATGTTACTAGTTACTACTCTTCGACCTATTATTATTTTCAAATAAGTTCCCTTAACCAGCTTAGTCATCCTTCTGCAGATTCAATATCTAGAATTGCTCCAAGCTCAAAGTACCGGAGACAATCAAAATGCATCCTGCACAGATCATTTTGTATGGATCAACTTTATGTGTCATGATAGCAGTGCACTTCTCTATGAAGCTACTCGCACAACATGTTCTAAACTGGAAGAAACCAACGGAGCAAAAGGCCATAGTAATTATAATCCTTATGGCTCCATTGTATGCTGTGGACTCCTATGTTGGTTTGATAAACTTCTTTGGAAGTGAGGCATTTTTTACATTCTTGGATTCAATTAAAGAGTGTTATGAAGCTCTGGTAAGATTTTGTGGCTGGAATTTTTATTTTGGGAAACCTTACTAGTACTCCCATACTAAATAAATTTAAATTTATTTCAATTTAGTCATTTGATGCGTTTCAATTTTCAACTTACTCGAAGTATTTTCCTACAGGTGATAGCTAAGTTCTTGAGTTTGATGTACAGTTATTTGAACATTTCCTTGAGTAAGAACATAGTGCCAGATTCGATCAAGGGAAGAGAGATTCACCATTCCTTTCCAATGACTCTTTTCCAGGTGGTTGATAGTAATCAATTTTTTAAAAATTCTATTTAAAAATGTTTTCCGTCATTTGCAATTATGATTTCAGGAATCATGCTTCACATGAACAAAGAAGTTTCTGGAGTTGTAGATTTATGGTCTCTTGGGCCATGTACAATGTAAAAGGGTTGCCTTATTCATTAGTATTATCAAGTAGAGAAGTCATTTATCATTCCCCTGTGAGAAATAACGAGTCTGTATTAGTCTAGAGATGCAGTGCATTCTTACTAATACTGAGATCATGCTTTTTATAAGTTGGCTCTATAGTAACAAAAGGATTTAAAAAAGAACACTGAATATATTTATTTTGGTAAAAACATTGTAATCTGTCCGGTTTTATTTTTTATTTTTTATTTTCAAAAAGAAAAAGAAAAATAACTAACTAGTGAGGTATTTCTTGGTGGTCTTGAGAAGTTTAAAACTACAGGTTATACATGTTGTCCATAATAAGCCTTTCCCTCTTGCTTTGAAACAAACTCCAGGATTTATTACTTAGCTCTGCAGTGAACTATGCAGAAGATTGTATGTCCTTCATAATGTGTAAAATCATCAGAAATTCATAAAATGATACACTCGATCCATCAATTAATGTTAACTACATTAACCAATGTATTATTTTTAGTTCCCTGAATATTTCTGCATATATATGTGAGGCTTAACTCTTCATGGCCACCATCTGCATTCTGCAGCCTCACACTACTCGTCTGGACCATCATACACTGAAGCTTCTAAAAAATTGGACTTGGCAATTTGTTGTTATACGCCCAGTGTGCTCCATCTTGATGATAACTCTACAGTATCTTGAAGTTTATCCCACTTGGGTCAGCTGGACAATCACAATCATTCTAAACATTTCAGTGTCATTGGCACTGTATTCTCTTGTTGTTTTCTACCATGTGTTTGCCAAGGAGCTGGAACCACATAAGCCTCTTGCCAAGTTTTTATGCATAAAAGGAATAGTCTTTTTCTGCTTTTGGCAGGTATTTTCCTATGCTTTGCCTTGATCATTTTGAACCATGATTGCTGGATAAGTTCAATTTAAAGTCATTTATTTTAGGGTAAATTTCATTCACATCCCCTGAAATTCTCTTCTAATTCATATAACTCTATAAGAAATCAAGGGTAGTTGGTATAATCGAGAAGGGTATACAGTGCTATATTACATAAATTAAGGCAAGTTTGTGTAAGGTTAAAAAAAGCAGGGGGATCAGATGATGAAATTTTATTAAACCTCAGGAGATGCAAGTGTAACTTGCCCTTAATTAAGATGAAATGCCATATTTTGGGTTGGAATTTCAATTTGTCATCAATTATGGTCTTTAACCAAAGCATGCTACTATGAGTTAACTTATCCAAGATTATGAACACTACATTTCCAAGGCAGTTTTTTGTTACTTGTACAAGATTGTTTTGGTTTAAAACAAATGTTATATTAGTTTAATTACCTATGTTATTTGATTATACAGGGAATTGGGCTTGAACTCCTGGCATCAATGGGAATAATCAAATCCCGTCATTCCTGGCTAACTGTGGAACGTATTGAGGAAGGCTACCAAAACATTTTGGTCTGTGTTGAAATGGTTTTCTTCTCTATATATCAGCAATTTGCATATAGTGCTGAACCATATAAGGTCAATAACAAAAGTAGCACACCTTCAGATAAAAAATCAAAGTGATTCCAGGACATGAGTTACTGACTGTTGAGATTCTATGGACTTTCAATCACTATAGCTTATTGCCTCTCCTTCGCGAGACAATTAGTAAACATTGGGGTGAGAAAAGCTAGTCTATTGAATAAGATCCACATACATTGATGCTACTTCTATTGAGATAGAAAGTTTTATCAAGAGTTTTTCTTGGATGTTCTGCTTTCATTGGACTTTTTTCTCTTTTTCTTAACTCGTTGCATATTCAATTCCGTTTGTTGATATTACACCAACAGGAACTCTCTAGCTGCAAGCTATTACAATTATATACATGTTTATAGCCTATTTTTAATGTCGATAACCTCATAAATTTACAATTACAGGAACTTAAACTTCAAATTACTGAGTCTCAATCATGTGGCACTCACAAACACTATTATATATTCATAATATAGCTAGAAAGATAAGATATGTCTCCTCTAACGTGTTAGGTACAATCTATAGGGTACAGTACAGAGTAACGGTGGTTGATTGACAATAGTTAAAATTGTTATAAAATACATGTACATGCACAACAATTAGGCAGTTAAAATTTTAATTATTGTTTTTACAATGAATGACTGTCACTCAACAGTTAACCTTCTTAAGTGCATTCCACATTCAAAATAGGCTTTATAGATATCTTTTCTATTTAGTTTAAAAAAAAAAGTTCTTGTTTGAGGCACAGAGGGCAAACTTCTTGCATAGTGTTTTCGTATCTGAATTCACTTGCCTTGCCTTGCTACATAGTGTTCCGAAGCAAAACATTGCCAATACTTTTTATTTTATTTAAACTCCCTTTTCGGCAATATTATCTTTAATCGCTTATAATTCATATAACATAAAAGTGTTCAAATTAAAGCATTTTCATCCTTGTTTTGCCAGAATTGGATGTTAAAAGAGTATGAAATTCGGCTAATTCAAATAGTTCACCTGTAATGATCAAGTTAGATTTTTTCTTTTAATAGACAAATTTATATAAGCTTGACATGTTTTTCTCCTTAAACTTAATCCAACATAATAAAAAGCTATGAAACTTTGATAGCACATATTAAAACATGAGAATTACTTACAACATACTTTCTAATATACTCTTTCTCAAATACTTTTGATTATTAGTTAAAATTTATTAAAAATTATAAAAATATGAGTGAAACTCATTAAATTATAGGTAAAATCTAAATAATTTCGTGATTTAAAAAAAAATCAGCTAATAAAAAAAAATGTCCTTAAAAAATATGTTAGATAACGTGTAGCTATTTAATTAAGCATACAAGAAAAGAAAGGAAATGATAGTTACAAGGAACAACCAATCCTCTCGTTACTCGTATGTAATGGCTTCCGTGTTTTTAAAAAGTTTTCTAAAATGTCCCAGGAAATGAAAATGGAAATTTGATATTTACTTTTGCACATATATTACATAACCTGAGTACTTATTATTTGTGTAGCTTTCTTTTGCTAACTTTCCTTTCTCCTGATCTAAAAGTTTAACAACTTTATTTTTTCTACAAACCAAATATTTCTTCTGATCCTTTTTATAAAAAATAAAAAACTAAATCACCAAGACTAAAAAAAATAATTAAATACATTATATTTTTCATAAATATAAATTTTATTCTAAAAATACTTATAATATTAAATGATATAATTAATAATATATATATTTAATAATACTAATAAAAAAATATAAAAAAAATTTAACAATTAGTATATCTTGAATCTATCATTTGTTTTTTATAATAAAGATCAAAATAATATTTTATTCTGTTTTTTATTAAAAAAAACCAGAGGGAGTAATATAAGTAGTACTAAAAAGCCTATGCACTTGACAACACTTTCAAAACTCTAATAATATAACTGGCAAAACCTCAAGTAATGATTTAATTTAGTTCAGCTGGTTAAATTTGCAGTAATTAAATAGAATAAAGTTTCATAACAAAGTCATAAACAGTTCATGATCTAATTAAACCAACCTGTCCAATTTTGAAAACATTGCAATGCCCCAAAATTTTTCTGTTTTACACAGAAATAAACAAAAACATGTTAAGTGGGGCTCGTAAATTGTAATATATTCATTGAAAACTAGAAGATCGTTAATACTATTAGCAAGGACATGCCATAGGACCTAGGGGACTCCCTACACCTCAAGTTGTGACAGTACCCTGTCTAGCAGTTATCACCTTCTCATCTAACATGGTGAGAGGGGAGAAAAGAAAAATAAAGCACATATTATGATACACTTATGTTATAGATATGTAGAATCTCTAGTGTAATTTAAGTAAATTCCATTCTATAGACGAGACCGAATGAACACTCTTCTTCCATTGTTCTGCAGAAGATTAATTTCCTTAAAGCTATCATCTGATTTGTTTGGAGGCTGTGACTGTGACTCCTCAACATGCTTGGCTGATGTTTTGTACAGCTGCTTTGTGTTATTAACATCTTCCTTCACTTCCTCCATTTTTGTTTCAAAATGAAGGTCATTTGCAACCTTTAAATCAGGGTTTTTCTTGGTTTTTAAAAGGGTTGGTAAGGGTATATTCATCAATCCTTCTGGCACCATCTTATCTACCTGCTTCCTTCCTGTATTTAATCAAATTTCTCAATTCTCAAACAAGTGAAATGTAAAACAATGTAAGAATTTTGCTGTGAAAATCTTGCTTATACACATGCCAGTTAAATGGAATCTAGAAATGCAATATATATTTAAAGGCCATACTTGGAGTTAAGGATATTAAAAGTGAAATTTATCCCCCCAAAAGATGTATATTAATTGATATTGATGGTGTATGGTCTATGTAGCAGTAAAATCTTTAAACACAATAAAGAGAAAGAGTGTATTATACTCATAACAATTTTATAAAAGAAAATATTAAATAATAAAAAAAGTAAATGCAATTTTGAGAACATGAAATGCATCCAATACATTCATCCAGTAAAAGTTAAAGGGGTTACTAAGATGATCAATTATGTAGTAAATTCAAGCGCTCAATGACTAGTGAATTCACCCCAAAATAGTAAAGACCTAAGGGGTTAAGTTACAAAACTAGATTCAAATCCATCATTTGATCCAGTAGATATTTTTGTTTCTAAACCCAAAGAATAATGAAGAGGTAATTTCAGAAATCACAAATGGTTTGTGTTTGAGTTGAGTCCCAGAAGTTGACAACTGATAACCAGAACCACAATTCAATGGCTATCTTATGACGTAGGATCAAGGACATGAATGACAACTAGTTTGAGACTAAATACCACATGCATCATAAAAACAAAGGACTAGATGCTCTGACTTTGCCCTACCAAAATGACCAACTACAACATGAAGATGCACTTCAATTCTGCACACATAAAATATCAGGGGTTTCCTCTAACATTTTATTTTTAGTTAATAATAATTACAAAACAAATCCCTTATTTTCATTCTCCTGCGTGTTTTCAAAATTTTGAAGATATGAATACACGACATTTGCTTAATCATTAAAAAATATGAGCATACCAACTTAAAATAAAAACATAAAACATATTGCCCAGCATTAGTAACTCTAAATGATTAAAAAAATGTACATAAACTCAAAATGACTTTTTAAAAAGAAAAACCTTTACTGAAATTAACTTAATTTTATGTAAAAACTGTACATACGAGGATACAAAGTACCCATTTTAAGAGAGCAAAAACTATTCTATAAAAATAAAGTCGTAAAGGTTACAGTTTATTTTGAGAAAATATTTTTTTCAAGTTTTTGAAAAGAATTTTGATTAAAGAACGCGATTATTTACCGAAAATTCATCCCAATCAAAATGACCTTCTGATTCTGAAACAAAACAAAAAATAATAACATTTCTTTCTAAACAGTTAAACGAATAGTTAGTGGTGACAGTGAAATGAAAGGAAAGGTTTGAATTAGAGAGAGAGAGAGAGAGAGAGAGAGGAAGTGACCAGGGACGATTTTGCGAGAGCCGTCGATGGCGGAGCCCACGGCGAACTTGACGAGGTCCACCAGTATTTGGCTTATCGTCTGGCGGCGGCCCATTTCAGTGACGACGGCGGACATATCGGCGGCAATGTTTTTCGATTCCAACGAGGCTCTTTCGGAATAACCAAGGTAAGATGTGGTTGAGGGAGGAGCTTTCGATATTATTTATTTTTATCTACTAAAATTAATATTCGTCGGTATATGAGAACAGATATTTGTTGGCTAAAGCGTCAAATCAAATCTATGTACTTTATCGTCTTTTAAACTTTAAATATTAACAAGTGTCTTAAAAATAAAATAAATAAATAAATAATATTATTAACAATTTTTTTATCGTAATTTTTATATATTATATAATTTTAACAAATAAAATTGTTGATCATTTAATAGTGTGTTAAATAAGATTCAATTTTTAACTATATTTTCAAAATAATTTTTATGTTGAAAATTCAAATAATAATTTTACATTTTTTTAATAATATTGCTAATTCTTGAGAAACCTTTTGTATGTTTGAAGCTTTGTGCTTTATACTTAACTTATTTTATTCAATGATAATTAAATTAAGTTAAAGGTAATTTGTTAATTTAAAACAATTAGCAACTATTCAACAACTGTTAATAAATAAAAGAAGATTTATTTCATAATCATTATTGTTGTAACCAACGTTATTTTCTAGTGGAATCATTTTGACTACCTAGCAAAGCTTTGTGCTTATCTTCTTCCTTGTTTTCAACTCTCTTATGCACATCAGGTTTGATATATTAGTAATATATGTATTTTGTTTAATTGTAAATATTTATTATAGAATATAATTATATTCGAGTCTAATAAAATTTTTTATTTAAATATTTAAGTCATCTGGATACTCAGAACTTAACTAATAATATATATTTTTATTATTAAATGAAACTAATGTAAATTCATTAAATAATATAAGTTTCACTTACTACTTATTGTGTCTCTTTTATTATTTATCTGACTCTATAAATTTTGATTCAATAATATAGTGTTAAAAAATACGTTGCCTTTGGATGGAATTCTGCAAGATAACTTCACTTTTTCGCAAAACATATAGTATTTTTTGGACCATTCAGCCTCTTATTCACACAGTTGAAGCAATAACTAGTTGTCAAGTTTATTTGCTCATTGGCCGAAAAAAAAGCTTCTTTGTTCAGATTAAATTTATCAAGATTGAGTGATGAGATTAGATGAGAAAAAGAGTAGAGTTGATTGCTGTGTATGCCCTGTTCAGTTTCAAGTGTATAGTGAGGCGTCGATAATTTCTTAACATAAGATTCTTCGAAATAAATAGGACGGTTGGTGGGAATTTTTAATCATCCCCACTGAGATGGTATTCATGTTGTTCACCAAATTGCTCTACACATTTAGAGATACAAATCTGTTTTCCAACGAGCCACCGAAATGATTCTTAGCTCTTCAGCAAGTTTTTTCTACACGTTATGTATTCTTCAGGGAAAAAAAAAATTCAGGTATTATGAGTAACTTGCGTGTGATGTTTGTTTCGGAAATTCCATCGTCCATCAATTCATCACCTCTAATGCAACCCAAAAGTAAATAGTTTTCAGTTAAAAGAGGCTGTAAAAGCTTTGAGAAAAATTAATAATAATAATAACAACATTGAATGTAGTGTTAAATTTTGTAATGCTAACAATTTTTGACCGAATACAATAACCTTGTGTGAATGATAAAGTCGATTTTATTTAGTGAAATAATACTTGGCGATTGTTATTATTGGCAAGTCTTTATACTTAAAATAATTGTTTTTTCTCAAAGGTAAAATAAAACAAATGAGTTCGCCATGTGCCCATATAAGAAAAAACAATTGCATTGTCTGTACCCAAAAATCTGATGTGTTGTCTTTATTGAATGATACTCCAGAATATCCATTATCTATATCCCTTCGTTATGTTGCTCCGGTAACTCAACAAGTCTAAAGACATTGACAACTTATTCACACATTTTGTTTTCCTATTTCTTTCCAGGTCATTTTCGGAGCCATTAGTGTTTGCCCAAAAACAAAATAGATGTCCATGACCAAAGTATGAAAGAAAGTTCCTCCATGGTATGAACCAAGACTGAAATGACGGGAAAAGAGGCAGCAAGGTTGCAACCTGAAACGTGCTGTATTACTATTATATCAAAAGTAGCTAAAGAAGAGTAGACATTGATTGTTGCTTAAGCTCAGCCAAGTTATTAGTAAAGCCTTAACTGACTCCGACCATATTGCATGGCTAAATGCCAATACATACAAACTGTAAATAAACCTTTTTCTTTATCCTTTGCTTGGGCTAAAAGATCCAGATCCACTGCTCAACGCCACCACAATGTGGTTACCATATTTCAAACATTTGAATGAAAAACAAAAGACATCAGGATCAGCTGGTTTCAAATCCAAATTAAATTAATGTTATTTTAAAAGCAACTCCAATTATTATAGTCAGGAGCAATATCTAATGCTTAAATAACATGCATGTAGACCTCGTATGCACAAACCACACTGCAAATAGTTACAAACCAAATATTAATTCCCCCAAAACTTACCATCGCCAGCAACAATTCTTTCACAAAGAAAGGCCAGCAAAAAGCAACTCCAACTCGTCCTCCTGTGATACAGTTCTCTGACATAACAGTGCAAAAGTATAATACAATTAATCACTTGATAGGAGCAAATATATTAATCATTATGAAACTCTAAAAAGCAATACAAAGATATATGACCAAACAATCTATGGCTTATCAACAAAGAATGGACTACCTGAATTGACATGAGTTGCAGAATGTTATTAAGAACCTTCAGACGATGAGCAACATAGGCACTGTTTACTGGCAGTTGGCGCATTCTCCTTATTTCATCATGAACTGCGGCCTGTTTTTTTGCACACCACATCTGTTTCTGTGGTTCAGGCTGGTTAATAGCTTCACTCTCCATCACTTGATCAAGGGTATTGCTACCCTTTAAATGATCAAGGGAATCCACTTTTACACTGAATTGATCAACATCAACAAAACAAATGCTAAGACAACACAACTACACCAAACAAGCATAGAATAGAAAGACTCTTAAAGAGACAAATTTAACATCACCAATTACAACAAACATACAAGCATCACAAAATCTTAACATTGGTAATAAATCTAGTACTCTAACTTTAGACGCCAGGGTTATTCACACTAACCAAAAATGTTTTTTCAAATGTTTCACAGGTTCAATAGAGCCTCGTGATAGTAATCGGCCTCAAGAGCTAAAAGCCTGAGAGACAAGCCTCTAGTCCTCAGCAAAGCAATTACAATCAAAAGAAACTCACAAGGTTGAGTATGAATTGTTATACTTATAGCAGCCAAACATAACCAAGGAACATTTCTTTACCATTGACCTAGAAAGCACGGACACAACTTGAAACATACAATAATAAGACACAAACAAGGGAACAGGCAATTTTAAATACCATAAGATTCGATATGGCCATAATACAACGTATAGGTTAATCCCAAATTGAGTTCAATAGTACATAAAACGCAATACCGATACAAACTTCTCCAATTTAGCACACAGTATACGCAACTAAATAAAATAAAATTGCAGATAATATCTTGTAGTAGGTTGATCCACAATAAAATTAAAACTTAAGATTATTATTCACCTAGCCTAAATATACTTGATTCAACGATACCCAAAAACAAATACACATCAAGTGAATCAAAATTAAGCCCTCGATTTATTTCAACATATTAACATTTATATATAGAAGCAAAGAGGAATTGGAACCTTTACAGTAGCAGGAAGATAACTTACGAGAAGGAAGAAAGAGAAAGGAAAGGTTCTTTCAAGCGCACCGTTTTGGAGACGAATGCCTTTTTGTTCAGTTTAACGGCGACGTCGTATCGTAAATTGCAAATTGTGGCGCCGCAAAGAAACAAAATAAAAGATCCAACTTATAAAAGAGGTTAATTTTAATAATACACTAGGAAATTAATCAATTAATATATAAGTGTGATATTGAAAATTAATTAATTTTAGAGTAATAAATAATGTAGATTTTATGATAAAGATAAATTTTCGTCATAAAAATATTTGAAAATAATTAAATTGAGACTATAAGTAACTCGGATTTTAAAATGAAGAAGAAATTAAACCTAAAAAAATTAATTAAAAATATACAGTATAAATATATTATCTTTTAATGAAGAAAGCGTGTATTGTAAAAAATAAAAAATAAAATAATAAAATACGGTTTTGCAAATAGAATCTATTTATTGTATAAAGTTTAATTTTAACGTGTTGTGTGTGTGGATAAATTTTTTGCATGGTAACTAATTAAAATACTTGATTTAAATATAATTTGTAAATTAATTATTATAAAAAATAGGTGTCAATATTGATATAGTAATTTATAATTAAAAATAACGTAAAAAGTTTTATACAATTAGTATGATTTAATTAATTTTTTTGTTATATAAAATTTACACTGTCATAAATATTTTTATTTTATACATAAAATTTTAATTATTATTATTATTATTTTATGCTTTAAATAGATTTAAGAAAGGAGCTCAAAAGGGTTATTAAGTAATTTAGTTAAATGATTAGAGTGAGAAATGAAAGCAATCAATGATGTAAACTTGATTAGCAATGCACAGGCATGATTTGTTTCTCACAACTCTAGTGAAAAGTGAAAACAATATCAAGCAACAAATAGTCAATATTGATTAGGTTTAATAAGCTAACCGAAGAAATATAGATACCTAAAATTTACTGTACTGTGGCATAATATAGCATTAAATAATATATTTATTATATTATATTAAAATACATAATTGTATATTATATATAAATTTATAAATAAAATAATAATTTTATTTTAAAATTTTATTTTTATTTATTGGTTTATATAAATTATTATTAGTTATTATAATTTTAAATGTATATTTGTAGTTTTTTTAATGATTTTATATGCAGTTTTTTTACTTACAATGTGTGTAAAATTTACTACACCATGGCATAAAATAATATATTAATTATACTATAATTATATATAAATTGATAAATAAAGTATTAATAAAACATCAAATAATACATTAAGTACACTCTAAATTGAAATGTGTATTGCATATAAATTAATAAATAAAATAATAGATATTTTTATTTATATTTATTGACTTATTTAAATTGTTATTAATTTATGTAATTTAAACATATATTCACAGTTATTTTTTTATCTATATTTTTATTTATAAAAGTACTTTTTGAATTAACAATCTATAAATTTTATAATTTTATTTTTAAAGTGTTTTTTAATATTTCGATTATAATTACTTATTTCCAAAATTATTAAATTAAAAAAATAGTATTGTGCAACTCACAGAGATAATAACTAGTGCCAAGTATTTGGGCATCTTTTCTAAGGACATGCAAATGGAAAAAGAGAGCACAAAGCTGGGAAAAGAGGCCTAGCCTATATGTGTTTCACATGGCCCTTCCAATGACTTTTATGCTGTCCCACCAACACTTTGTTATTATAATTTGACTAATATATATAGATTCCTATCTTTTCTTTTATGTATTGTATTTCATTTCATCCATCGCCACAAAGCAAATCCATGAAACAATGTCACGCCACCAGCTTTTGCTTTGCCTTCACACCAAAGCTTGCAAGATCTCCACCAAAATGATGACTCTATATATTGAATTGACTTTCATATATAAATCATATCAATTGTGAAATTTGCAAGCAGTCAATTCACATGATTTATACCAACTGAAGTATATAATAGATTTTGATTAAGAAATTGTTGTGTAAATATTTTTTGCACCATGAAGATTGATGAATAAAAGAGAGAAAGTAAAAATTCATGATGATATATGAGTTAGTATTGATGAGTTTAATATATAAGCATTAGTCTCCATAATATATTAGACATAGTACTGACGATTGCCATGGTAGGGATCAAAATCAAAACATAATAAGATTATCAGAATTAAAAATTAAAAATTAAAAATATAAAGACTAACATTAAAATTGAAGGAAAATATAAATACCAAAATGCGTATAAATTAACCTCACATATTTTTCTTTTTCACTGGTGTTTGTTGAATAATTAGGACCCATATTGTACCAAAAATTCCCTTCAAATGTTAGATTTTGACCAGAAAGAAGAGGTTGTTAAATATGAACCATCAACCAAAGAGTATTCATATGTTGTGACTTGTGCCTTTAGGAAGAGTAGCTGTAAATTTAAAGTAAGTGCTCTCTAAGGGTTGACACAACCAAAAGGGAAAAAGAGAGACTAGAGATAATATCAACAGAGATGAATAGGATCTACCAAGAGTTGACCTCAGTGCCTTTCAAGTTGATTGATATTAGAACTATCATTACTAAGCAATATCGGGTGAAAGACCCTAAGTTTGGTCTTTAGGTTAAGATAAGTTACTAAATAACTTTAAACTTATTCTTTAAGAATTTTAAATTCTAACTTTATAGCTTTTAATATTTAAAAATTGAGTAGTAGACTCATTACATTACAATAATAAAATATTAAGAAAAAGCTATATCAAATAGTGCATTGTACATTTATTATTTTAAAATTTAAAATATAAAGCATTATATTTTTTTAGTTATAATGCTGTTTTGGGATGAATTGCTATTTTAATGATAGTGCATTGTACATTGTTTGACTATAAAAAAAGAGAGAGATTATTTGGTAAAAGAAACAATATAAAATATAAAAAAATAAATTTTCTTAACTCTTGTCAATATCAAAATTTAATATATATTTTTCATAAGTATTAAATCAATAAATTTATTAAATTTTGGTCTTGCTGGACTTTGGTGGGCCTACGAATAGGTTGATCCAAACAAGAGCAACTACTCCAATGCTGGTAAGCGAATTGATGACAATAGAAAATTTGTTAACTTGCGAAGGCACTTTCATATTCAAACCAGAATTTATAGCAATAACGTGACAATAATGAAATAGTGTGTATAAAATCAGATGCAGGTGCAGGTAACATAAACTAGGATATTATAGCAGCTTAATGGGATACCATCTAACTTGCACGGTTTGCTCGGATAAAAGGAATAAAATAGAGAGAGAAAAAATAAAAATTGAATGAAATAGAAATAAAATAATGTAATGTTTGAGTAATATAAAAATGAAATAAATGAGATGGACTGAAATGCAAATATATAAAGATTATTTTATCTTTATATCAAAATTAAATATTTTTTAATAAAAACAAGATTTTCCATAAGATTTTTAGTCCATTTTAATACTTTATTTGACTCAAACATAATTGCTTCTAATAAATGATATATATGATTTTAAATTAAAAAGTAAATTTTTTGAACGAGATAATAAAATTATAGATCGATAAAAATAATTAATTGGCATTTTTTGAAACAAAATAATTACAAAATTTTAATGTGATGTCAAATTTGGTTTCCATAAAAGAAAAAGAGCTGTGCGCCAAAAGCCAAAAAAGAAAAAATAAAAAGAAGGGAGAAAATATGGGGAAAAAGCAGATAATAAAAGTCAAGGAAGGACGTATCTACTGCGATATTTGCTTCTTTCTTTCTTTCTTCTTCTTTCTGTGACATTCCTTATTTCAGATATCACAACTTAGGGAGAGAGAGAGAAGAGAGAGAAAGTTCGTTAAAAGACCAATTTGCCCTTCGATCTTCTTCGTCTTCCTCTCTCGCGAAATCCAACGTTTCATTCACACAGTGTCACCATGAACGAGAAGGCCAACGTTTCTAAGGAGCTCAACGCCAAGCACAAAAAGGTTCCTCTTCTTCTTCTTTCTCCTATCTTTTACTCCTCTGATTTTTCTCTCAATGTCAATAATAATAATAATAATACGTGAATGTGTCATTTCCGAATTTTGCAGCTTTCAATTCTATATTTAAATAATGGTAATGATAATTCTGAATTGTCGGATTCCGTTCAATCACCGTCCGATTCGCATCTCGAGAAATCGAACTTCGATGTTGCGAACTTTTGCGATTGCTTATATGACACAATTAAGTGTTAAATATTAAAAATAGTGCATGTGAGGAAATGGATCGCTGATTGGTGGTGATGGTTTTCTCAGAGTTTGATCTGCTTGTTGTGATATTTTTTAGTTCAATTATTTTTGGCATTAAATTAGTCGATCGAGGTTACTGAACTTGGTCGTTTGGATCCATTTTTCCAATGCATTAGTAATTTTTTACTTAATTTTCTGGTTTTCGTTTTGGAGATGTTTTGAGGCCATTTGATTGCATATTGAAATATGATCGATCATTGTTGGTTGGAAAATTTGGATTACGTAAAATATTTGTTGTTGATCTGGAGAAAAGTTTAAACTTTGTTTTTTTCCTTTGGTTGCTTCTCATTTTATTTATATATATATATATATATATATATATATATATATCTCCAGTTAACTGGGTGTTTGTTAGTTTCTTATTTTGACGAGAATTTAATTCATAAAGTTAGTTGCGGTCATAACTCATAAGGGAAAGACTTTGTAGGGATCTTATATCATTTCAAAGAAAAATAGTTTACCTTTTTTCTTTTTGTATATATTTTGAGCTGAATTTGTTTGTTTACTTTGGATGTTTTATTTTTTCTCTATTACAATGTCGATCAACTTACATTTATTGAGAGGAGTTTTCCAGTCATGAGTGTCTAAATTCTTAATTTGTTTGTTTACTATGGATTGTTTCCTCTATTGAAACTTACTACACTTATTTCCCCATTTTCCTTTTGTCTTTGATTAAATATTTTCTTTCTTTACTTTAAATTAAATACGCAGATACTGGAAGGACTTCTTAAACTACCAGAGAATAAGGAATGTGCTGACTGCAAAGCTAAGTATGTAATCATGTTTCTGGCTAGATTAAAATGATCCAATCTTTATCTCACATTCTGTTGTAAAAAGGAAACGAAGAAAAGAGATACTAATCTGTCCATGAAAATTGGATTGTCATTGTATAAGCATTTTTTGGGATTTTTTTCTTGTTATTTTTTCACAAATTTTGGTAAAATTTTGATTTGCAGAGGCCCAAGATGGGCTAGTGTCAATCTTGGCATCTTTATATGCATGCAGTGTTCAGGAATACATAGAAGTCTTGGGGTACACATATCAAAGGTATGTCACAGTGTTTGAATTAAAGAAATAATTGAGTTCTGTGGGTTTCTCTTGTAATGTTGATTCTTAAAGGTTGATCTATCAGAAAACAAGTTATAAGGAGGAAATTATGTATTATCGTCATCTCACTTGAAAATAAAATCTTTGGTAATTCAGTTAGGAATAGGTGATTTAATAGTCTAAACTAAATGTTTTGTTTTGGGGGACATTTCACTTTGTTTGCTAAATACTGACAAAAGGATTCTGAGTGAGTTGCTTTGGTAAAACTTATATACTAAATATGTCCTCTTTAGACTGTGAACATTTTAACTCTGGCTCTAATTGATTCACAAAAATGTTTCCACATGACCTTATTCCATTTCAATTTAAAGTCTAATATCAATCCTAACTCAATTTGATATGGGAACACCTGAAACATGGCTCCTAGGTCCTAACTGTTGGTTTTTTACATTCTAGTCCATAATATGTATATTAACTAAACACTGGTTCTAAAGTTCGACCTGCTAGTTGCAATTTATATGCTTACTTGGTAGATTATCTGCAGGTTCGCTCTGCAACATTGGACACCTGGCTCCCGGAGCAGGTTGCATTCATTCAATGTAAGAGAATCTGAATGTTCATGACCTTGTGGTTATTTTGGGTTTTGTTTGTATGCGTTAGTTATATAGTCTGCTCATTATATTTGAATTTCTGTTTTTGTTCCTATATAGCAATGGGAAATGAGAAGGCAAATAGTTACTGGGAAGCAGAATTACCCCCACATTATGATAGAGTTGGAATTGAAAATTTCATTCGTGCAAAGTATGTTTGTTGATGAACACCTTAAACCAGACTGATTTTTTTTTCTTTTGATCTTTGTACTGTTAGGAGTGTATGTTTTCTTATAATGTGCAGCTGATTATTTGCTTTCAATCACATTGCATGTACTTAAAGGTATGAAGAGAAGAGATGGGTTGCAAGGGATGAGAAACCAAAATCACCTTCTAGAATACGAGAGAATACTCCTTCACATTGGCAAAAGCCTGTAGAAAGAGGTGGGCATAGTTATGCAGCTGCATCTGAGAATTGTTTTGAGGAAAGGAAGAAAATCCAACCATCCAATGCAATTCCCGCCACAAGAATTAGTGTTCCTGCTCCTCCCAAAGGACCTGAGCAAGTAACCTCTCTCTCTCTCTCTCTCCCCCTCCCTCCTATTATTGTGGTGAATTATTTGTGGTTGTAAAGTATGTTCTGCTATCAGAGTTATGACTCATGAGCTACTAGCATTCTTTTAGCAATACAACTAATAAAAGAAAGGAAAATGTAGAGTTCCCCCATCAATTTTGGAGCTACAATAAATGAAACTCTCAACTTTAAATTTAGAATTTTGCCCTCTTATTTTTAAGAAGAAAAGCCCCAATGGTGCTTTGTATTAAGTGTGAATGCCCAATTTTAGAAATTCAAGCCTCTGCTGAAAGAAGAATCATTGGATTGGAGGTATATAATACTCAGTGATTATAAAAGCAGCTATCGCTGCATTTTTCAAAATCTAGTGGGCTTAATCGCTGGAATTGAAACTTAAGGGTTTTTTGCACTTTTCTTAATGCAATCAAGTTTTCAAGTGTGGTGGTTCGAAACGAAAGTAGTGAATCCATGATATAGAAAACATAAGCAAAAATATGTTCTCAATTTTCTACTCTAAAATCTAATTCTGGAGAACTAGTTTTCAGAACAATCAGATAAAAAACAGACACCGAATGTTTAGTTTTTGAAAGCCAAAAACTATTTTCAGAAGCAGTTATTAGCCCAAATATTTATCTGAAAAGAAAAAATAGTAGTATTGAGTGACAAGACTCTAGAATAACTTCCTGTTCATGATATGTTGAAACATAAGCTTAATGTTTCCTGCGTTACTAATTGAGCTGGTTCTATGGATCATATTTCCTTCCTTGGGTGCTTTGTATTTTTTATTTGAAAAAACAAGTCTGCTCATATTTGGACCTTGGTCCAAGTTATGAAATAATAAAACTAATATGCAGATCCCTTCTAGGGAAATTTTATGATTGAGGTATACATTGATAGTGATGGATATTTGGGAACTAATTCAGTGAGAGAAGTGTTAATTTTGACAAATTTTATATAAAATAATTTTGCCCAATATACATTTTCAATAATCTACATGATAAACTATGACACTATGAGCAACTAACATAGATAATTCTAGATTGTCATTTTTCTTATTTCCTTTGTGTAAAAATGATTTTTTCCCCTTCCTCTTTAAAGTTGAAAATATGATGGTTTATACTTTCAAAGACTTATGAAAATAATTAATTCCTGAACAGGTAATTCCTGTGATAGAGCCTCAACATATTGAGAAAGTGGAATCTGTGGTACCACCACCGCTAGCTGAAACTTCAAAACAGCCTACTGACACAAAACCAAATTCCCCTCCAAAAGTCAACTATGCTACAGACCTTTTTGACATGTTGTCTTTGGATGGTCCAAATGAAAAGGACTCAGGGGCAGCTGATGCTACGACTGATGACAATAACTGGGCAGGTTTTCAGTGTAAGTTTTAGGTTTCCTTTTTAAAAGGAAAAAAAAAATAAATTACACCATGGAAGCACTAATGAAAGTGTTTCCAGGCATTGTTTTTTAAGCTTTGAAGAAGCTTCTTGGTGATTATGTTGTGTTTGTCTTAGGCTTAAATTTTGTTGCTATAATTGTTTCAGCTGCTGCAGAGGCCTCAACAGCCGAGAAAACTGGTGCTGGGAAAACAGTTGAGAGTACCACCCAGTCTACTTCTGGAATTGAAGATTTGTTTAAAGATTCACCTTCAGTTACACAAAGTTTAACTCCAGAAAAACCAAAAAAAGATGTTAAAAATGATATCATGAGCCTCTTTGAGAAGGTACATGCCAGTGCTTTAATAGGTTTGTTGCCCCAATAAGTTTGTTTAAGACTGAGTTCCTTCTGACTTTATATATGATTGATCTTATTTATGGAATATACTCATCTTGTGTTGTTATTTGAGCATTGATCTTTGTCTTATATGAGTTTTTATCCTAGACATAAGAACAAGTAAATTTAGTTGTTGATCTCTATCCTCAGACGATTGGTTTTGTTTTGGTATGCGAATAAGATTTCATCTGACCCACTAAATTGGATATCTGCAGGGCAATATGGTGTCTCCATTTTCTACCCATCAACAGCAGCTAGCCATGCTGGCACATCAACAGACTCTTCTAATGGCTGCCGCTGCTAAATCTGCTGGTGGGGATTCCAAGTATGCTGCTAGCACACAACAACCAGGGTCCAATATCCCAGTCCAAAGTTGGCCAGCTGCTGGCTACCCAATTCCAGTATCAATGCCCGTGGGTGGTCAGGGAGATTTGCAGAAACTCATGCAGGTTAATAGTTCATGGAAGCATTAAGTTAATTGATAAATAATTTCTTCTTCTTTATTCAGCAATTTATTTATCTTCTTCTTTCTGGGTTAGACAATGAACATGACTGCAGCGCATTCAGCTGGGAGTTCAGTTCAGTATCCACCATCTAGGTACACTACTAGTTTGTTCATTAAAAATGTATTTAATTTCAGTTTGGGTAATTATTAGGGTTTTGACTTGAATTGTGACCTGATTTTGCTGGACAAGATTCTGAATAATCTTTGGTCGATATTGCCGTCAATAAGGAAGGATACACGGTTCCCCAAATCAAAATTACTGAGCTGTGGGTAATGTTGGCTGTGGTGCCAAAAGGCGATGATTCTTTCTAAGTTCTGACTTTTAAAGGTTAATTTTCTTCATAAAAAGGTTCCTTTCATAGTTGAGGGCCGGTGCCATTGGCATTGAAATCACTTTCATATTGATCAATGCTTGCCCCGTATGCCAAATTAAATTTGAGTGCCAGTTATCTCATCCTGAACCGATGCCAATGAGACATTCTTTTGTTAAAATTTTCTTACAGATTTTCTTGATTTATAATGGCTTCTTTAGCTGAAGGTCATGTTTCAGATATGCTGTCAGTCCTTGCAAAAAGTCTCATTCATTCAAGTCATATATCCTGCTCATTTTTTATACAGGATGTAGTTCTTTTCATTCATCGAAGTCATCCTGCGAAACATATACCCATTTGGTTTCCGTTGATTTTTACTATTCTTTTTTTCTAATTAACTAAGTTGTCAATTGTTGCAGTTACTATGCTATGGGGCAAGCTGCTCCAGTTAATGGCGTGACGACAACGGGAGGGAGTAACAACCCTCAGTCAGCAGCTCAAGGATCATCGACCCCTTCAAAGACAGCGAATGATTATGATTTTTCCTCCTTAACACAAGGAATGTTTGCAAAACACTGATTGGCCTTAGCTTAACAATGCCGGCTATGTCATATACCATAGAAGATTAGTTAAAATTACAGAAAAGTGCATTTTCATTTTCTCATTCCCTTGACCTGTGTCCGTGGGTTGTAAACCATTTCTAGAGCTACTCAGCTAGTTCAATTTTCTTCTTGTTTCGGGTGATTGCTTCATTTGTATCAATAGGTGTCTACACAATAAAATTTAGTGATATTATTTATTCCTTTTCTTTTTTCTCTTCTATATGTTCTGTATTGCTGATATTCGATCTTTTATTTCGCCATCTTATATAATTATGTCCAGAGTATGATACGTCACAATTACTTGTGCAAGTATTTTGTTTTATTTTATTCAAATATTTAAGTTGCGCAATTTATTCCAAATGTTATATAGGAAAAAAAAGTGAGGCTAAGATAACTTAAATGTCTAAAAATGCTGGTTTTAAGTTATCTTAGCCTCACTTTTTTTACGGGGGATATCAACGGAAGTATGAGAACTGATACTTGAAATTATTGTTTTCTTTTTTTACGTTGAAATATAACTTTTAGGGATCTCACTACAAGTTCCATGACAGTTATATTAACATTACTCTCATCAATTAAGATCCAATCATTAACATGCAAAAGTTACAGATTTGTTATATAAGTATTTTAAACACACGATAATAAACAGTATAACAACGTTGAGTGAAACTTACAAATCCAGCTTTAACTATATGTGGTATTCCTTTTCAATCTTTAGTAGTAGTAATGAATGTGCCACCAAAGCTTACGTTTAAAGTGACTAGCTAAGTGTGAGATTGAAACCATGGAAACTGGAATTCACATCCCTTAAAAGGATTATCATTGTCGACATTTTACTCAGTTTAAATTGGATTAACTATTAATCGTTGGTTCATTGAAAGTGATAGTTTTTCTTAAAAAAAACCGTTACAATGTCTTGATAATCACGAAAGTAAGTTTAAACTCAATTCGGCTTTTTTTCTGCAGTAGAACCCTCGTTCAGTGAAATCGAAAATTTTTTCTTCTTTAAAGCATCTGTTGTATTGTCTCGTAAAGCGTTTAACCAACGGCAATCTAAACAAGCTCCAAATGGTCCAATGCAGCAAGTATTGTTACACTCCGACGACAATGGACCATGATATATATGAATTTGGAGGAAGAATTGGGCTGTGGTATGCAATAGATCTCATAGTTGAATTCTATTTGAATTGAGTACTTCTATGAAATATATACAAGCAACTGTTCAAGTTCTACGTGTGGTAAGTTAAGAGATTTTTTACATCACCATTGTGGCCGGGAATAGCCTATCTAAGAAAGTATATACACCACCTCCTAACAGCATTGCTCCACTGTGGGACAAGAAAATTGTAACAAGCATCAGAAAATAAGGAAGTGGATACTATACTAACAAGAAAATAATCAGAGCACGATACCGAGAAGGAGGAACATGAGTGCACCCATTTATGTACTTAATTGCTCATTGAAATTTCAAAACTTACCTTATAGGATTGATCCATGCTGAGAACTTTCGAAATGAAAGCAAGCTCTGTCAATTCAGATTTGAATCAGAAATATTGTTTTCCATGAGATATCTTTGTTTAAAAGGAGATCTTTAAGATTATTCTATAAAACCAAAAAAACCGTATACAGACCTGTAATGCTCCAGCGAAAGAAGCAGCCAAGAGTAAGGGAGAAACATAGCCAGTTGTGTATGTCAAAAGTAAGCTGCCTCCAATCACTGGATCCTGTTAAAAAAAACATATTTTTCTTCATTCACATAAGAATGACTAAATACGCTAACTAAAAAAAGCAAATAGACTATCAAAATATTATGCAACGATATACATATAAGAATTAAGCATGGACATTGCTACACAAATATCCTAAATTTTAAAAATCTTACAATCATAAGTTAGCTGACTTAATAGATTCAATTTTAGAAACAAGTAATTTGACATAACAAATACACTGGTTTGCCCTATGTTCTTTTGCCAACCCTGCATGAAAATATTGCCAGAAAGGAAGAACGAAGTATTGGCTGTTAATAGGAAGTACCTTGGATGCAGCAACATATCCCAGAATGGTGGCCAGAACAGGGGTACTACAAGGTGAGGCAGCTAATGCAAATGTAAGCCCAGCCAGGTATGCTTGCACACCTAAGAGTGTAATTCCATCATGTAATTTTCTGCATTCAAACATATAATGGAAGAGCTAAAAACAGTATTAGAGCATAATCTTACTTGATGGGAAATTGGCAGCTGCTGAACGTGGGTCGAAACTATCAAAGAATGAGGGAAGACGTAATTCAATGATCTGCAAAATTTTCTCAAAATGAACCACAACCAAAACTATGGTCCACCTGATTTAAAGATTTGTAAAGAACACGAGGTCTAAATGGTTCCAAAATGCAGTCAATAACCCTGCTGACTGAGTGAGTTATGAATGTTGTTGCAGGCAAAAGGAAATGAAAACAACAAAGAAAATTAATAGTAAAGATTTTCAGAAGGGGGTGGGGAGAGACAAAATGTATCAGTACCTCAAGAAGGTTTAGACCCATAATTATAGCCACACCAGAAGCAGCCAAAGGTAATCCTTGGCCAATCTGTCCATAAGCCTTTCCTGCAAATGACGCTGCTACACCCAATAGTGCTAATGTGGTTGCAAGACCTAAGGAAAATGCAATGGAGTCTCCAATAACCTGATAGGAAGAAGAGATAATTATTAGTGAGAATTCTCTCCATTTTTGCATGTGTAGAAGAACGAGAGTCTCATACAGAATTTATAGAAATAAGACAAGCGGAGGAAATGTTTCACTTTTGAAAAAATTCATATGTGAAATGCAATGGATCTAAGTGACTTCCTCAAATATGCATATTACTGAACTGAACACAATGCATATTATACAGTTTACCTAAAAGTTAGAGGGCCTCAAAAGACCGAAGGTCCAAGCATTTTACATACAAAGTCTGCTCTAATAAAGTGCATGGCACTGGTTGTAAAATGCTGCCCCATGTCAGATCTTTGCATATCAGCAAAAACATAAAAGATTAAAAACAGATTTAAATAGTCAATATTGCCTAATGACATCCCCTTTGCTATGTTAGCATTTAGCAATAGTAATTTCAATCCTCAAACAGGAACACAAAAAGATATTAGAATAATGTCATAGAAATAACACAGCCAACGAGTTATTACCTCTGCTCTGCTTTTGCCAGAGCCAAATGCCCCTGAAATATTCCAAGCAACAAATTCAGGCAACTAAAAAGGTATTGATACTGAAAATGCCAAACAGATGCACACTCACCAATGTAACCTAGGGTCAGGGGCAACACACTAAGTGTACAGGGAGAAAGGCTGGTCACAAGCCCAGCCCCATAAATTACAGCCAAACTGTAAACATAAATAAGAAGAAAAACAAATCATTACACGTTTCCAATCTTCAGGGGAAAGAATAGTATGAAAAGAATGTTTAGGAATTTATAGTGCACCTAGTGAAACTCAGAGAGGATAGTTGGCCCTGAACAGCTTCATTGGCCTGTTGTCCTGCTGAATATAGAAAGCCTCCAAACCAGTCGCTGAGGCTTCCATCAGCCAAAGCATAAATAGATGCAGCCACTTCCTGACTCAAGAAAATAATTCTAGTTCCTTAGATGTACACAAGGAATGACACAAAAGAAGCAGCCACTTTGTGAGTGAAGAGAAAATAATTCTAGTTCATTAGATAAATAAAAGGAATAACACAAAAGAAGCAGCCACTATGACTTTGATGCATAGTGTTTATCAAGATTTACGACACATGGAATAATTTGTGCCATTTCCGCTATCAAAGAGACATACACAATAAACTCATTAAACAATATTTCCTAGTTATCCTTAGCTTACAAAAGCTAGCAACTTGAGTTCAATGTCTCATACACAAAAGGAAGCAAATAGAGAAACTTCTGTATTCCTCAATTTTTTGTATGGTTGCCCAATAATATTTACTAGAACATTATATTATTAAATGAGTTTACAATAAGAATATATATTACGGTCTTATGTGGCCTTTATTAAAAATAACATGCAGAATGAACGTATTAAAACTGAAATTGAAAAGAGTTAATAATTCCAGAACTTATTGATGCAAATAGACATTGAAATGCATCACCAGCATAGTTATCCATACTTACAGCTTTTGCAGTGACTGGAGCAACCAAGTGTGCCACTGAAAAGATGGAAACAAGAAACATTCACTGATACAATCAACTGATCCCAATAAAGCAGTAGCACGGTATAGAGAAGAGTTTAAGAATGGAAAAAAATCAGGAATTTGACAAAAATGCCAGTCAGTAACTCAAGCAAGCAGTGACAAGAAAAGACATTTATAGCTTGCATGTCATACCAACAGCAGCCATGGATTCATCCCAATCTTATTTCACATATAAAAATTTGAATTAGCCTTGAGGAAAATCATTTATAAGTCAGTAAGCCACCCAAGCCAAGCTGCAATTTGCAAACATAACCAGCATAAAAAGTTGACGATAGCAAGTTCCCTCTTCCCAAAAGAAGGAAGAAAAAAACAGAATGTATAACAAAATGAATTAATAAATGTGTAAAAGAGGCCTGTGCAGCATGAAGTTAGGCTTGATCAGATAACACAGCATCATGTGACAAATTTAAGAAATGAAACTGGATAAATGAGAGGGTAGTATAATCCAAAGCCCATACTCCACAATCACCATAAATTCAAAGACAGTACCTGTCATAGCGCCAAAGAATGTCCCAATTTTATTGCCATTAATCTTCCATTTCGACTGAAGACAATTTTCAGACTCCGAAGTGTTTATGTGCCCATTAATGTGAACAATATGCCTGCCTATTACCCAAAAAGACAGAAGAGGATGCCAAGTCTTATATTTTTTTTTCAAGGACATGAAATTTGAAGTAATTGGTAGCAATCTCTGATGAAAAATCGGTAACTACATTATTCCAATGATAATCACATCTTCATTTCATAAAAAATGAAACAATGCATAGACAACAACAACCACCAAAACTTAAACTAATAATAATATGGAAATTCAAAGAAACATTAACATTAACAAAATCAGCAAATTATTTTTAAAAAATTCTGCATTTATGATCAACATGGATGCATAGAAATACCAGGAGGGGTATCACGGTTAAGATTGGAAGTTGCAATTCTGCAATATGGAAGCCGAAGACTATACCTACCGCACAAGCTCATACTCAAACTCATCTGAATATTGAATCACATTAAAAAAATGAGAAAAAGGCAATAATTGGTACTGAAACGGAAGCTCAAAATTTTGGTTGAAATTGCGTTTGTAATTTGTGGGGAACCAAACAGAGAGTTAGAGAGTGGAGAGTAGTTTCTTACTGTTGGGAACACCGAACCTATGGGAATTGCAAAAATCCAATCCCCAACAAGTTGAGTTGTGGCGGTTATCAATGTTCCCTTCAGATTCTTAATTTGACTACTTTGAAAAATAAATTGTTATTTGAATAATTGATTAAAATTTTGGAGTGTGATTATTAAGTTTTGTAAAGAACAAAGATTTTTCATATTGTTTGAATTGTTAAAAGAATATATCGAGTGATTATTGGAATAATTTTAAAAACGAAAATATTGATTAATACGAATACACTTAGCACGAAATTGAAAAGAAAAATTCAATCAGTAAATTATCTATTTTAGAAGATATTTTATATATATTTTTATTTATCTTCAATAAATAAAATTAGTAAAAACTTAAATTAAAAATAATTAAAATAAATGTTGACAGTTATATTAGCGTTTTATATGTCATAAAAATTATCTATTTTTCAAGCCCATGGTTGAGATCAATAAATTTGTCCTGTCTTACAACCATTAAAAAATAGGATTTAAGATTTTTTGTTCCTTCAGTTTTGAATTAAATTAATTATTATGAGCCTTTATATTGAAATGAAAATGAGCAATCCATTGTTTTGTAAAATATTTATCATGTTATTATTTTGTTTAATATTTAAAGAAATAAAGTAAAATTAATTCTTTTTAATAATTATTAATAAAAATATATCGATTGAAAAGAAAAATAGAAACAAATCATAGACAGCCCAAAAGTATGTTTCATGTGACTTTCATTTTAGTTTTTAACAGAGTTCAGCGATTTTCGTTCACAAAATTATTGGAACAATGAAAAACAAAAGTAACGTAATATTTGTATAATATTAACTAAAAATAAAAAAGAATAAATAAACTAAATGTGTGTCATGAATTTGTGGTATGATTCCGTAATCGTCTTGTGTTGGTTTAAAGGATCCGTGTTCATTCCTCCCTTTCTCTTTGTCTTGCTTTTGTTTTGTTGTTCTTAGGTGTTGCTAATGGAGTGTACTTGCGTCATAAAATTTAAATACAAAACACTTAAATATGTTTAAAATACAAAAAAATTGTTTAAAGTGTATTAGAAGCACTGTTTTTATATAGTAAATCACTAAAAGAGGCATAAGATATTCTTAAAAGAATTTTATTTTTAATGTTTATTAATAATATGATAAAGTGTAAAAAAAAATTAAACTGTAAGTATATTTTAATTAAATTATATAAATAATATTTTAAAAAATTAATAATTATTAACAAAAGTTAGTTTAAGTACTTGATATTATTTAAATAAGATTTTAACTTTAAGTTATTATGTATATAAAAAATCTCTAGTGATAAATTTATCCATTAAATTCAGGTGCTTTACTCAAATTAAATTTATTTAGACTGAATAAAAAATTAAAAATAAAAATTAATGTTCATCTTTTAGTTTAACAACCCAAATATGTTACCAAAAAGTATAAAGAGCTTTTGTCATAACACTTATAAATAATTAAAAAGAATCTAAAAGAATTTTTACAAAACCTGGTTAAACTTATAAAAATAAGTTTATAATTTTTATTAACTCTTAACATATTCTAATGTTTTATAATTAAATTTACAACATATATTCTTACATTAAAAAACTAAACCATTTATATACAAGCACCCTTAAGCAAACCAAATGTATCCTTAAGACTTAAACATGAAATTCTCAAAAAATAAATAAATAGTTTCAATTCAGAATATTTTTAACAGATTTTAATATTTTCCATATACATGACCATAAATTAACCCTAATCATATGCCTTGGAAACCAACTATAGTGTCAAACTGTATTAGTTGTTCTTCATTATTACACCGCACAAAGTGTCTTAAAATTTAATTGCATCTCAATCTCACCGAAATAAGAGTTTCTTTACATATGAATTTAAATTCTCGTTATACTCAATAATGCAATTCTCAAAAAATAGTCAATTCTTTTTTTGTCAAATCATAAAACAGTAATTTAGTTAATGAACAAAGATAGACAGAACATGCTGTAATGGAAGTTCAAATCCTTACGCCAAGGCCCAACAAATTTTGACTCTATTATGCCCGTGTTTTTGGTAACAAACAACAATTTTATTTTATTTTATTTTTTTCATTTTTCAAGTTTATAGAGATATTTGGCAGAACTTAAAACGTGCACACGTAAACCTATGATAGGGAGGCAAACACCATCTTCAACATCTTTCTTGGGTAATTTGATAAATCAATTTCCATGATCCCAGAAAACAGTACATAATTTAATCCAGCATTAGAATGTTTGAACAATTATAACCTTATCAAGAACTCAGTCACGCTCACTTATTGCAGTCAAGTGCTCATCAATCTCTTCGGTGGATAAAACTCTGAATTCTGGATTATCCTTCCGCACCACTCCAACCTAGAAAACGCAAAACACAATCATTTGCACTAAATCAGTGATAAAAGGTTTGATGGATGGTAATAATCGTAAAACAGTTTTTCTACTTAATAATAAATCAATAAATAGTGAGTTTTTATAATAAACTGTAGCATATATTATCAATGCATTAAATTGTATAATTTCGAATAAAAATGTATTATATATAGGTTCTTATTCTATGCCAATGGGCACACGTTAAAAAAAGATTTAATCATCCCTATCCTATTAAGTCAAGGCTTTAGAGCAAAAATATCAACATGCCACAGAAAGCATGTAATTTCAACATAGAGATTAAAGAAATAATCTAATTCAAAAACGGCTAACATTACTAGTCAATCCTCCATTATAGTAGACACCAATATCAGTTTCATTTATTAATTGTCCATATTACTAAGCAATAGAATCAACAAACAATTGAAACATGATAGGAAAAAAAAATTAGATTATAGACTCTTATCTGTTTATCACCCACGAGTAAAGCTAATAATGGAATAGTGATAGTGATTAGTGAAAGAAAAATGTTTTGGTGACCTGAAAACAAAAGCAAGAACGCAAGCCAACGATAGAGTTATCAACTCTCAAGAGAAGATCGTAACACACACTAGGCAACATGACATAAATGTGTAACGTTCCTCTAGTGTGATAGGACAAGTAACTTGCACGGAATTTTAAAATTAAAGACAAAATAAATGCTTTGGCCCATCAGGGACTAAACAACAAAATCCTATAACAATTTTTCCTATATAAAAAGTGGAAAATTTTACTGATTTCAATTAACATGGTATCATAAAAGGTAATTGAGCTTTAGAAGTAAAGTTCACCTCAATTTCGGTGGCCTTGAAATCCTCCTGAAGAACTGATTGCAAGGCAGAAATGGCAGTCTGAGAAACAAGCAGGGAAACCTTAGAATTAGAACATTAAACACGTGGTTGGATAACTCTGTAGAAAAATTGGTGAAAAAAATACTTTCAATTTCTAGTCTCTTTAATTGCAATATAGCATTAACTTCTTTAAAGTCTCATGAACAAAAACCAATTAACTTCTACAAGATAACACAGATAAGAAATCGTCACCCCCAAGAATGAAAGAAGAAAGGATAACAAATCCAATCATACGTATTTGATGGTTCAAGCTAAGGCAAAGGCAGATATGTAATGTTCATGAAACCTAATGATTATGTGTTGTCATAACTAATGTAATAAGTTACAGTTTTAATGAGGAACCAAAGCTTTATATTTAGTTACATTATCTTACTAACATGGATATAAGTTTGTTGCCTCTTTAGCACTCAGAAATAGAGAAGATACCAGCGGCAGCCATTAATCCTCCAGGAAGCAAAACCAGAATTGAGATCACTTACATCAAATTCTACTCATTTTTCAGACTTTTCAGCTTCCAGTAAAACACAGCCAATCTTCACCATCCACATACATACAATATTTTATCTGATTACTTTCATGCAAGACTAATAACTACAGAATAAAATAGAATAGTAAATATTTATCAAGAAAGATGACTAGACTGTTGTCTAGAAAAAAAAGGATCACCACAATTCATTGTTTATCATAAAAAGAAGGGAAAAAATTTAACATGTTGAAATATATCCTTGAAACCACACAAGTTGTCAGTTATAACATGGTAATCTTCATTTTCCATGCCAAAAGTGCCAGCTTAAAAGACTGTCAATTTCTCAAGTAAGACAGATGGAAATGGAGTGAGGGGAAAGAAGAAGCAAGAACACTACCTGAACTGTCTCCTCATAGGTAAATGAAGGGTCATTCTTCATCTTCTTTTCCAAGAAATTAATTGCCTCTTGGTCCTTCAATCCAGCACTTGTGGCCTGTGTACATTATAAACTTTAATTTCTGTCTACACTCACATATAATTAATTACAAGTAGATTATGAATGCATGGGGTAATGAAGAATCATCACTCCTTAATTTGAAACATTTACAAGGCCAAAAATCAATGTGCATAACAATCTACATGTATGGCTTACAGTGAACAATAAAATCTTAAAGAAACGTGGTCAGCAGAGTGAACAAAACTCAGTTTTTTATAAAAAATAACAAACTCTAAGCATTAACTAGAGATGCATAGGCTTCTCGATGTTCCTAGTTCTAGAAAGGTATATTGAGGCCAAAGGAGAAAGGGGGGAAAGGAAAATCAAGGATGAGTGAAGGCTCATGAACTTTAAACAGATTATTACATAATTTACAATAAAAGCACAAGATAATGATAATCATTATATAAACTTCATAACCTACTTATGATGAGTTCAAGGTAGCTAACATAATTTTAAAAATGATAAAAAGTTAAATCCAACTATCTCCATCATCCCACCAAAATACAACCCCTTATAGCAATTTTCCCCTTTTAATATAAGATAAATATCATTTCTCTGTTTATTTACATACTCCCTTTTCACCACTATTACCTAATGATAATCCCTTCTTTTTTGGGTCAAGCATAATTGTAGGTATATTGCCATGATAAGTTTTTATTTGGTGCCTTAGTTCCCCAATCAATCATATTAAAGAAACGAAATACCAGATAGTACTAAACGAATTGCATGAAATCGATGAGAATAATGTGGCATGATTTCCATTATTTCCTTACTTTTCATTCATTTCTTAAATTTTTATTTAACCAATCAAATAAATCTCTGACTCATAACTTTTCGTACTATACAGTTTTCATACTATATAGCACTACGGTTAAAATAATTCACCTCAGTAAGCTCAAAGAATATAATCCTACTCCAGTAATTAAAACAAATGCAATAAACAACTTGCACAAAGTAAAAGTAGATAATCTTGCTTTGGTCATCCCCAACCCCCTCTCTATCATTTTATGATGGCAGATGATAGTTTTCAATGCATTAGATATTAAACTAGATAAATAAAAAATATAATTTAGAAACTTCAAAGGAGTTGATGCATGTTTTTCATCTTCTCATATTAAATAACACTAAAGAAATCTAACTTCAACCAAAGTGAGGAAGATCTTCGATATACCTTGTGACCAAAGTAATGACCAGCTGGATCACATTTGTAAAGCTGAGGCCCATATTCATCATCAATACCCAAAACCATTGCAACTTCACAGCACAATAGATTCAAAATCATAGAAAGAGGAAATGACATCAATAATGAAAATAAGTAATTGAATTACAAATTAACTATCTGATCTTATAAACAAGATAAAAATTGTTCAGTGCTGAAAAAGGCTAAATCAGAAACACACCTACTCCAAGTGGCCTCATATAAGCATGTTGAGTATAGACTTGAGATTTGTTCGCAATCCTTTAGTGTAAAAAATTACAAAAGTTAGACACAAAAGATGTCATTGACAAATTGTAAAAGCTCAGACTACGTTATGCCAAAATCTTTAGCCTTTGACAAAAGTCATAATTACAGTCAGATTCAACAGATGAATTATTATAATGAGCTTGCTGTGCCTGTGATCTAAGAGTATGTATCATGGCAGCGGCCTAGGAGCACATTCATGGTGCTCAGCTGTAGGCTATTTTTGCCTAACATTCTTCTCCACAAAATAATGACAATTTGAAAGAAGATATGAAACACAGTAATAAGCAGCTAGTAATAGTTATAGTGGCAAAATAACTTTGTAAAACTGAAGCACTAACCATTTGGCCAATACATCCACAGGCATCTCATATCCATATGTAAAGCGAAACTCAGCTGCTTCATTTCTTGCTTGTTGGACCAGTGTCCTAGCATCAGCTGGAATGAGGTATTCCAATGGGATAAAACAAAATTGAATTTAGAATGTAAAGATATTTTAGTTCTAACTTCTAAATGTATTTGTAAACAAAATATTTATTTTCTCTTGCAAAAATCTAAACTTTTGCTCATATATCAAAGTTCATTTACAGAAAAACAATATTATCATTGTATCTATTGTGAATCTGTAATCATATGTCAAGTTAGCCCTATACGGAACTTTGACAGTAACATTCAGGTCTAATAGAACTATTTTCTCATCATAAATTATTAATCATATTTTATGTTAGGTTGCACAGATTTAGTAACCAATATCACAAATAAAAATAAATAGGTGCATCTGAACTAGAGGTTTGGCCTCAAAACAGATCTCTAATTTCCAATACATCACAATCAAGGAGAGTGATAAGAATTATCATATTATCAACATTGCCTTCTTATTTTCCCCTAACTAACCAGCTGCTTAGATTGATGCCATATTTTTCAAACTTGTAATTTATATTTTAATGAGATAGTAAGATAAAATACAGTGAAGAATTTGTCTTGAAATGCACCTCAACTCAACATTTACTAAAATCAAATATATATTTTAACTAAAAATTAAGTAAATATACTTCACTAAGATCTACAACAAAGAAACAACTAAGAGATGTAATGAAAAAAATACCTGTCATGCCAGTTGCCAATAAACCAAGATACTTGGTGATGTGAAAGAGATGCGTGACGCTTGTCTGATCCAAAAGTTTATCCTGCATTGAACATCCCAACATTAGAATACAAGTGAAAGAAAGATCAAAGAACCACCATTAAATACTTACCGGAACTTTTTTCTGAGTAACAACACAAATCGAATCTTTTCCTCGAACACCAATTGAGGTGATCCCAGCAGCCTTAACAGCCTTGAAAGCATACTCTATTTTGTGCATTCAAAATACCCCAAATTAGAACATCACAGACTACAATCCACAACTCATTTCCAAACAAGTGAAACAACTAAAAGGAAATTTTCTTAAGGGCACAGTGATCAAGGATTATTACATTGCTGTTTAACTCTTGAGATATGATATAAGTACAAAAAAATTTACAACAATTCTTACAAAAGTATAAAAGTTACGAGTTATTTTGCCATTTTATGCTTTTGCATAAGTTGTTGTAAAACAATTTTGTAAGAATATCATTTCTCTTAATTTTTTTGTTTGGAAGGGGTCAAGTATAAGGGAATGTTTGGTATTTCACCTTGCTAATGCCTCGTCAAGTGCAATTCAACAAATTAGAAAAAACATCCAAGAACATCATGAAAAGTCACTTCACTACCAATAATTTGATTTAAAATGAACAATACCGTTAAGTAACAACAAATAAAATTTCCTAACATCATCTTCAATAATTTTATTTTTAATGCCAGAACAAAAAATAACAATACTCAGTTTCTTTTTTATTTGTTTGTCAAAATACTAAAAAGCTAATAAAATTGGGTTGATCCTGAATGCAAAACGACACCGTTGCCAGAGGTAACAGTAGCGAAAGTGCGAGTTAGTTACGTACCCACTTGAAAGAGACGGCCCTCAGGGGAGAAAATGGTGATGTGGCGATCGTAGCCACCTCCGCTTCCTCTACTCATCTTTCACGGAGGATTGTGACGGCGCTTGTGGTGGTTGACGGCGGTGATAAGAGTGATGTGTAGTGGTTTTCAAAAAACACAACTAAAGAGTAGATAGTCGAGATGCCGTTTTTTTTTTCTTGTGCTTCTTAAAGCATCGATGACAACTTCCTACTCAAGAAAACAACCAAAAAGCAGAGGAAATTGTTATTTGCAACACTTTTTTAATTGCATTTTTTTAAACTTATTTTCCAGCTAATTAAATTTATTTGTTATAAAATAATATTAGGTTCTCCGTTAATTTCTTATTTATAATTTTTAAATTATTATTTGTTCAAATATTTAAGAAATTTATAATAAAATTATTGTGTAAAATAAAATAATTTTAAATATTTAATAGTAAAATTTTAATGAAATTTAAAGACTTCTAAATGTGCAAAATTAAAGTTTGAAAAAAAATGTTTATATTTTAACTAGATTTTGATATTTGGATCAATGTATTTTGAGAAAAAAAATGTTTAAAATAATTTAAGCTTCAAAATGTTGTTTGTTGTTCAAAATATACTGCATTTTATACTATTTGAAAAGCAAAGAAGGTTAATTAACTGAAAAATAAAAAATCAAAGAGACTAAAATCACTTGTACGACTAACTAAAAAATCGAAAATTATTTTTTATCCTTTTTAAAATTTAATTTTCAGAAATATATTTATTATGCGCAAAAAATTAAATTCCAAATTTTGAGGAAAAAAGATCGAAATGACAAAAATAATGGCCAAGCAAAACGGGACAAGCCTATAATTAACGAGACGAGATCATGATTGGAAATTTTTTACATCCCTTTTTTTTATTTGCATTCTCTTAAGTCTTTTTTAATTATTTTAAAAGTAACTTATAAAATACTTTTAAAGCTTAATTTTTGAAAGAAAATTTCAAAATTAAATTTTCAGATAAAAACTACTGGAGTGTAAAAAAAAAGCCCATGTGTCGAGCCACTGGGTCCGTAATTGTTTGGGCCATGGGCCATGGGCCATAGATTATCTGAGCGGAACTTGTAGCTAAGGGAAAATAAAAATGTTAATAGCCCGTAGATCGGGCTTCCTTTGTTTCTTTTGCTGCTTCTTGCGGCTTTCTTTGGACCTAAAAACATAAAATTAGAAGATAAAATATGTTTTTAGTTATTATGAATATAATTTTATTTAGATTTGATTCTTAAAAAAAAATTACTGAATTTTAAATTTTAATAATTTTTTAAAATTACCTCTTATTTTTCCACTTAATAATAATGTAGTATGCATCTAACTATGTTATATTACATACTGTTTTAAAATAGTTATTAATGCAGTATGACTAAATGCATCACACATTACCACTAAATAATGAAAAAATTTATTTTAAAGGTTAAATTCTACAATAATCAAAACTCATGGATTTAAAAAAATACTTCTAAAATTTAATTTATGTTCAGCAGTGGAAAAAAAAAAGCAATCACTCTTTTTTTTATTTTTCATTTTTTGTATTTTTTTGTTATTTTTCTCAAACACGCACTTAGCAATCAGTCCCACGTCTGAATTCAGCGATAGACATATATAAGTTCAAATAAATATTGATTTTTAAATATATATTTAAAATGAATAAATATTTGTCAACTTAACAAAACATTCAACCCTCGCTGAAGAAGCGTGAAGTGTTGTTGTTTTCATATATAATTTTTGTTGAAAACAGCGAAGTATATTATCTACCTCAATAAATAAATATTATATTTGCACAAAAGTCAAAACAAAAAAAAAAGTGACATTGATTATTTAATGTATATTTAAAAGTATGTGATAAAATTATATAATAATGCATTTTTAATTAAAAATATAAAAAATATTATATAATAATTCAAACTTATTTTATTCCGTGACTGCTTTATTCCTGAAGGAGCACGTGGACAAGCACGTGGTCCCAAGTGAAGCAACAGTTCTCATCGTTCCTAAATAAAAAAGTTTGAGGGAAGGAATTATCTCATTTCGAGGAGATTCATAAACTCGTCAGAAATTTCAATGATTGAAGGCATCTCATCACATGACAAGACTTCAAAAATAAAGAACAATGAATCTGTTAAACATTAAAAAAAATTTATTATTATAATTTTTATTTATCACTGATTAATTATAATACGAGCTTAAAGGAACATTAAGAATAGAAAACTAGAAGTGATATAATAATTATCCACGTATGTGTATGTACCAAGGGACACGATAGAATGATTTGGACTCGGGGTGTGTGGGTATTGATTATATCCCTTTTGAATATATGGGTGTACAATTATGGCTATAATGCTAAGTTTTCTTAGATTTGGTGATTGAAGTTACCAGAATAATGTTACATTAGTGGTCCTTTTCTAGACAAACTTTTCATGGTGTATGGTGATGGTTTGGAGCAAAGGGTGCATCGTCATGAACAGTGGTTGGCATTCTTTTTTGTTAATCGTGCATGGCACCAATGGCTTAATATATTTTTATTCACCACCATATGCGCAGCGTGTAGATATCATAACAATCAATAATAACTTATTTTAGAGTCAAACTTCATATACTTTCCTTAGTTTTCTTAATCATCACCTTTCATATTAAAAGCAAAGCGTGTAGCTCCCTTAATATATTGACCTAAATCCCCTACACAAAATAAAGATAAAGTTGACAATACAACCTACACATACCTAAATACAAAATATATATAGATTAAATTTTGTGGCTAAAACCCCTTTTTTTTTAACTCTCCCTAGAAATTTATTAAAACTAAAGTTCGATTTAGTTTAAAAAGCAACTGACAAAAGTCGAGTTTTACTTCCATTTTTCTTAATGATATGCTTGTCGATATCCCTTTTTATCCCAAATTTAGGAAGTGGCTTTTAATTATATGAAGTTTAGAATTATTCCCGAAAATTTTGGAACGATAAATATATAGTTGCTTATTTTTATTTTTTTTTAAAATAAATAAATATTTTTAAAAATAATTATTGTTAAACAAGTACTAATTATGTAAGTAAATTTTTATTTAAGTACGATATTATAACATAACCTTACACAAAGTATTTTTTAACCTGTAATCAAAGTGTTTTTTTTAATTATATTGCATGGATATTTCTAGTAATCAAAAGTAATTATTTTTTTCTTTTGTTAATATAAAGGACACAATAAACCGATAGTGTCAATTTTTAAAATACCAAATTAACATTTCACTCGTTGACAAACATTGATCACACAATTATAACGGGATATACCCTGCTTTTGTGCATAACTTTGGTTTGATTAATATTTCCCAAAAATCATTATAACATTACCACGAATGCCTCCAATTTAGTCAAACAGCATCAACTAACGCCGTAGCTATGGACAATAATTCAAAAAATTAATGGGAAAAGGTGGGCATTTTGATTGGATAAAGTGAATTTGATTAAAAGGTGCAACTTTTTTGATAGACAGAAAATAATTAAAAGCTCTAACCACCGGTGTCCGGAATATTAGTGTTATTGTCTTAACTATGCAATAATGCCTTGGCACTTGGAGTGTGCGGCTAAACTGTGCTAAATGGGGTCACAATGCGTTAGCAATAACTCATAAAATCAAGGCAATGTTAGCGGTGAAAAGAACAAACATTAAATACAAGAGTAATAAGATCATGGTTGGTATGGTTATTGTTTAGACCCACATGAAGAGAAACAAATTAAAGAACTGTAAAGGAAGAAGAACAGTGCCATTTCTTGCTTTGTTCTGTATCATCTTCTGACTTGATGCACTTGAATTCAATTGATTCGTGGAGAGGGTGCCCATCTCTTTATTGATTTAATAAATCCATGTGCTGGGTATGTGGGGCCAATGTTTTGTCCTAGCAAAGTGGAGCTCCTTTATTTGGTGAAAGGAAAAGGAGTAGTGAAGTTTATTTTCAATTACACACATACCCTTCTAAAAAAAGTAATAAAAGAAAAAAGTTTTCTCTTGTATTCATTATATTTTTTCAAAGATTTATAAAATAATTTTCAAAAACTATATATTATCACATTCTAATAATTTTGTGTTTGATATAACTCATTTTTAAAAGATATTCACCCATTTGCATTAATTCTTTGACATTATTTTAAATAATAAAAATCCCCTCTTTTCACCTCTTCACTCCACTTTTCTCAAACCAAAGAATGCTTACCTTATTCATGAATATATCAAAGGATGAATAGTAAATATTATATTATAATACTAATTTTGTTGACGAAGGCTACTAGGTAGATGGTTACTTTCAATTGATAGTAAAAGCAATGTCACTGACATGGTTGTCCTAACAGAAAATCAATTGTTCATTTCCTCAAAAGCCATGCATGTTGCATGTTAATGTGTAACTTTTGGATTGAGTTAAACGTCGTCACTTGATCACTTTTGCCTTAGAAGGGACGTGATGAAGGCAATAAAACCACACACATCCATTAGGCCAATATCAAGGTATGGTAATATGAACCCTCTCCCCGATTTTCTTGCTAATAATTTTGATTAGACCCTTTTTGTTTACATGCCCTTTAAGAAATTTTTTATGCAAAAACTTAATAAGAAATGGACACGAATGCCAACTACATGAATAATTCAAATCTCCCTCCCATACTAATGTCACCATCACTACTAAATTTTGACTTCAGAAAAACAATTAAAATCTAAAAAAGAAGAAAATATGAAATGAAATTCAAAGTTTAGTTGATGTGTGGCCCTCAATGAAATACTAAGTGTTAGTGGACAAAAGTCATGTACAAATTGGTCGTGTCGTTTTCAACAAAACCAAATGCTTATGGCTATCCTTTTGTGTTCGATGTAAAGTTTTGCATTATGCTCTAAAAATATTAGGCCATAACTAATTTACCCTTCAGGATAATGCAAGTATCACTGTTCTTTTGCTCTGCAATTATTGTAGGGACCAATAGCCCCCATGCCAAAATATTGGTCCTTCTTTGGAAATTGGATCACTTGTTCATTGTTTTTCTTTTTTGTAGGTATTTGTCTACAACGTGATCTCCTATTAATATGCTTTTTTAAAGAATGGAAGTGGAAGGGAATATAGTAACATTTAATGCTGTTTGGCTAAACATGTTTTTTTTTCCTTCTGAAAAGTCATTACTAATAAATGTTATCTGTTACATATATGAACATTTTTAAATTTAAGTGGAATTTTTAGTAAAAAAATTATTTAAGTGTGTGTGTCTATATATATAACTGAAAATATAAAAAAATAAAGAAGAAAAATTAAAATTAAAATAATTAATTTTTAAAAACATAAAATTAAATATTCATATTAATAATAAAATCACCCATTACAAGGAAAGAATAAGATAAAAATGTATTTAAATTCAACAGTAAAATTTTAATTTATAACTCAAAAGTCGATTACTTTATTTTGGTAAAAGACCATAGTTAATTATAAAAATTAATTAATGAAATACATCTAATATATTATATGTTTTTTTAACTAACTTGCTTTAAAATTAATTTTTGCGGGAGTTTTTAGAAATGATTATTTCTCTCAAAAATCTAAAAATAAAAATAAAACTACACCAAACATTTATCTTAAACAATTAATAAAAGTTGTTTCTTTTCAGCGACTAATTATTATTATTATTATTATTGAATATTCTAGTTCTGCTGGGCATGGACCATCGTTTCTGCATTGCTTCTCTTGCCGTCTAAGTGAAACTTGAAATCATTATTGGTGGGAGAATAGAAATGACATTCTAGTATATATGAATTAGAACTATTGTTAGTACTTATTTCTTTTTCTCCAAAAATCACTAATAATTTCATACTAAATTTGAGTGATTTTTTACTATAGATATGGGCCATTTAATCTTATCGAAATCACTACAAGAATAATTAAATTCATCAATTAAATTAATTAAATGGCCAAGATCACCTAAATTATAACTTGGTATTTATATATTTATTATATATTATTTTTTAATATTTCTCCAAGATCCAATGAAAAGAGTTTAAAAAATACAAATATATTTATTTAGTTAAACATTTAAAACAAACATAAAAAATAAACTCAAATTTTTTTCCCTGTCTAAATGTAGTTTATTTCATAACTTCTTATTAATAATACATATCTATATTATATTTCAAAAACTTTGTTGTTAGACATTTTCATATTAAGAAATTAAAAAAAAAAAACAAGTGAATATACTAGTATAAAAAAATAAAACTCTTTACATAAAATTTAATTTTAATAAACTAATAATTCATTTAGTCATAAATTATTATATCAATAAAATTAATTAATTTTTTATAATAATTAAAATAAAAATTATATTTATAAAAATTTTAAATTTATACTTATTTACCATTCTTAAGGTTTGAGTATAGAAAAATATAATCACAAATAGAAAAAAAGAAGGTAGACCCACCTAGTTTAGTAATTTGACAAGCAACCAGCTCAGCGCATATCAATTACCTAATACAACTGTCAGCTTTATTTACTTCCACTCTCAGAGAGTCACTTTTCTTAATTTTCCTTTACAATATTCAAAATTCACTTTTATTTTATTTATTTATGATAAAACCATTTTTATGTATTTTTTTATTCGTGGCTAAAATAATATTCCTTCCCCTATCAGATCCGAACAGTTTTCTGAATGTTTCAGTACTGACTTGACACCTCTCTCCCCTCACCTGAAAGATTTGAAGTTCTGGACACACGAGAGAACCATCATCACCTACTACAACGACAAAAACTAATTGAAATTTTCAATTTTATTTTGTTTTTTCATGAACACAAAAACGAACCATTTTCTTTCTTTTTTAGTTTTTGGTTTAAACAAACACACAACAGAAAAAAGAAAAAAAAAAGCAAAACAGTACAACAACGACAACAACAGCAATTTTCACAAATTGTTCCTGTTTCTCGTTATCCTTTGTCCCTCGCTCCTTTTCTGTGTGTGTATGAAGAGCTTGTTTCTCTCACAACACAACAACCTTAACCTCTTTTCTTCTTCTTCTTCTCACTATACAACCTCGTAACTCACGTTCCAGTAATAGAAACTCGTGCATCACCTCTTCGATTTGTTAATGCCATTGATTGCTTCATGCAACAAGTTTGAAACAAATTCACACCACCCTTTAAGTTCTCATCGATTTCAGAACTCTTTTTATTTTCTTTTGTTGCAGTGTGTTTGTCTGGTTAATCAATAAGACAGTGTTTGGAGCCTAAAATCTCAAAAGGGTGTCTTCAATTTCGCGTTTTTGGACAATGCAGTGTTGAAACTCGAAGTGGGGGTGGTGAATTCTCATTTGGTAGGGAAAAGTGATATTTCGGTGGTGGGGTGGTGGAATCAATTGGCGTGATGGTGTTATCAGCTTCGCCATGTTCCTTGGCGAGGAGCTCGCTGGAAGAGATGCTTGATTCGCTTCGACGGAGGGACGAAGAGGAAGAAAAGAAAAAGGACTCGCCGCCGGCGTTGCCTGCGAGGCCGGCCTCGCGGGCCCGGCTTCCTCCGGCGCGACGATCACTGCCTAATGACTTTAAGGTAGGCGGCAGCGACCAAGTTGTCGTGCCGGAGAAGGGAATTGGTTCCAATGAAGATGGTGAGGTGAAGGAAAAAGACTCGGGGCATAAGAGGAGGAGGAGTGATTTTGGAAACAAAAGGATGAAGAGGGATGAGGAGTCGCCTTATGTGACAGTATCTTCCGCTGCTTCATCAGGGATGGTTTGGGAATTGGAGGGTGATGATCACATTTCTTATTTCATGAAAAAGGTAACTGGTGATTAGTTTGTGGGAAAAAAAAATGGTTCCTTGTTAGTTTTTAGATGTATGAATTATGATGTTGATGCATTTTTGGAAACAATTAAGAAGCTGTTCCCAAACATTTATTAAAGAAGCTGACAAAATAAACGATTATATTTCTAAAACAAGCTGAATCAAATACACACTAAAGTGGTTCTTATCTTACTTCTCAGTGTTTTGCTCTCTCTCTCTCTCTCTTATGGTTTTTTATTGACTGCATTTTGTTCCCTTGATCCTTTCCATTGGTTGGTTATTTTAGAAGGTATTTTGATCGAACACATGTCAAATTTCCTTTCAAAATTTACATTGGAAGATAAATATTTTGTTTATGGTTATTGTGTATTTAGATTTATGAAATGAGCATAGTGTTTATTGTCTTGTCTATTAGTGATTGGTAAAGACTGAGACATTGTTCATGGCATGTGATGTGCTTTTCTGTTAAATTTGCTCTCGTTTTTTGGTTGTTTCCCCCAGAAGCTTCGGGTTTGGTGTAGGCAACCAAGAGGGCAATGGGAGCTAGGAACGATACAGTCAACTTCAGGAGAGGAAGCACGTGTTTCACTCTCAAATGGAAATGCAAGTTTTTCTATGCTTTTTGTGTCTGAAAGATAATGTGTAATCTCGAGTATGCAAGGTGACATGTTGTTTGTCTTTAACTTGTTACTCCAGGTTATGAAAGTGGCCAGATCAGAGATCCTACCAGCTAATCCTGATATTTTGGAGGGTGTGGATGATCTTATTAAGCTTGGTTATCTGAATGAGCCATCGGTTCTTCACAATCTTAAGTCTAGATATTCTCGGGGGATGATTTATGTATGTATGCCTGCTTTGCCTTTTCTTGAGTAATGCTATATCCCCTTACAATATCTTCCTATTAATCCTTCTAATACTTTATAATGTAAGTATTAGTTATTATTAAATGAAAAGTAAATGCATTTAATATCTTGAAAACATTAAAAGAATTCATTACTTTCTTCATTTAGTAAGTAGGAGGATTAGTAGGAAGATTTTGCAGGTGAATTCAGAATTATTCTTTTCTTTTACTTAGGTGATCATCTAAATACTCTTGCTTGTGCTTGTTGAGTGCAGAGTAAAGCGGGGCCTGTTTTAATTGCACTGAATCCCTTCAAAGATCTTCAGATTTATGGAAATGATTATGTCTCAGCATATAGGCAGAGATCTGTTGATAGTCCTCATGTTTATGCTATGGCAGATGCAGCTTATAACAATATGATAAGAGGTTAGTGGATTTCTCCCTTTTTCTCTCCTCCATTGGAATATTTCTTGTGTACTTGAATTAGAGTTTAATAAAGGTTTTCTATTTTCTTTTGAATCTTGCAGATGAAGTAAATCAGTCCATTATCATAAGGTCAGCACCTTACGGTATATAGGGGCTCTGTTTTGTTCAAGACACTTAATATATGTTCCTGAACTCAATAGCATTAGATTGTCATAGTAGTAATAAGATATAATCTTGATTGTACTTGTTACTTATCATCGTTATTTGTTTGTAGTGGTGGGAGTGGATCAGGGAAGACAGAGACAGCTAAAATTGCATTACAATACTTAGTTGTTCTTGGTGGTGGTGGCAGTGGCAGTTATGGAATAGAAAAGGAAATTCTTCAGACAAATTGTATTCTGGAAGCTTTTGGGAATGCAAAAACATCTAGGAATGACAACTCTAGCAGATTTGTGAGTTTATGTGTTTTTTCCCCAGTAAATGAAACTTATTCTTGCTTCTTTTATTATTGAAGGCCATGCAGCACTTTTTGGGTCATATTTTAAGGATGAGCAGTTTAATTGATATACATTTTAAATTTGATGCAGGGAAAGTTGATTGAAATTCATTTCAGCTCCATGGGTAAAATATGTGGGGCCAAAATTCAAACCTGTAAGCTTGTTCAAGCTATATATATGTTACTGCAAATGTGCTCATTTATGTTCTCCATTTCTGTTGGAATTACTGAGTTTACTTGTTTTTATGGCTTTGTTTTTTTCATATGCCAACCCATATGCTAACTGGAATAGTTCTGTTGGAAAAGGTAATTTGCAATGCCCAATTTGAACTAAACATGGAACTGTTATGTTGGTCTTTTGCCATTTCTGAAATAATCATGTCTACCGTGAGCAGTCCAGAGTTGTTCAACTGGCCAGTGGTGAGAGATCCTATCACATATTCTATCAACTTTGTGCTGGATCTTCGTCTGGTCTTAAAGGTGTATTTTCTATGCAATCTATCAACTTGTTTGTATATACATGGGCATATACTTTAATGTCACATAATCATTTTTTGTATGACACATTTGTTTCTATGTATCAGTTTTGCAATGCATTGAAATGGCAATAATCAGTGTTAACTTCAAGAGTCAAGTAGCTCATTCTTCTGTTCCATCTGAAAGAATTTATGTATATATGAGGCTCCAAAAGTTCTCAGCCTTAGTATCTTGATTTTATTTTTCTTTTTTGGGATTTTACTTACCCTAATGTTTCCATTGTGATAGTTGGCATGCCTATATCATAAGTACGACCTGTCATTGGATTATTTTATAAAAAATTAACCATTGAAAATGAGTCAGAATTCAATCTTTTTAGTTTTGACCACTATATCACTGCTCAATTACCATCCTTAAGACTTTGTATTTAAAATGTAAATTTGAGTTTGATTCTTTGCAGTATTATCAACTTCCTCTGCCCTTTTGAATTCTGTAAACTAATTATATATAAACATTTTGTTTTAATATTTATTAATCAGGATCAATTTCTGCATGTAAAGTTACATTATATTTGCAGTTTGTTTTCATGATCATACATAATTGAATTTTTGAATATTTGACTCATGTAAAATCATTCTCTTTTCCTCTGCAGAGAAATTGAATCTTAGAGCAGTCAGTGAATATAAATATCTAAACCAGAGTGACTGCATGATAATTGATGCTGTTGATGATGCTAAAAACTTTCATCAGCTGATGGTAATTACTGGACATCTAGTTTGGTTTATTATAAAATCTTTGTTTATGACCTCAAGGTCTCATGTAATTTTCCCGTGGCATCTACAATTTCCCCAGAAAGCGTTGGACACTGTTCAAATTTGTAAAGAGGATCAAGAGCTGATCTTTAAGATGCTTGCTGCAATACTATGGATGGGAAATATATCATTCCATATTACTGACAGTGAAAATCACATTGAGGTTGTTGATGATGAAGGTAAGATTCGTAGATGTAGCTTGCCTTTTCATGGACCTAAGACCTTGTGGTGTTTTGTGTATGTTAATTTGGTGTCACTAAGTTCTTAAAGCAAACTGGGACTTAACTGGATTCTTTGCATTACTATACACTGTACAGCAATTATATTTTGTTTTTGTGTACAAGAGCAATTTTTAATTGCTCAGTTTGACTCTAACTAAAATATTAACTCTAGAGAGTATATAAGTTATTTCACTTACAACTGAAGAGTAATTTAATTTATCTAAACCTTTTGTAGCTGTAATCAGTGCTGCCCGGCTGATGGGTTGTAGTTCCCTGGATTTAGTGGCGGCACTATCTACCCATAAAATCCATTCTGACAAGGATACTATTGCCAAAAGTTTGACATTGCGTCAGGTGTGTTTGTTATTAAAACATTTCATTGTTCTGTTTTCTATGGCTCTCAATTGTCTATTTCAATTCCAATATATATGCCTGTGTCTCTGTCTGTGTGTGCATGTGCGGAGAGGAGTGGGGGATATCTAGTGGGAACATGAGAAGTTAGAGGAGTTATCCTTGTATATATGAAATGATCATGCCTGGATGGTTGAGATTGTTTTGATGAAATCTATCCTTAAACTATCCATTTTATTGTATGGTCAAGATTAGCTCGTCTCACTCTCACTTGATACTCTTTTTGTTATGTGTATGTATACTTATTTTTTTCACATTATTTGTTCAGGCAATTGAAAGAAGAGATGCAATTGCAAAATTTATCTATGCAAGCTTGTTTGACTGGCTTGTAGAACAAGTTAACAAGTCACTTGAAGTGGGTAAAAAAAGTACTAGGAAATCCATAAGTATCCTTGATATTTATGGATTTCAGACATTCCAGGTGTGCAGTTTATATTAATGTGTTTACTTACGCTTCAAAATACAAAGAACGTTTATATGTTCTAATTTTTTTTATATCTCTTTTTCAGACAAACAACTTTGAACAGTTTTGTATAAATTATGCCAATGAGAGACTTCAACAACATTTTAATCGGCATTTGTTTAAACTTGAGCAGCAGGTTGGTAACTATGTTAAGTGTTAATATTACTGGGTTTTGATGCCAACTACCTTTAATTTGAACAAAATAGCATAATATAATTCCTTGGATTTTGTTTCTGCACATTAATATCCTAAGAATGTGATATCCCTTAAATTTTTCTCTTCACGTTTAGAATTTTAATACTTCTATTTGGTTAAGACTAATACAAAGAGAAAATATTTTTAACAGGGTAATTGGTAATTAATGCATAGTTAAACTTTTTGGGTTCTATAGTTAAAATACATTCATGCTGATTAAATAGTGGTATGCTGTGTAAAAATTATAGTTTAATCAAGGACACATTTCAAACATTAAAGAACTAAAGCTGTTTTGTACTATTATTGATCAAAGTTATAAAAGAATACAGTTAGAATTGAAAAGATACTGTCTTTGTTCACGCAAAAGGTTATCACATGCTAAGAGTGAGTTCTTCAATAGGCTTGATATGCATAACAGCAATATTGCATTTTTTTTTATCAGGACTATGAATTGGATGGTGTTGATTGGACTAATGTAGATTTTGAGGACAATCAAGGGTGCTTGGATCTATTTGAGAAGGTACTTATTTAAATTTTCCAAATGATTTTGAGTTATTCCACTTCCCGGGGATTGAGCTGTTGTTATGGTTGTAATTTCATTTGTTTCCAGTTCCAAATACTACGTTTTTCTATAAATCATATTTATTTATTCCTTAAAGTTGCGTTCAGATTCTAATGTTGGCTTTAACAACTTCACATCGTTCTCTGTGATTAGTGTAGTCATTATCTATCTGTTGCATCATGTGCAGAAACCTGTGGGTCTTATCTCTTTGTTGGATGAGGAGTCAAGTTTACCCAAGGCTTCGGATTTAACATTTGCTAACAAACTTAAGCATCGTCTAGATGCTAATCCTTGCTTCAAAGGTGAAAGAGGCAGAGCTTTCCGAGTTCGTCACTATGCAGGGGAGGTTAGTTTCTCTTCAGTATTTAGGGACCTTTAGAAGTTGGTTCTGACAAAATCTACGTTATTGTAACTTTTTAAATCTGAATTAATACTTGTATTAAGCTTTTCATTCTTTTACAAAATATTTCATGTAGAGGACTAGAATAATAAACATGCTTGATAGTTATTATAGACAAGACAGTAGAAATCACAGTTCTATGATATCCTATATTAATTGGTCTCTTGTATTATCTGGAATATAATCTTATCCAGTGTGCAGTTGGTGAAAGGTGAGTTTCTGAATATGTTCATTTCGTTGTTTCTATACAAGGTGTTTACCTTTCTTCCCACTTCATTTATGAAGGGTTTGATTTTCTATTTCTTTATTACCTACAATATAATAACATATCCAAATATTGGGTCCACTATGTCACATGCTAGAACATTTTGATACAAATGTCATTCAGATGTTAAGCATGCAATTATAAATCTGACAGATGTTCTAAGTCTGGAGCTTGTATTGTTAAATTGCTATGAGTAAATCCTTCTTTCTAATATTCTGTCTCGAGTCTTTGGAAATTGGAAGTCAATTTCTTTAGAAAGTAAGATTTTACTAACATCTCAACTTCTATCAGGTTTTGTATGATACAAATGGCTTTCTAGAAAAGAACAGAGATACATTGTCTTTTGATTCCATTCAACTCCTGTCATCATGTAATTGTAAACTGCTGCAGCTGTTCTCCAAAATGTTTAACCAGTGTCAAAAGCAGAGTGTTGGAACTAAATTCAAGGTAATCATTGAGCTTTCCTAGCTTCATTATGATTTGGACAGAAATGATTATTTTGGCTTGGTATAGAAGATTAGAATGTGATTATGGACAACAAACTCTCTGTTGCATTATTGAATAACATAGTACAGAAATTGCACAAATATACAAATATATAATTGAAATAACATAATTTTAGGAAATAAATCTAACTAGTTTAATGCTTTTAGGATCAATTGTTCAAGTTGATGCACCATTTGGAGAGCACCAACCCTCACTTTATTCGCTGCATAAAGCCAAATACTAAGCAGCTTCCTGGCATTTATGATGATGACCTTGTCCTACAACAGCTCAGGTTTTTTGGAGTTCTACAAGTTGTTAGACTTTCAAGAGCTGGATATCCTACTCGCATGACCCATCAAGAGTTTTCAAGAAGGTACTTGAGAAACTTACCATGGTTTTTAGATTATCTTGAATGATGGGTTGATTTCAATTCCTTAATGTATCTAGGTATGGATTTCTGCTTTCTGAGGGCAATGTATCCAAGGATCCATTGAGCATATCAGTTGCTGTTTTGCAAAACTTTAACATCCCTTCTGAAATGTACCAAGTTGGCTACACCAAATTGTTTCTTCGAGCAGGGCAGGTATATGTCTAAGTTTTCTTTGAGGGGCTGGAAACCATACTTTCTGCATTCATTTTGTTTTCTACCTCTGCTTCATGTATGTTAGATTTGTAACTATGTTCCAAAGTTTGGCATTGGACAATATTTCATGCTTAATTTCACTTTAAAAAGCTGTGTGTAGACTACTTATCAAGTTAATGCATAAAGAACTGTCATGCTTTGGCTTGACTTTAACATAACAGTTCTGCTGTTGAAATTTTATCAACCGTTTGTTTAACTAAATTAGTATTTTTCTTTTGAACCATGAATTTTTTGCTTAGCGAATTTAAAATTATATGATGAATCTGTTAGTTGATGTTTGAGCTGAGTTTACATTCATTCATATTGTGGTTTCTCTGACTTGGTTATTATTGTGCTCTGGTTACTTTTGTAGATTGGTGCACTGGAGGACAAGAGGAAACATGTTTTGCAGGGAATACTTGGGATTCAAAAATACTTCCGTGGTTGTCAAGCTCGTGGTTATTTCCGTGAACTTAAGAATGGAGTCACAACATTACAATCATGTAATGCCAGTATCAAAATTAGTTTCATTTGGAGCAAAACTATCTATGATTGGAGGCACTGGGCACATTTTTCTTCATTTTATTGAAGATTTGGAAGTTAATATTTTTCAAAAAAATATAATTGATAAAAGTAACCTCAGTGCAGATTGGCTTGTGATTTTAAAGTATAATTTGAAAGCCTTGTTGATGCTCATTCAACTAAGAACTTTAGATGCCTATACTAATGACTCGAATCATAAAATTCTTTTCACAAGTGATTATTCATAACCTTGGTTCTACTTTGTTCTAAATTGATAATTTGGTTACTTTGCAGTTATTCGTGGAGAAATTACAAGAAGGAAATATGGTGTTGCGATGAAGTCTTCAATAACAATTTATTCTAGAAAACTGGAGGAGATCCATGCAATCATACTATTACAATCTGGTTAGAATGGTTCAGTTTTCTGTCATGTTTACCCTCATTATTGGAATTGAAGTTGGTTTGCTTACTATCTGTTTCCTTTTGTTGCAGTAATTCGTGGGTGGCTGGTTAGAAAGGATGTTAGTCACATGAATAACATGATTAGGTTGAAGAAACATCCTGAAAATGCTAAACCTAGGCGGAAGTCCCGTATGAAGATACCAGAAGTAAAGGTATTTCACTGTGCCCTTAACTCTAGTTTTGTTTTCAGTGTCTTTAGATATCTGCATCTATTTGGTTATTTTTCAGTTGTATTACATTAATACTCTTTCATAGACAATTGTCTATGGGTTTGAAGGAATTGGAGATTAGGACAGTATTTTGAGTGTCTAAGAACAGGGCATATCTGCTTAAGATTCCTGTGATTGGCATTCATTGTTTAAAATTAGCAAGAATGTATGTTATTCATATTTGGTAGCTCATATTATCGGAGAGATAGTAATTGATAGAAATTTAAGATAAGTGCCTCACCTTTCAAGTAACGAATTTGAATTAATGTCTTGATATACCTTTTGAGTGATTTGATTGAAAAACATTGGAGGAAATGAAAAAATATAAGCAGGATTGCCATTGTCTTAGAGAAGACTTACGACGTCTTGTGAAAGGTGCTGGAAAATAGGCGAGTCCTTGTTACTTATATTTGGACCATGCCATCAAGGATGTATTATGAGGTAAAAACCAGTGTGTGCATGCACAATGAGGCCACAGAGGATTTCCCTTTAACTATAGGCTTACAACAAAGATTAACCTTGGGCCCTTATCTTTTTATCTCGTTTCTGATGTTCTCACTGATTCATATCCAGGAGCTTGTGCCTCAATCCATGCTTTTTGCAGATGATACATTATTTCTAATGGGAGAGTTGAGAGAGGCTATTGTTGGTAAACTAGTTATGGGGGAAGATTAGGAAAGACATGGCTTCCATCAAAGTGGAAGTAAAACACAGAATATAGAATGGTTGTTCAACATGATGCACACTAGCATCAGTTTCGAGGCAAAAATTGGAGATAATACATATCACAAATCACGGTGTTTAGCTATCTTGGTTTTGTCATACAAATCGATGGAGAAATAGAGGGAGATGTAAACTGTAGAATTCCAAAAATTGTAGGATTCTAAGTTGGGTGGACTCAAATATATATTTTAGCACAAGTGGAAATATGCTCTAAAATTATAAGCTCCTTAGTAGAGCAAGTAATGGTTCGTTTGGAACTAGTAAATTTTCCCCTTATGTTGCTACCGCCAGCTTTGACTAGTCAACTGCCAGATATTAAAAAAAATTCCTTTGTCTTCATTTTTGGGTAATTGCACTAACTATCATGCAAAACTTCTAGCTGAATGGTACCAAACACCAACTTCTTCTGTATAAGCATTTAATACACAACTTTGTTATTTACCTTCTGAAAGAATTTCATTGTTTGGATGTCATACGCAATAAAGCTCCCATCCACTCACAATAAAGGTCTGCGTTTTTTGTTCCTTTCTTTTGGTTTAGCAGGATTTATCTAGAGAGCCTGTGCAGAATCTACTTACTGCTTTTGCTGAACTCAAAAAGCAGTTTGAGAAAGCTGATTCAATAGTGGAGCAAAAGGAAGAGGAAAATACTGAATTAAGGGAACAGCTAAAACAATCTGAGAGAAAGAGGATAGAATATGAGACAAAAATGAAATCAATGGAGGATGCTTGGCAAAAACAAATGGCATCTTTGCAAGTAAGTTTTCAGATGAGACAAGTCCTCAATTTTTTACATATGGATGTTACTGTAATTGATGTAGTTGATTGGCCTGATCAAACAAAACTTATGACTAGGATATTCACCTGTGGTCTACACGAAACTTCAATCACTTGTATCAGTTTTCTTAATAATGAATTAGCGGGAATTGTTATATATTCAGTTGGATTCAGCTTTGAATTTGTGATTGCTATAAAGTAAAATCTTTTGCTAATGTGCATGTTGATTTTTCAATCTACCATGGATTTGTTTCACTTTTTACTAGACAAGATGAACACAGGGTATATCAAACTTACAAAATCCATAACAGATTCTGATCATAATTTCAATGCAGATGAGTCTTGTTGCAGCTAGAAAAAGCCTTGCTCCCGAGAATGCTATCGTTCAACCTGTAAGACGTGATCTTGTGTCGCCTCGCGGTTATGATTCTGAAGATGCTATTTCCATGGGATCTCGAACACCTGGTGGGAGCACACCAAAGTTTTCTAGTAGTCTATCTGTCTCTGATGCAGGGAGACAGGTCAATGGTACATTGACCACAGTCAGCAATCTGATGAAGGAATTTGAGCAGCAAAGGCAGAACTTTGACGACGAAGTAAAAGCTCTGATTGAGGTTAAACAGGGGCAGTCTACCACTGCAAAATCCGGTGAAGAACTTCAGAAACTTAAACATAGATTTGAAGGATGGAAGACACAGTACAAGGTTAGATTACGTGAGGCTAAAACAAGGCTTCGAAAGTTAGGAAATTCAGAAACTGAGAAAAGCCGGCGAACATGGTGGGAGAAGTTAAGCTTAAGAGCATAATAGTAATCAGTGTTCAAACTCTCTCTTCGCTGAGTGTAGAAATACTGAAGATTCAGCAAAATTGACAAAATGATTGTTTTCATGAACTTTGTCCTTTTAAAAGTGTTACCAAATTAGAATTTGGTGAAGGGAAAGAAATTGTATATTTACCAATTTTGTCACTAATGGAAGTATCATAGGTTGTGCATAGTTTTAGACTTGTAGGATCTCATAGTGGTATTGGTTAGTCCATAGATTGCTTATGTATATCTTTTTCCCTTTTTTTTTTGGGTGATTAAACAGTAATTGTTCATTGTATATTCTGTTGTTGCTGATGTTTTCTAAATTCAGCTTCGAAGATATGAATAGCAAGTGTTGGTATCTTCAATGTTCAGGAAAAAAGAATTTTCTGGCTGTTTTGTTATGCTTATGACTACAGTTCTCTCTTTGCTGTTTTGTCACTCTTAAGGATTACCAAGTACGGTACTGTGTTCTTATTCTCATACTTTTTTGGTAAAATTTCTTGGTTTTTAGGTTCTCATGTGTTGCATTTCTATTCCTTGCAAAACATTGCGCATTCACCAATGATTAAAATAGCATACTTGTCCGTTTGTTTATTCTCAATTAACAAAATATATTTCTGACTTAGAAGCATTTAATCATCAATCCAATATTTATTATTAAAATGCATGGAAAAGAAATTTGATTAACGAATTTATAACTCAAAATCCATACTATCGCACGTTGTGTTAAAGAAATTTAATTAAAGAATTTATAATTCAAAAGTCTAAACTTGCATTAATATTTAAATAGACTAAACCAATCGAAGTTTCATCAAAACAATATTTTAAATGAACTAAATTAAAAAAATTTAAAATTAACGGGCAATCCAATTTAGATATCTTATTTTGTTATCTCTAAAACAATCAATAAAAAATTATTAAAAAATTATTTCAATATCTTTAACTCTTATCTTTCTATCCGCTTTAACATAAATACATATATTATTTGTTCATGTAATACAATACTCACTCTCACTTCTTTGTTGTATTTAAAAACTTGAATGACACTTTTTTTGTCTCATGAAAAACATTAATCTAACCTAAAAAATAATTAGAAGGGTTCGTAAAACAATTTTTTTAAACATATTTTTACTATTAAATTCATTTCACGTGAATTTTATCAAACAAATTATAAAATTAATTTACTTAATAAAATGAACTTAAAAAATTATGTGTCAGAAAATAAAAGAATGTGTTGTTAAGTTTTTTTTTTTTTCAATAATCAAATATTGGTATTACTTTAGATGTTGGTTATATAATATGTATATCCGCAGTCCCTCCCTTGCTATTTCTCATAATTTTCACCCGAAAAATATTAAAAAGCAACTATGAAGTTTTTAAAAGTCAAAATGCGGTGAGCGTGGATCGAACACGCGACCTTCAGATCTTCAGTCTGACGCTCTCCCAACTGAGCTATCCCCGCTTGACATATTTAATCTCTGTTTTTCAAAAAACACTTGTAGATTTTGCTATTATCATTGAATTATTACAGCGTTTATTTCGCAGTTGTTCGTGAGTAAAGTGGAGGTGTATGTTTCAAACTTAATAAAGACAATGCAAATTATGCAATAATCTTTAAAAAAAAAATTTCAATTATATCATGAAGAAAATTATTGTTTTAAATATATGTTGAATTATTATTAATTACAATTTAATTTTAATCATATTTTTCACAATTCAAATAGAAATAAAAAAATATGATTAATATATTAATGTAATTTCCAACGTTCTCATCTCGACAGAGAAAATAAGGTAAATTTATTGTCACTTAAGAATATTTAGCATATTTCTAAAAATAAATTATATATATATTTGTTATTGGATGATTAAAAATAATAACAAAATTAAATAAAATATTGGATCAAGAGTGACAATAAATATTTTGAATGAATAATATTATTCTTTTTTAATTTTTAAACAAATCTTTCAAAATATAATTTTTTATAAATGGTCACATGTAATTTTTATTTTTATTTAATTTTTAAAATATTATAAAAAATTCATGAGATCATTTTAAATATCGTATTAGTCTTCATAAATATTATTAATTTCTCACATTATTTGGTCTCTCTAAAACGAAAGATTAAATATAAATAAAATTTATAACATTTATAGAGATAAATTAAAAAAACATAAAATTTTAAAAAATCAACAACTTAATTAAACTATTAATATTTTATTAGTAAGTTTAGCAACATATAAAATTTGTAGTACATGTTATCATTATCGTTGTTATTGTCCATTCTCCCACATTTTGAATGCTTCACCAACGGTCAAATATTCCGAACAATCCAAAGCGGACGATCCTAGCCGTACAGAAAAACACACTCCTATCATCCAACGGTGCTTAATGTGGACAGGGAATCAAAAAACCAAATACGTCGTCGTTTCGCAGCCGCTTCTCCTTCCTCCATTTTCACGCGCCATGTTCTCACATTTCCACCGAACAGTGCTCTCTGCGGTTCGTTAAATTCACAACAAACAACACTCTCACACTCAGAGCGTGCTTCGTTGTTGTTCTTCAGAATGACGGAAGCTTCTAAGAAAAACGCGATTGCGATTCCCAAGCCCGTCGATCACTGGGCTTTTCTGGTAATTTTCTCTTTCGCTTCTTCTAGTTTTCATTTTCCTCATTTCCGTTTTCCCACGTTTTGTAGTGTTATGATCATGCAATTTTCTTGAGATCTTCTTGATTCCCCGAGGAAAAATTATTTTGGTTAGAGGAATAACAAGATTTTAGATTAGGAATTCCATTGTCATGTTGTTGTTATTATTATTCGTGATGTTTGTTCAGTTACTGTTGTGTTCTTGATCTGTGTCTCTCTGTTTGTCACTGTTTAGAGAGCATGTACTCGTGTCTTCTGTTAGGTTTGTTGTTATTTTAATTCAAAGTTGTCTATTGATTTGTGAATTTTTTGTTGTGTTACAATCGCATGACATACAGGAGCATATTGAAGCACCTATGTGGATAGATTTGACTCTTGAAGCTAAATCTGGTGGTCAAGAGATGTGAGTTTTTCCAATTAGCTTCAGTGTTTTGTTTTCACTTATTTCGAATTATATTTATTGTTTTAAATTTTTAAAATTGTTTTTATGATGCAGAGGTGATGATGATTGGTTCCACACAAGCCATCCGTAAGAAGCCTTTTGGAATTTTGTTTTTTTGGGTTTTAGATATTGGGCTTGGGGTTTTCTTACTTTTGTAAACGATGTTCGAGTCTAACGTTGCTATTGAATCATTTTCAGGTTCCACCAGTTGTCTGCTCGTGAGTTGAAATTGAAATTTTCTCACGCTGGTGAGGAGATATTCACTTCAGGAGTTGATTTGCAAGGACTAGCTTCGCCAGAGCTTCCTTCTTCGGTCTCAAGATCAAGAGGAAAACATTACAACAGAAAGAAATGGGATGGTATTGATTTCAATATTTTGTTAGACAAACAAAAGGGCTGGAGTGGGAAAGGCTTTCAACACTCTAGCTTTGGTCAGCAAGTGAAACCCAGATCAAAGTCTAATGTTAATAGGCCAAAAGGATTGTCAAGTACAAGGTTGGGGTTGGTTGTTGAACGTAATTCCAAAGGAAAAACTGAATCCGTTGCCAGTTGCAGCAATCCAGTGAGTAGTTCAAGTTCTGTGGATAATAAGACTGGTAGAAAGTCTATAAGAAGCACGATTACGTCTGAGAACACCCTGCAACAACAGAAATATAGAGAGGTATCTAGCCGACCATGTGATCAGAAAAGCAGAAGATCATCAGTTAGGAGGGTTAGTCTTGGGAAAAGTTGCGTTACGAAAGAAGTCTCAAGAATTCGGCAACAGCAGAAATGTATGGAGGTGTCTAGTCAAACACGTGGTCGGCAAAGTGGAAGTTCATCGGTTAGTAGTTTTAGGAACAGTTATGTTACAAAAGTGGAGATTGGTGGTGATAGCATGCAATCAAGGGGTTGTAAATCATCTTCTGGGAAGTCTAGTGCTGGATCATGTTCAAACCCTTGCAATGAAGTTAAGTTTGTATCGAGACTGCAGAGAGAGAGAATTACAGATGAGAAAGGTGAGATCACAATGAATCTTGCAGTTGAGAACCAACGCAAGCTTGGTGAAATATCCAGGACATCTACAATTTCAGTCGAGGAAGCAAAATCAGGTAACCAAACGGGAAGTAACATCAAATTTGCGAAGCCCGCATACAGAAGAACTGCAAAGTCATTGGTAAGAAGCTGCATTGTCCTCAAGTTATGTGTATTTCTACTATGTTGCGCAAAAATTCTTATCTTGAGTCATTCTGACTGACTTTCAAATAGTTTGACTCTGATCTGTCCTATTTGAACTATGCCGCACATACTATTTGAGCTTGAGCGTTATTTTGTCCAAATGATTGTCTAATGCATCAGATTTAATTTGTTCGGTGTTTTTTATTTTCTGAAAGTTACTGTTATTTAGCTAGCAATCACAATATTTTCTTTTGTGTAGCTATCGTCAAATTTCTTATAATTTATTACTATTTATAAATTATATATGTCTATCAAGAATTCTGGATTTATATTTTTGCAGGTGCAATACAAGTCTACAAGTTCAAAAGCTTTGTTACAAAGCAAAGTCAATAATGAAAACACCTGTGGCAGAGCTAAGCAGAAACTAGGAAACAGCAAGGTTAATAGTTTGATAGGCAAGGGAAAAGAGAATGCCACAAGGAATGTCACAGTGAATAAAAATTGCATTGTGAGAGGTGTTCCTGCTGGGGCCGTGTTAAAAAACCAAAGAACTAAAGAACACAGTCATCTGCAGAAGAGTGACACAGCAGGAGCAACTCCTTTGACAATTCTGGTATTGTAGTCTCGATTGGTTTGAACTACATTGAATGTGGGGAAAATAGAGAAATTACTTTAATTAGATGCATGATATCTGCCATTTTTCTCATTCTTGATACGTGCAAATATCTTTCTGTTAATTGTTATTGTCAAGGACCATTCTGCTAAAAACTTAAGCGGTTAAGTGAAAACTCATGAATGACTTTTATATTTAGACGATGTTACCTATTGTTAATGTTTCTTCACAAAGACTCACCGGTATAACTTTTTAAGCTTTCACTTTTCATGTCAGGCTTTCTAACCAAATATTCTTTGTCTGTTAACAAGTTCATTTTTTTTGGGAGATTGAAATTTTATAATTTTACATTGGACTTGTGCGCTCATATTATCATGCTATGTTTACCTTGGAATTAAAACTTTCCTATGGTCTCATTTCATGCCATTGAATTGTACTACGGTTCTGTAACTTGGTTGTAAAGTGCTTCTGCGTTTTTCCTTCTAAGTCTAATGCAAATTCGTTATTGCAGAGAAGAGACACCAATCAACGTGAAGAAAA